TGATCTCATTATCCAACATGCCAGGTAATAAGCTATCCGTTATTGGCCACCCAAGCCCGGCAAAGAGGCAGCGGTGTGTCCAGCGCCGGGGTAAAGGGAACCTCCTATCTGTCCATTCGCCATCCTAATTCTCAGACATGACCATGCGACTGAGGACACCCAGCGGAACGGTTCCCCGTATTCACCATCCCAGTGACATCAGCCGTGAAGTGGTCTTCTCCCGTCCGGGCTTGTGTCAATTTGCGAGCGTTGCTGTCGTTGGCTATATCTCACCGAAGTCTGCGATTTCTATGGTCTCGTAGCAATTCAGAACTCGCAACTCGCCACTTATCCAGAAGAGCCGGTGAATTTACTCGGAATTCCCGCAAATTGGGATAGAAGTTTAGTTGTACCTACCTTCCATGCATCTATCGCATAGTGTTCGCCACACCTACCGGCAACAACCGACCATCGTCCCGTGTCTCAACGGTCGATGGTTTGTCCCTGATAATTCCGATGATTTCTCCAACCTTGCCTTTTTGGAGACCGACGGCCAGCTCCCACCATCCTTCTTGCTTGCCAATAGGTATCATTGTCCGGCTCGGTTTTCCCCGTCAGTTCAGTCCACGGGCCGGGCCAGCCCGGCTTACGCACGGCGGTGATGGCGACGATCTTCCTCAAAGTGGCATGTCGGTTACATGTCTAGGGATGTCAGCAGCCATGGATCATGGTAGCGTTCCCGACGGTTATCACAACGGCTTTTGGAGCTAACATATCTCGCGCTCACACAAGTTTGAAGAGCGGCCATGATCGGGACGTAGGCAACAGGCGGTCGGCTTCTGCATGCCTAGGATTAGCGCAGCCGAAAGGCTGATAGGGCCACACATTATTGTTCCTCTGTCGCACTCTCGCTTCCTCTCGTGTGCCCAACCAAACAGACCTACGCACTAATCCTTGACTCATAGGAATCGAAAGGTACTGGATGGATGTCAGCAACGGACTGTCCCGTTGTACTCGGCCCGGGGTGCGGCGCTATAGCTCGAGGCCGATGTGAGGGTGCAGGACACACCGGCACTTTTGCTGACCTTGGAAGTGTCCAGCCTATGATTTCGGTTCCCTAGCCACTTACACCGTACACATACAGGCTCGTAGGTGGGAATGTAGCAACCGAGGACACCTCGGATCCTTGGATTCGCATCGTTTCAAGGAACCATTGCCGCTAAGGTCGATCTCGGTTCTGCAATTCTGCAGTTTGGGAAAATGCAGCATTATTCTGCAACGTTTCCCTCCTCTGGATCAATGTCATGGATGCAATCATCCCACTTTTCGGCAGATTTGTTGGTGCCCTCCCCCCACGCCATTTCGGGGGCGTCCGAGGGGCGGGTTCCCGTCCCCCGCAGAGGAGACCAGGCTTACCGCTTACCACGGTATCGGGACGGCGATATCAATTCAATCTCCACGGTGAGAGATAGCGCTAGTGATGAGGCGATAGCATTGCAGAATGGCGATGACCAATGTGTTTTCAACGTGATTGTTCATCGAGTTTGACACATCCCCACGCCGCCCTAGTCAAGTAATGCTATGTGGTGGATGGCGTGGTCAGGTGGGTAGATGTTTTGTCCTTCCTTTTCAGCTCAGCTTGGTGTCCTTGGAATCTTCGATGAGGTACTCTATCAGATTCTGTAAGCTGGTTCGCCTTTCTTTCGTCTTGGACTTGGGAATGGCGACTGCAAAACGCCAGCTGAGTGAGGTGAGGCACTTCCGCTCAAAGACGTAGCTTTTTTTTCCTGTGCCGTTTTTGCTATTGCTACCCTGGTCTTACAAGTCTCCGTCTTGTGACTCTGTTCCCTGGACCCCCGGACATGACCAATCATTCGGTGAGAGGAGACACTGTGATGATGTTATCCATGTCTTGTAACCCGGACTGGCTGGATGACGAGTCGGACGGGGGGTTTTTTATTTTATTTCTTTTACTTATACTTGCGAGGCAAAGAGGCGGCACGGAGGGACTAACGATGTGACCTTACCCGGAAGGATGTGGTCGTATCGATTCTTCAGCAGTGAGACCCATCTTGGTTGATTTTTGATTTGATATGATGTGGTGGTAAGAGGTCCCTACATAGGAGGCTGTGCCAAGATTTCTTTTTGGGAGTTGGAAAGGTGGTAAGGCTTTTCTTTTCTTTTCTTTTCTCACATCATCTTGGGGGGTGGGTTCAGTATTCTGATGTGACGATGACGGTTCCTCCGTTGTGTGACGGAGGTGGGAGGTTGTATGCATACAGGCAGCAGTCTTACTTTCCAGCGTTTTGCGGGCGTGGTTTTTTTTCTTTTTTTTTTTTTTTTGTCATCATTCGAATGTGGTTTGAATTGGGTGGTTTCTTTTGGTGAGGCTTATGGGGAGTTGTACGCGATCGTGCAAAGATGGTTCCCAGCCAGTGATGTGAAACTTTAGAGGAGGATAGATGACTGGGCGTACGCATTCTAGTCCGGTCCAACCTTCCCTTGGCCTTGAAGCACCATTTCACTGGTTGTAGGAAGCTAGCTGCTTTCAGCTCTATACGTTACCTCGAAACATTGAGTATCAAGATATCTTCATTCCTTCCTGGACTTCGTGGTGCGGTCGTTGCTGTGTGGTGGTAGGATGCAGTGCGACGGAGCGGATCCCGAATTGTCGTAATCTTAAGCCAATAGCATCGGCTGTAGACGCGAAGCTGCTGATGCTGTCTTCCGTTATGGTGACGTGTGCGGTTGCGAGGGTTGTTGTCTGGTCTAGTTGCCAGACGAGTAAGTTTGAAACTTCTTGGACCCTGGGGACCTGAGGACGTATTGTCAGTCTTTTCCGTTTTGCTCTTTCCATATCGCCTGCTTCCAACATCCACATCCACATCCCCCCTATACACGTTAAGATACATGCACGCATTTTGTGCCGCCTATCTCTGAATCTTTGGGGTATAAGGCGGGTTAAATACATCACGATATGGAAAGGGAAAACTACCTTACCTTTAGCATCTCCCCCCGGACAAACTCCACGTCAACGCCCGCAGGCGCGCTCTCCATCAGGATCTGGCCTGCGCGCCGGCAGAGGGGCACAGCGGAGAGCGTGATTGTTAGGGCGATGAAGATGCCGATTGCCGGGTCGGCGTAGAAGCGGTTGGGGGAGGGAGATTTCCAGATGATGAGGGCGGCGATTATGACGGAGAGGTTGTTCAGGGCGTCGGTTAGGACGTGGAGGAGGACGCCTAGCATGTTGAGGTTGTGGGGGTGGGTGTGGCTGTGGTGCTTGGGAGATGATGTTGTTGGTATAGGTGTATTGGTGGGCGAGAGGGGGTCTCTTGAGTCCTCGGCGGGGTGCGTGGTTTCTCGGGTATGTTCGTGATGATGGGGTTCTGTGTATTGGGTTCAGGTTTGTTGTAGACGGCTTGGTTGAAGATTTTGCTGACCGTGGAGGAAACCTAGGACTATCATGTTGAGCCCGAGGCCGACGCAGCCCATGATCAGAATCAGTATTGGGTCTTTGAGATCTGTGAATGTTTGTCAACAGTTTTGGGCTCGTTACTATCGTTTGCCAAAGGCCAAGCACATCAGGACTGGCAGGCAAGAAAGGCCCAAGACTCACTTGGAAGTTGAGTGAATCTCTCAATCGCTTGGAGGAGGATGCTGACACCCAACGCAAGCAGAAACACGCCGTTGAAGAAGGCTCCCAACACCTGGGCGCGATTCCAGCCAAAGGGTAGGGATTTAGGCGGAGGGGGTTTCCTCTCTGAAACCTTTTTGGTATATCAGTCTTCAGATCAAGTACGGCTTGATCAGGTTTTTAGAAGGAGGACTTACTACCAAAGCTATCAAGGCGACGGCGAACCCTATCAGGTCATTCATCTAGATCGTTTGTCAGATACACCGACTGAACTAACATTAAGAAATAGAGGGATTGGCTTTCGCCGTCTTACGTAGTGAAAGGCGTCTGCTATAAGAGCGAGAGACTTTGTGCGGTACCCGACGACCAGCTCTGCGATGAAGAAGCCGCCAGATATCGCTATTGCGGCGATTATACGGCGCTTTCTGTTGATCTTGAAGCGAGACATACTCGTCGGGCTTTTCCACGTTCGGGAAAAGTTATCGTGGAACCACTACAAAGATTTGATTTGAACTTCAACAAGGACAAAAAGGAGGAGGAAGCGTCGACATGCGTAAGGCGGATATTATTAAGTCACGCTATAGTCAAGACCTTTTTGTTTTCCATCAACGGAAGAGAGCTTTGGACAGCGGTCGTACAGCCACAAGAGACGACGGATGAGAGTCTCGTACAGCCGGGTCATTTCCCCAAGACTCGGGACACACACAGACACGAGAAAGGTGTCTCTGACCCGGGTTGGCACATACAGGCACGGGAAGGAAACGGAAGCACGGAAGTTGTTTCTGTTCTAAGAACAAAGTTTGGGGCTGATGACTCGTAGGTTTTAGATATTACGCAACTTCGCCTGTTCATACTGGGATCATGGAATATGTTTATTGAGACTTTTGGAGGAAGGCGAGTAGGAAGAAAGGTCGGTGGTTGACTTAGTGGAAAGACCGAAGTCAGAAATGAAATACACTGGCGCTGGGTACCGTTGCTGGGAAACCGCTGATGTTGTAGCCTCGCTATTCCCCTCGACACTTTCTCGACCACTTCGTGGACGAGGGATGCTCTGCACGTGTAGCGTGTCCTTAGGACTTTTCTGGAACAGAAGCTCAGTGAAGCAAGGAGTGCTCATGCTAATATTATTGAAGTCGAAGTCGAGAGAGTACGTCTCTGCAGAGGAAGAGTTGGCATTCACTAGATTTGGGCTACATGAGCTTGCGATACGAGTGACATCCGCTGGAGAAGGAAACCGTGAGATGCTCGACCCGATGTCTGACGAGATACCGCTCTCGAGAAGCTTTGTGCGTAGTTCCAAGCGATGTTGGCCTGTAGTATTGATGCCAATGTCTAATATGTCTCAGAGATTTGGCGTGCTCAAAGACGACTCGTTGGGGGTTCCGGGCTACTCACCGATTGGGGCACCATCATCCTGTACATCTTGACCACGAATGCCGCTATATCGACGCATCTCTCTAGCAACCCGGTCAGGGCCAAGCTGACGCCCATTGAGGAATAACAGGCATTCTTTGCCTGAAGCCTTTTGTTTTTGCATCTCTCGTTTGATTGCTCTCCATTCGTTGGCGCTCACCTTCTTGAGGCCTGAATAGCGTTTCTTGAACTGTTTGATACTTCTCCAGTGTGAGAGGCTTGGTATAAAAGTTTCGGGGAATTGAAAAAGACTTGCACATACGTAATTCTAAGTTTGTGTCTCTGATTTAAAGTTTTGATTGTTTCCTCCGCAGATCTCTGTTCAGTCACGTAGAGTTGAGTGATCTCATCGTGCCACCTCTCCCACTCGATGCCAGACATTGCGGTCCTCAATTGAATGATGCCACGACAGATGTGATTACTCAAAAGAGATGTTGACAGTTTATCGACTAAGCGAAAGTAAAGCTTGAAAGTACTACGACAGATTCCGAGGGAGAATTCTGGATGTTATTAAGTGGTTGTGCGATTTACATGTCTACTTGTCGTCGATAATGATCTGGTGAACTGGACCTTTTGTGAATACAACACCAAGAAAATTACAGCCTGATGATCTGACGGGGACTTCTGCTACATGGCAAAAGACCAGTTGCAGAGTATTGGTCGCCTGGTCTTTGCCAAGGCTTATCAAGAAATACTAGAGCTGCAAGACTCATGCAGACAGACGACCAGTGCCAGAGCGAGTCGTGACGGAGCTGAGTAACATCAGGAGTTAATAGGCTTGCAGGTGTCTCTGTGTCTTGCCCGCGCACACCAGCCTGCATGGGCCTTTTGCTCAAGGTGCGTGTGGTACCCAACAAAAGCCCCTAGGCAGCAAAAGTTCCGGTTGCCTGAAAAAGCGTTGTGGCGAACTACTCGATCAAACCGGGCGTGTTATGCCAATTTGAAGATTGCTGATACGTCCCCAGTCATCAAATAATGACAATTCATAAAGAGGCCATGGAATAACTGAGTGGAAAAGGATTATTGGGGGACATCCTGCCCCCAAGGCTGTGCCTCCCAGCTCTGCTGGGACTCTGTTGATGTGACTTCGACAGTAATTGCATCGCTGCCTGTACACCGAGTGCTCATCAAATTTCTTAGGCTAGAAGGTATTGACAATTGTATTCGCGAACTGACTACAAAATTCACTCCACTAATTTGCAATCAACACGTCTTCGCATTATTGAAGCTTGACTTGCAGAAGTCCCCGCAGCTCTGATTATCTTCCACCTGAGAGAAGCTTTGGCACGATGATCCGAGCTGACAAGAGCATCTCTATGACAAACTAGCGTTAGAACAATTGGGTAGAGAAAAATAGGGCGCAGAAGGTCACTCAATTTCGAAAGTCTTCCATTTTCGGGATAGAGAGGTGAGAAGGCCATATTGTCAAGGAACTTACATGCAGCGCGTACGCGTTTCCTGCCAAGAGGGAAAAGGCGACGGCGATGATTGAGAATTTCATTGTTGGCTAGAGGGTGATCGGATGTAGAATCGTAAATGACCCGTTTTCTTGTGAAGATCCGATGAACTAATGGTATCCCATCGACTGCTACAAGGCGACAGTACAATGGTCTCCAGCTTTTCTCCAAATTCTCTGAGATATAAATTTTTTGATTTGCGGATATTGTGGAAAAAAATCGGAATAACGCCTGATTAGTTCTTCCCCCGCACTCGGATGTACTGTCGCCTTGCAGCAGTCGATGGGATAGACCCAAGCTGTGAGTGAATGGGAATTCGGTTGGCATTTATAATTCTCCATGGGAAGGGCGGTAGATGCCTCTCCTGCCCTTTCCAAAAGCGGATGCTTACGATAACTTCCGGTGATGAAGCCGCCGGACCGGCGACTTTAGGAAGTTTACAAAGTTTCGAGGCGTTTTTACTGTTTTAGAAAGCATTCCTGGAACACACCATGATGCTACGCCTCCGCGGCCTCTAGTTTCAAACACTTCTGCCAATGTCTTCAAGAAAAAGACGGCTAGTTTTTGCAGTACGTATGACATGGACATGAACTAGGTAGCCCGCACTGGATGTACTTATCCTTGTTCACATGACGCTTCGAGAAAGCGATAAAGAGTCATGCTCTGCTTTGCTCGACCAGGGCCTTCTTCCAGACTGAATGCGCTCCAAATACTTGGCACTTGACTTATCACTATGAGTTTAAGAAAGTCTCGCAGTCAAGTGACTGGGGCGCAGCACGGGCAAAACGCAAAGGTGAGCCTCTTGTGGTACGAGATGTTGATGTTGGAGGACCTCCCGGCTGTCTCTAGTATTCCCACCATCAGCAGTCTCACTTTTCATCCAGACTCAGTCAAGTTTCTAATCATACTAATATTCATTTTAAATAAATGTCGATTTTCTCCATATCTTAGTCTTTGATCGTGGGAATGAGTACTCTCGACTACCTTAAGTACTTCTCTCTTGCGATGCCTCAAGAGGAAGGGACAAAGGTGCCTGTTTGACTGCCTCCGATTGGTGGAGTGCATCCAACGGACCCACCCAAACTGCTCCCTGACACCGATAAGCTGATCATCTGTGATAAGATAAGCGATAAGCAAAAAAAGTTGCCGACCGTCGAGATTTTTGATGGTCAGGTCCCCCGCCATCGCTCAGACACCGATCAATTCGTCAACTCTAACCGCGAAAACAGCAATCATGGGAAAGCGCAAGGTCACCGCCCTTGAGAAGGTCGATGTCGACTTGTAAGTGACTCGCGACCTAGCCGACACGTCAATCGCTAACAAGAACAGCGCCGGGTTGCAGTACAAGATCCGCCGCGATCCCAAGTCGTACGAAGAGAACTTCCTCCAGCAATGGGGCCAGTATGAGAGTCAGCGCGAGGTCTTCCTCGTCTCGCCGACGACAGCAACGAGAGAGTACACAGAGTCCTTCCATAACCTCGTCGATCTTCTCGCCCACACCGTCGACCTGTATCCGAAGCACGCTACCGCGTTCCCCGATGACCTGAAGGCGATCCTGTTGCAGCATCACGAGGTCCTGCACCCCGAGCTGCGCGAGAAGATTGTTGGAGCTCTGGCGCTCCTCCGCAAGAAGGACGTCATCGACTCGACGTACTACCTCACGACGCTGTTCCCCATTCTTGTTTCCTCGCCCAGCAAGTCGCTGCGAACGCTCTTGTTCGGCAAGATCCTTACCGAGATGCGCAATGCGAACTCCAAGGCGACGAACCACCCCCTCAATCGCACGATCCAGACCGTCCTCTACAACCTCATCACGGCCGACCGCACATCACCGAAAGCTGTTTGGGCTGTCAAGCTGACCCGCGAGCTGTGGAAGCGACAAATTTGGACCGATGCCAAGACGGTCGACGTTATGAAGGAAGCGGCTCTCTCCGACAACGAAAAGGTTGTCGTTGGTTCCGTGCGGTTCTTCCTCGGTGGCGACAAGGAGCGTGAGGAGCTGGAGGACGATAGCAGTGACGAGGAGCAGATTGATTTGCAAAAGATGAAGCATCAGATCGGCATCAACAAGAAGTCAAAGAAGCAGGCAAATGCGTACAAGAAGGCCGTTGCCAAGATCCACAAGCAGGAGCGCGGCAAGGGCAAGCCTCACCCGCTCAACTTCTCCGCCTTCCACCTCCTGCACGACCCTCAAGGCTTCGCCGAGACCGTGTTCCAGAAGCACCTGCAAAGCACCAAGACAAAGTTCTCGCACGAGAACAAGCTCCTCGTCCTGCAGCTGGTCACGAGACTGGTTGGTCTTCACAAGTTGACCATCATCAGCCTGTACTCCTGGTTTATCAAATTCCTCACACCCCGCCAAGAGTCGGTCACTTCTTACTTAGCTTCTCTAGCTCAGGGAACGCACAGCTTGGTACCCCCTGATGCGGTTGAGCCGCTCATCCAGAAGATTGCAAACGAATTCGTCTCAGAAGCCGCCGCCGCCGAAGTCGCTGCAGCTGGTCTGAATGCTATCCGTGAAATTTGCGTCAGACAGCCCCTGGCTATGTCCGATACACTGTTGCAAGATCTTGTTCAGTACAGAAAGAGCAAAGATAAGGGAACAATGATGGCGGCCAAGGGTCTTCTGTCTCTGTACAGAGAGGTTGGCGCTGATCTGCTGCAGAAGAAGGACCGAGGCAAGGATGCGTCTATGGGTCTTAGAAGCGGAGAAATCAAGACGAAGAGATTCGGCGAGGAGGAAGTTGGAGGCATTGAGGGTATCGAACTATTGGCAAGATACAAGGAGGAGCAGCGCAAGCTCAAGCGTGCCGCCAAGGGCTTGCCAGAAGACGGCGCCGACAAGGACGAAGACGAGGATGAGGAGGGCTACAAGTCAGAGGACTGGGAAGTGGACTCGGATGACAGCGACGACTCCGGCGGTTGGATCAACGTTGATCACTCGGATGATGAAGACGAGCCTGCGCCGAAGAAGCGCAGGACAGCAGATGACGGTTCGGATGATGAGGAGGACGAGGAGGACGAGGAGGAGGACGCCGATGAACTTGAGCGGATACAAAAACTCGCCACGACCACCATTCTCACACCCGCCGATCTCGCGAAACTCCAAGAGCTGCGCATGGAGGCCAGTCTTAACAAAACACTGGGCAAGACCTCGAAACGTTCAAAGGAGGCTGAGAAGGCTCTGGCCCGTCACGCAGACGACGGCCTTACGGCTGAGCAGATTGAGGCTCCCGCCAGGCTGCGCAAGACGACCAAGGAGGAGAGAGTCGCGTTGGCTCAGGAGGGCAAGCCGGGTCGCGAGGAGCACAAGTCGACGCAGGCCATCCGCCGGTCCAAGAAGGAAGCCGAGGGCAAGAGTTCGACGAACAAGGAGAAGGCGCGCCAGAAGAACTTTATGATGACGCTGAACAAGGCCAAGTACAAGAACAAGAGGAGTTTGGTACAGACGAAGAAGGTGCTGCAGGGTCACATTGAGAGGAGTAAACGTGGCGGAAGACGTGCCAACGGTACATAGACTAGGCGAGGATGTTGCAGAGTCTTTCTGTTTGAAACCTGGGTTCTTAGTTTGGGGATGACGGCATATGTAATCAAAAGCTCTGTGTTCCAGCATGCAAACAAACAATCAAGTGCTTGGTCAAGTTCACGATGACTTCTCGCAAAGTTGACTCCATCTATTAGGTCGCCTATCGACAGTTCTAGCCTGCGGAAAGCTTCATCTTCAGTCATCTCCACCTTGCCTTGAGCTGGCCTATCCTCTTAAACCCACCCACCTCTCCTTCAGCACCAATTCGGCTAAAAAAACGAAGCATTGCTTCCTTCTTCAACTCAACTGAACCAGATTCAGTAGTAAGGGCCGCCAACCCTGAATACCCACCCCTCACTTGAGGCTTGCACATACCAGGCTTAATGCTTCTTGTTCGTGCGACCGGGTCTTGGCCAATGTGTCTTCCTCCACGCAGTCCATCCTCTCCATCCGACCATATGTTTGGCAGCTAGGCAATCCGCACATAACTTTTTGCCTAGTCGCGCAAAGTTTTTTTGGCAACCGCACTTCGTTCTCGTCAAGATACCTGTGGAGGACACAGCTTCCGCAGGCTCGTCGTCGACATCCATCGCCCCGCCCTGAGACTTCTTTTCGCTGCCGCCCGGCATGCTATCTCGACATTCGCGACAGTAACCCTCGGTAGTCCTGTGGACTTGGTGGCCGCAACCCGTACACTGCATGATCTCGGCCGCGGGCAGGCTCTGGAGAGCCTGTAGGGGCTCGGCGCTGGTCGTTCCCTCGAAGAGACACTTTCTGCAGTGGGACTTACCTTGCACTACGTGGTTACGCTCACATATGACGCAGATTCCCTGTGCGGTGAAGAAAGCTGTCAGCGGTGTGTTTGGGGTGTCTGGGGCGATGCAATCTTCGCAGCGCTTCGTGCCTGGAGGCACGGTCTTAACGTGGCAGACGTCGCAAAGGATTAGCGGCCTAGTGAGATTTTGAGATGAGAGAGGGACGTTTCTGAACGGGTTGGGTTGACTGTTACCTTTTTGGAAACCAGAACCATCGTCTGGACCAAAGGCGACGAGGATGCAGATGCACTCTGCGCATCGTCGTCGTCCGGGAGCACATGGCACTCCTGGCCTCTTACAGCGGACGCAGAGGAGCGGCCTATGGGGCTGGAACTGTTGATACTCTTGGGATAGCCTGTGACTGTCATCTTCCTTTGGAGGGCTGACGGGGGCCACTGACGCTTCATCTGTGTTGTCGCGGGTTGGGACGACGCCGGTGTTGAGTAGGAGAAGGGCTTCAGCGGCGATGTTACGGAGAACCTGCTCCCTGACGTTGCCCTGCCTGCAGTTCTCGCATACGGTGGAGACTGGTTGTCCGTTGGTGCCGATGGGTTCCGGGCCTAGAATGGTTTCGGAGCATTGAGGACATGTCCGATAAGCTTGGTTATCAGCATACTGAAAATTGTTGGCGATGATGGACCTGAGAGGAGGGAGGGTAACTGGCAGACTGCTTGAGGGCCGGTTCGATTGGATGGGATTGAGCTGAAGGAAATCGGGGACTGGCTGAATCTGAGAGCCAGTTCCTCCCTGAGGAACGTATGGGCCTCGGCGATAGATCGACAAGATGTCTGTTGCTGGGCTAAGGGGGATAGGGGAGGTTACTGAACGTGTGTTTGGTCCGTTACCCGATGTATTGATGTTGAGACGAGGCCTCTTTGGTGAACGATCTGCGTTTGATGACTCTACCCATCTCTTACCAGAGTGTCCGGGAGTACCATAAGGCGTATTGCTCTCCATCGAGAAGGTTGCTAGTTGGGTGGGGGTTTAGTTGACTTACGAGATGCTGCTGTAAATGCTGTGATGATTAAGTACGAATATTGGTCCTGGAGGCCTTAGAGAAGCTGAGATGATCAAGATGCTCCGAGAAGACACTTTCTTTTCTGGATTCCTGTTACCTTAAATACATCATGACTGCAATGATTGTGTCTTGAATTGTCAATGTTTCACGGCTTCAAAGGGCCAGTTCATTGTTCATCGACTCAACTCAAATGACAATTAGAACAAAGTTCTTGACCTTTATCATCTCGGCAAGAATAGAAAACCTTCTTTTGTCGAGGAAAATGCAGGTCTACCTACTCGAAGCAAAGAACATGATCTTGGTCGAGCGACATGAACAGCTTTACCGTAGCAAGCACTTCTAACATTTTATTAGACGCGAGCCTCCATGCCTGTTTTACTCCGATCCTGGTGCACCTCAACAGTTTCTTTCAAGAACTCGCATAGGGGAAAGGGAACGGCTAGAGGGAGAGAATACGGTTATTTGAAATCAAGTTAGTGCATACTAGACTTGAGCTATGTAGAGGTCTCCGATTGCAAACGCAGCTTTACGCTGTGAGGTAGCCCAAAGAATGTGCGAGCGTTGAATCCTTCACAACTGTCTCCAATAATTGAAATTGACTTCAGATTTACTGAATGGCATTGAAACAGCAAATGTTCACTATTGAGAAGGTATCCGGCATCTTGTTGGCCAAGATGGGCGGTCGAATTGCTGCCCTGGCTTACTGCAGCCATTCATTTACCCGTTTCTGAGCTGCCCCGTCAAGCAAGGGTCCACAGCCCTAGTACCCGTAGCCCAGATCGTCTAGTTGGTTAGGATGATACGTTGTGGTTCTTCTATACAGCGATCCGTGTTGACGGCGGTTCGAATCCGCCTCTGGGCACGAAACCTTTTGATTCCTCTTTTGCTGTTCGTGGAGCAAAGGTTGTAGCTTCAATCGACTCTTTGTCGTGATTTTTGTCGGGCTCGCTTTGTGTGAGTGAGGTACGGAGTAGTTTGGGTTTGGAGATCCTACAACACCGGATGATGGAGCGGGACGCGGAAGCTTAGACCGAAATGGGGTACTTGCGCCGATGTCTTCGCGGCGCTGGAGGCTTTGTTACGTACATGTATGTACCCTGCCTCATTGGCGTTGTTTGCTTTCGGTGAGGTAGAGAGAAAGAGACATTGTGGCTGACCTCAACTTTCAGATTCGAGGACTGGACTTGAGGTCGTAAAGTCAATGTTTCGTTGAAACCATAATTGCGTCCGATTAGGCTCGGAGCTGTTGGGGTCCATGAATTCCTTTGTATCCTACCTTGTATCATCCATGCTCCTCCAACTGATAATCCTGTCCTACTGACTCCCCAAAAAGGTCGAGATTGGGCAAATTTGACATAAACTAATAGAGGCGAAGCGAGGACAACAAGAGCATATGATTGGTTTTCGAATTCACAGGCTTTTGATTAAATCCCACCAAAGAGCAATTCGCACCTGCAGGTAACTAAGCAACTCACACGATGAGTATCCGTGTTGCCGTTGGAACTCAGTCCAACTCTGCCCCCGCCAAGGCTTTTCAGCCGCCCGACATGGGACGATCAGCGAGTTTGGAATAGCACAGATACAATCTGGTGGCTCGTACAATTCCTTGAAGTCGGAGGGGGCCAACAAATCCCTGGCTGCATCTCACTGCATGGATTCCTGCCGGCACAGCGGGCCAACCAAGGTGGGCACGCGGTCGGAAGCCGGGGGTTGCGGCCGCTAAGGAAGGGCAATCTTACCACAACCGGCTCTACGAGGTTCCTTCCGTGGCCCTATCGACACGTCAAACTTTGAAAGTATGGATGGACATTGTACCAGTAGATTGGATTGCGGGGCTGACGTGAGCTTATCAACTTCTTTTGAGGCTTAATTGGTGTTGACATGTTGGGCTCTTTGCGACTACCAAATCAGGCTGTACGGCGAATTATGAGTCCTGCCATTTCCGATTTTTTACTTGAGCATTGTCGACCGCTCATCTCGATCGAAGAAGAGTGTTTGCCTATGGGTAAATCGCTGCGTTGTTGGTTGCAAAATAAAGTGCGGCACAGCACCGGGATCGAGAGAGCACGTCAAATTATCTTCGTTGGTTCCAACTCTGTTGCCGCCGTTTGTGTTTCGGACGTACAGCCACATTTGGCTTGTTTGCTCGATCTCATCACACGGCTTTTGTAGTCCATCCTGGTGACTCAACCTAAATAGAACTTCACTGTAACTTTGATGCTGGGAAACAATGCGTTGGGCGTTGGAACTCGGCTACCATTGGGGGCCCGTCCCGGGGGCGGGCTGAAGCAAACTGCATGCCGCTGGGGCGCAGAGCAGGACACGGGCGGGCGGTAAGGATTGAGTGGGTGTGGCGCGCCGCGATTCCCGTCCGAAGCAAAGCAGAGATACGGCACGTCCTTGCCTTGCCCAGACAGATGCCAATTCTCCGACGGAAGAGTACGTTATATATATGCAGAAGACTGTGCCCCGTTGCCTTTCGATCTTCTCTCCTGTATGAAACACTGCAGCAACTTTGTTCTTTGTGTCTCACAGTCTACTTCTGCGGCTTGGCTTTGGCCCTCTTACACGAAGCTCAGAAGACCATACCCACCTACCTTACATCACAAAAGGTTGCCAGGAAGCTATGGGGACAGACACGAAGCCCACAGCCGGGACTGATGTTGAGCGAGGGAGCTCATACACAGGCAGCGTTCTTCCAGAGACCAAGGAAGCCATCGATGGAGTGTTGCCGAACAAACACCCCAGAGATGGCATGGCAGCCTGGCGTTGGCCATGCATACAGTCTGCTTTCTTCCTTGGAGGCATGCTGCTTGGTGAGGCCACCCGTTTCTTTCAACATCATACAACCTGTAGACACTAGCTAACTTCTACTGTCAACATGTAGGATACGATGTCAGTAACATTGCGAATATCCAACCACCGATCTACGAAGCCTTCGGCCAGGTCCATCTCCTGCCATGGGTTGCGACGGGTTACACGGCAACCCAAGTCTGCATGGTTCCTCTCGTCCGCAAGCTCGCCCTTTTGGGCCATGTAAAGCTGCAGATAGTTGCCTACACTTTGATCTTTCTCATTGGTGCAGCCGTATCTGGTTCCGCCACCGGCATGAACTCCGTCATTATCGGTCGCGCGGTTTCAGGAGTTGGAGGAGCTGGAATCTACCAGCTGTAAGTGAAGTGTAGACTCCCTCGTTCACTGGGCTCGCCTTAGCTGATGGCGTGATATAGCTGTATCCTGGTCAACGTCCTTCTCACGACTCCAGCAGAGCTTCCTCGTGTCCAAGGTATCATGGCTGTCTCGTGGGCGATTGGACTGACATTAGGTCCCGTAATCGGAGGAGCCTTTGCTGAGAACCAAAGTGCTACTTGGAGATGGGCAATGTATCTCAATCTGCCCATCCTTGCTGTCATCGCCGTCCTCAACTTCGTAGCTCTGCCTCCCATCGAGGTTGGCGTCAACACGCCTCTTATCGGCGGTCTCCTTGCCATCGACTGGTTCGGCATCGTTCTGCACATGGCAGGATTCATCATTTTGTGCTCAGCTCTCATCTTCAGCGGTTCCACTTGGGAGTGGTCGTCTCATTCAGCGATCGTGGCCTGGGTCTTTGTGGGTGTCATATACGCCATCTATATTGCGCAGCAATACTTCTGCTTTTTCACTAGCAAAGAACACCGAGCGATTCCTGCAGACCTCCTCAAGAGCCGAACCATCGCCCTCGTCGGCCTTGGAACAATGGCTGCTGGCAGCTGTTACGGAATCGCTTTGTACTACACACCATTGTTCTTTGCCTTTACAAAGGGAGTCGAGCCAGTCGATGCTGCCGTCCGCATACTTCCATTCATCTTCACCTTCATCATCTTCACAATCGTCATGGCCGGCATGATACCAGTAATCGGTCGATATGCCCCGTTTTACGTGGCAGGTGGTGCCCTGGCAATGATCGGCGCCGGCCTTCAAACTCAAATCACACCTCAAACCTCCGAGGCCCGAGTAATGGGAGTCAGCACCCTCATCGGTGCCGGGACCGGATGCATGTGGCAGACCGGAGTTGCCATCATGACGCAGGCCGTACCCGCGAACCGTCGTCTCGACGTCACCGCGCTCTTCATCATGGTTCAGCTTGGCGGTATCTCAGTCACACTTGCTCTAGCTGGTTGTGTCTTTTCGAATCTCGGCTTCAACCGTCTCCACGCGTCGCTTTCGGGGCTTGATTACAACGATCACGATATTCGGGAAGCTTTGGCTGGTCTCGACTCTAAAATTTGGACGGCCGCAGATCGTCGGGTGGTTGCGATTGCCGTTCAAGATGTCGCGAGTGTAATTGCTGATATGCAATTTGTGATTGTGGCGGCGGGAGTTGTGGCTTTTCTGAGTGGCTGTTTCATGAAGTGGGAGAAGCTGGACTTTGGGAGGGCGAAGGTGTCTAAGTGAACTTGTATGAGAAAATGATTGCACTTGGAGCTTGATGAGATGAATCTGACGGAGAGCACACTGTACAGTTCAAGGCAGTGTGCTCCTCCCGGTCTAATATTTTCTTTGTCTTTTCTAGCTTCAACGTTGAAATGTTGACGATTGCTATAACGATAGCTAGAATGAGAAAGATGGGCTGGCGGGAAATTTGGAACCTCAACAATCCAGTTTGTTTGTGACATGTCCCAGGTAGAATCAGGGCTAAACGTTCCATTCACAATTCTATAGCCAGGAGGAGATGAGATGGGGGATGCAGATGAAGAAAAAGAAGGGTCTTTTGTAGGGAATCGAACAAAAAACTAAGCGTTGGTTTGACGTTTTCCGAGTAAGAATGGATTCCACTGGCGCCTCCTTAACCCCTCGACCACGGTCCCCAAGTCACTTGGTGAAAGGAGGGAAGGAGAACATCCTCAAGTACCTACCTTCACCAATCTCGCCGACGTATACTACCACGTGATCACATGTATTCATCAGATGCTACTGCCACCACCCCTATGGCATGTACCAGCTTCTACTCTGTGGTGGCTCTTTCCCATACTGTCGTTTACATACATTCCTTACAGAAAGCGAGGAGCTTGAAGCCTAAGACAGGTGACACACTATCTGAGTACTGGCGGATTTGGTTTACTTTAGGTGTAAAATTTGTGTCAGGTTTGTCCCCAAATGAAGAAAAAGTCCAATTCGTCCATCCATTTCCTGTTATTAGAGATTGCTCTTGTACCAAGGATCAAAAAAGTGTACTAGATGCCTGCTGGATGTCATTGAAATTGAGTTCAACCGAATTGTCATTATGACATCAGTTAATGGTAGGGTTCTAGGATGGCCTACTCTTAGTCTATATGGTACTAGCATGAGGCTCGATGTTTATTCATTACCTCATGTGTCTAAACTGTAAGAACTGAAATTTGACTTTACCTTGTGGAAGGGTCATTATTGGGATGGCTCCAGAAGTTTTGACGAGCTGGGGCAATCACTAAGCTGCCCAGCATGGAGGAAATTCCTCGAAAATATGCGCAGCAGTTTCAATATCCGTTCCCAATGCTGGCAGCATCTCCCTACATTTTCCATGAGGTTCCTTCCGTGTTTTGTCATACCGTGTGAGAAGAGAAGAAGCCATAAAGCAAGAGTTGACCATTGATCATAGTTGACGCCTGACAAACAAGAAGCTCAAGTGCGAATCTCTGCTATCCGATGACGTGACTTCATCGCCTTTTCACTGCAACACTTGTCGACATCCATAAGATAACGAAAGGAACCATCTGCAGCCTGATAACGTAGTAACGGTACGACCTCCAGCTCGACGATCTCCCTCTTATTTCCCAACTTCCTCACTGAGAGTTTGCCGCGCGGTTGTGGTTCTTCAGGCGTGGGTCAGTGCCGGGGTAAAACTCGCCATCATCGGAGAATGTATGCGCTGGCGGAGTGGGGTCAGCTTGGCCGGGTCTGCTGTGCCGGTTGGGCGGGGTGGTAGGGTTGAAGGGACCGGCCGAAAGACCGGCCGAACCAGGCGTAGAAGAACGTCCGGGAGGGGTGTGTTGAAAGTATTGAGCGTACAGGTTGTAGGTCGAATAGCCAGCAGCAGCTGCTGCTGGATCGACTGGAGAAGAGCGATGATCGTCAGGGCCGTAGCCGGGAGGCCGAGAGCCTAGATTACTGTCAGGACGGAACTTGAGACCGGGATGAGAAGGAGGGATTGGGCCTGCATGAGCCGCATGAGGCGCGCCGTAATGGGAAGGACGGTAGAATGGGTGAGGCGGGTATGGAGGCTGAAGAGGGTGGGTAGGATCGTACCCAGGATAAGGCATACCTTGAGCTGCCGCCATGTTTGCAGCCTCAACGGCTTTGGCCTGGTGGTAGGCAAGATCGCCTGCGGTTTGGGGGTTAGCGTTATGTTGCGATGAAGATGGTGGGATGGCACCATGTCCATGTGAAGATCCGAGTTGCTGATCGACGTGGCCAAACGGTGGGGGTGGGGCTGGCACGTGAAATCGCGGGGGAATGAAGCCTTTCATGTGAGGAGGAGGAGGATTGAGATGTGCGTATTTGGCTGGCATATGCATAAACATACCGTGATCAACTGGAGTACTGGTAGGAGAACTATCGACGCGCGTGGGGGTGAAGGGCTGAGCAGACGGGTTGAGGTTGGCCGTGGAACCCGAGGAAGCGCTGACCTTGCCAGAGCTGGAACGAGACATGTTGATGCTAGGCGTGCTATCTCGAGATGCTATCGCGAGAATGTGACTTTCCTGTTTTGGCAATATTCTGGATCGAGTGTAGCGGCGGTGCTTCTTTTTCGGAACTCGGATGCGGCGTTTGATGAGATGGGGCTGTCTGTAGCGATGAAAAACGGAAGGAGCGAGAGTTGCTGTGGGCATTGTACCCTCCATGCTTATACCATCGCATCTGTTTGTAGGTTTGGTGAAGCTATTCTCACTTTTTGCGTTTGATTGTGGGATACGATGGAGACCGTTGACTTGTTCTAGAAGAAGTGTGTAGGTAGACAGGAAGCCTGATTCCTGCCTAGGTAGGCAGCCCCAAATTCAGCCGAAGTGTGCTACCTGCCTTGTGTTTTTTTTTGTTAATTATTCCTTCGTTTGCTGCCTGGGAACAAGGGCCTAAATTCTTTGAAATCCCTTCGTTTGAGCCCTCCCTGCTTAGCCTTTGAACCAAAAATCGATTCACCAAAAGTTGCTCGGACACAGTAGCAGCTTTTGGACTTGGAAAATTGCATGTTGACTACCTTGAAACCTACTTTACCTGCATTGATGACTTCGAAGTTTGCGGCATCATGACAAATGATTGTTGCCTTGCCACGCCAACCGTACAGTTTGTGGGAGTTCCTGCCTACTTTGGTAGCATGTGATGCCGCAGAAAGCCCATTTCAGATATCGCCTCTGTTCATCTGAAGGCGTATTTGGTGTCGAATATGACACAAATTCTGAGTCTTGATAAGGCATGGGCTTCCGTACAACCTCAAGCTATGCATATAGGATTGAAACCCGCTAAGCGTCGTCAGCGATCTGCTACTACACCCCTTTAGTTAGGTGTATACATATGTCAGGCACCGCACCCTGTTCCGGAAGATCTGCAAAAGGCCCTCGGACTTTATTTCAAGTTCTAGGCTCTCCATGTTCAAGTACCGTGAAGGGAAAGATGGGTGCTACATGATTTGCCACATGTTCCGCATCGTATGCAAGCATTGTCAAGTTTGTTCTGTAGCACTGCGGATAGCTCCGAGGCGTATGCACGACACAGACAAACAGCTGCTAGATGCGGCAGGAGGGTAAGACAAGATCAGTTCTTCAAACTGCAAACATGCCGCAAATGACGTTAATTGATGCGAGCCCGACAAGTACGCGATCTTCAAGTCCTTTTGCGTGCCAAGTGGGCCGAAATTCTGGTCTCCCCGACCACTGGGCAAAACACCAAGTTGATGCTATCTTATACAGCATGTGAAGATCATGGGAAGTCCAAACAAGGTGTGCATGGGCAGGTTAGAGTTGCCAATTCTGATTGAGATCTGATCGCCGACCGATTAACTTCGAGCGGATCCTGCTCCGAAGTCCGACACGTCCTCTGGCATGCCAAGGAACCCTACGCTGACCGGTCCTGCTCCGTCTGATACTCGGACAATGTCGCCGACTTGGCGAATTGAGGCTTTTGCTACAGTTGCAGGCCATACAACCCTTTGACGCGTTATAGAGGAGCAACAGAAACATCCCAGCCACCTTGAGTGAGGAAATGTCCGACATCGGTTATACTCGAGACCGGGGGAGCTGACGAAGCGACGTCACAACTAATCCCGCGCGTTCGAAAATGACTCGGAGTAAACGTCACAGGGCTTCCGAAGGCCAGGATCGCAATGAAGTTCCGCGGGAAACGGTCCTTGAAGATGCTGACGAAAACTTGACAAAGTGCAGGACAATGTCGTAGGCCAACGAGCCAACAACCGAAGCCCTGCGATGTCTCCCGATCTTGCGCGCGCGCGTGTGAAGCTCTTCAAAAGTTCAAAACACCAGCAACCTTGAGGAATCCAGTCCTGGTCGCCCCGGCCCACCCCCAGCTCCGTGACCCCACTACGGTCGGGCTTCCGATGCAGACGGCGGCAGCGGCTCGGAGGAGATGGCTCGTTGCGGCAACTGCAATGTGATCACCCGCCTTGCGCTCTTTTCGCCTAGTCCAATGTTACCTCTTTCCACGTAATATGGAAGAAGAAAGCGTCCAAAAAAGGTTGACAGAAACCGGTTAGGAGCGATACCTGTACGGTTTTACATCAGCATCTGTCATCCACAAGCAGCTTCCCGAAAAGCCGCCAAGTTCTGGTTTTGAACAACTGTGCCTCGCTCACATGTGACATGGACCTGTATGATTTAGGCGCGAAGAAGTGAACCGCGTCTTTAGGTGGTTGTATGATGTGCTTCCCGCGTCTTGGCCACCTCTTGGGCCCTCTCGATAGGTCGTTTGGTTGCGTTCGGTTGAGTGACGTGAGGTTGCATCGGCACATAGAGCTTCTCAACAAGGGATAGTTCCGGAACGTCGCAGTGCAAACGGAATCGCCCTGTCCGCGTCTAAATCGTCCCCCACGGTTGCCCGGCCCCATAGGTTGCACCGGGGCCCGGCTCGAAGAGAGAGGCCAGCCAGCGTCAACACCAACTTTCATGGCTTGGCCCAGTTGCTGCCCACGGATCGCGGGGGCAGAAAATCACACCACTTGAATCCACTCGTAGAGATTGATTAGATTGCGTCGCAGCCATCCTGGAGCCATCTCGATCTGGACTTTCTGGGGGCTGGGTCCTCCCTCCACTCACTGATGAAGCCTAGCCTGTCGCCAGAGCCTTTTGCGCAAAGACTGGACCTGGGAGAAGGGACGAGAGCAGCTTCGTCGGTCACAAGGCCTCAGCTGGAGAAAGTCTGGAGCCGTTTCTCGTGGTTTCGATTTCCAAGGACGTGATCCTTGAAGCCTCGTCGATCCTCCGAGTCGATCCCGAGCTCCCCGCTGCTCCGCAGAAGGCAATCAGGCTCCAAAACTCGTTGCTCGCGACTGAGTGGACGCCCAGTGATCGTTGATCAGTGATTAGTGCTTTTATATCGGTAGCCAGCAGGCGATGAAACGCTGCGTTGCTTTCGTTTGCGGTCTCGTATTCCGGCGGCCAGATGTTCCTAAGCTCGGCCGAGAAGGTAGTTAATCGTGACAACCAAGTTCCACCCCGCCCACCGGCAGTCGAGGGCCCACTCCCCAGGCCGGGCCGTGGGCGTTAGACCGATGTCATTTGTGGACTTGGACTTGTTTGTAAAGATTAACGCGTTAACTTGCAACTAGGTTGAAAGTGCTTGCATGAAGTACCACACCTAGAAGCTAGGTCCCACGAGTTGCGAGGTGGGGCCTTGCAGTACGTTGCAGGACTCTGCCACCTTGGTTGATACACCTTGAAGAGGATGTTATCGATGTTTGGATGTGATGAGATGGATGGATGGATGAAGGGATGTATGCGCGCACGTCGGCCCCGACAACTTTCCTGTTTGAGAGCCAGCGGTCAAGTTCACCCGCAGTCCTGACAAGGACATGGTTTCTTTCTTGAGATGGCTGCGAGGTCTTCTCAACGCGGAAGGAGAATTTTGATGTGTCAGTCCGAACCTCTCGATGTAGCTCGGGTGGAGTTCGAAGATGTCTGCTGGCCATCAGTGGGAGGATTCACGCAACAACCCCGGTGGATGACCTTGGGTGTGATGCAACTCAACACGGATGTACGTGATGGTGAGAGATTTTCCTCTTGCGTCCGGTCCAGGAAGGAGGATGAGGGCTTGCGTTGTCAGGGTATTGGCGGTCGAGGTTGTCGAGGGGCTCCAAAGGAGGCTGGCGAAGATATTTAAAGTCTCGAGCGCTCGCCAACATGGTGACGAGTCGACAAGCAACAGGAGCATTTACTCCTTCAGATCTATTAGGATTTGGAATAGTCTGGTCTTTATTTGGCTCTCATTTGGAATTTATCCTTGCCAGTTCCCTCCTCCAGTCTATTTTAGTCCCGCAGCCATGCAGAACACCATCGTTCAAGACTCGGCGTTAACTCCGGTTGGGCCAGCCCCTCTATCCTTTACCCAAGGCGAACGAATCAAATCCACCTATCCCACTGTTACGGCCGCATTCTATCATCATGCAGAGACTCATCCTGATGTCACCGCAGGGCGTGACTTGTCGTCGCAGCAGATTCGTGAGATCACTTACGGTGATCTTGCTACTCGAGCCAACCAGCTCTCAAGGAAACTGACCACACTCGGGGTCAAGCCTGGAGATAGAGTGCCTCTCGTCGTGAAGCGAGGTATTGACATGCTGGTTGGTATAGTTGCGATTCTCTCTTGCGGTGCTCAGTACGTTCCTCTCGACGGCGGTGTGGTTCCAGACTCTACACTACGGTTTGTTTTGGAACAGGCGGGCGGCAAGCACGTTTTATGTCTCAAGTCGACAAAGCATCGATTCGACACTCTCGGTGTTCCCTGCGAGATCTTTGTCATTGATGAAGATTCGGAGAAAGATAAGGAGGTTTCGCAATCCTACCCTATCCAGGACCTGGCCCAACCAGACCATGGCTGCTACGTCATCTACACCTCGGGTAAGCGAACATCTCATCGCCCATTTAGATTTGAGAAGACAGTTGAGCTAATTCTCTGGCTCTGTAGGAACTACGGGCACTCCCAAAGGAGTGGATGTCACCCACAAGAATGTGACTAACCTCGTGTGCCTTTCACCTGGTGGCCTGGGTATCTCACCTGGAACGCGGGTGGGTCAGGTGTTGAATATCAGCTTTGATATGGGTAAGTCTTAGTTGCTAATACCCTAATCGCTGATGCTGACTTTGTGGTAGCTGCATGGGAGATGCTGGGATGTCTCTGCAACGGAGGAACTCTCGTCTTGAGAGGCTCAAAGTGGGAGCCGTGTCTGAGAGAGGTGAGATAACTAAGACTTAGCATCCAACAAGACAAGACTAACATAACCCACAGACTCAAGTCCTGATTTGTACACCAAGCATCTTGGCCAAGTATGATCCTCGGGAGTACTCCAACATCAGAGTTGCTGCGACGGCGGGTGAACCCAGCTCTCAGAGGTGAGACTTCCATTACACTTCTAAAGTGAATTATACTGAGGATGAAATCGATAGGCTCGCCGACCTCTGGGCCACTCACGCAACCTACTACAACTGCTGTGGACCTACGGAGACTACCATTGTCAACACCATGCATCTTCACCGCCCGGGTGAAGCTCTGACAATCGGAAAGCCTACACCAAACAACACCGTCTACGTTCTTGACGCGCAGGGCAACTCTCTAGGTGTTGGGGAAGCCGGAGTTATGTGGGCTGGTGGCCACGGAATCTCCCGGGGCTATGTCTCTCTGCCCGAGAAGACTGCTGAGAGATACAAGCTGGACCCTTTTGCTAATGACGGGTGAGTATAATCCCTCGTACTACTCAAAACTACCTGCTGATACTCTTGTAGATCTATGATGTACAACACTGGTGACCTCGGTCGCTGGAGATCGGACGGCTCAATTGACATCCTCGGAAGAGTCGATGACCAGATCAAGATCAAAGTAAGTAGCATCTCCAAACTCATACATTCAAGGAGCTTTCTAACACATCATTTGCAGGGGTTCCGGGTTGAGCTTGACGGAGTTACCTCTTCAATCAGCTCTTGTCCCATCGTCTCAAAGGCCACCGCCTTGTTCATCAGCAATGAGATCCACGGGTTTGTCGCACCCAAGGACTGCGATCTCGACACGATACAAGCCCACGTCAGGGCTCGTCAGCCTTACTACGCGATCCCGACCAAGTTCCACTTTCTTGACGCCCTTCCTCTGACTGCAAATGGCAAAGTCGACAAGCGTGCGCTTCAAGACATGGTCACCGAGACTGGCAATACCGACAAGAAGGAAGTCGCCGATGTCACCATCAGGGAGACCGCCTCAAAAGAGTCCCTGTCTACTGACAGCAACTCCACCACCACGGACCTCAAGGCCGAATCCTCCGCCTCTAGCTTCACCGAGACAGACGAGAAGCTCGACCTCACCGGCGACATCCCCGCAAAGAGCCTCGGCCGTCCCTACCGCGGCTTTGTTCACCGGATCGCCATCGTTTACCGCCGTCTCTTCACAATCGTGGGTCTTTTCAACATCGCGGCCGTCATCGCACTCGTCTTTGCCGGGTTCCAGCGCAACTGGCTCAGCACTCTCACAGCCATCAACCTGGTCGTCGCAGTCCTTGCCCGCCAGGACTTTGTCATCAACGCGCTTTACACAATCACCTGCAACGTGCCAAAGTCCTGGCCCCTCGCCATCAGGAAGCGCTGCGCCAGGATCTTCCACTTTGGCGGCGTTCACTCAGGCGCTGCTGTTTCTGCCGGAGCTTGGCTTTTGGCTTCCAACATCAGCGATGAGGTCTGCCAGCTGACAGAGTGCCCTAATTGGGGCCACCAGTCTATGGCTTCAAAGGTCGTGTCTTGGCTTCTTACGGGTTTGTTCACCATCACTATCGGTCTCGCTTGGCCTGGGTTCCGCAAGACCCATCACGACCTCTTCGAGAAGACCCATCGTTTCGTCGGATGGACCATGCTGGGGCTGTTCTGGGTCCAGGTTGTCCTCGGCGCGAACGACAGCAAGGTCGCAGAGATGTCCCTGGGCGACGCATGCATTCGAACTCCCGGCTTCTGGATGCTGGCGGTCGCCACGATGAGCATCGCCTCCTCTTGGTTGTTCCTCAAGAAAGTTCCTGTCGAAGCTGAGGTGCTTTCCGACCACGCAGTGAGATTGCATTTTGACTACACGGTCCCCGTCAACGGCAGCTTCGTCAGACTCTCTCAAAGGCCTCTTCTAGAATGGCACTCGTTCGCCACGATTCCGGCCCCTGAGAAGGTCGAGCATCGCGAGAAGGGTTTCTCTTTGGTTGTTTCCAACGCTGGCGATTGGACCAAAAATTGCATCCAGAAGCCCCCCACCCACATATGGGTTCGTGGTGTCCCGACCTGTGGTGTCATGCGCATCGCGACTTGCTTCAACCGCGTCGTGGTCATTGCCACTGGATCCGGCATTGGGCCTCTTCTTGGCCACATTCAACAGCCAAGCTGCGCGACGCAGTTGATCTGGTCCACACCAAAGCCCGAGCAAACATTTGGCAAGCCTTTGCTCGACGCCATCAAGAAAAAGATCCCCAACGCAGTGATTCACGACACCAAGATATCGGGTCGTCCGGATCTGGTGAAGATGGGATACAACCTTGTTCAGAGCTTCAACGCCGAAGCTGTCATTATCATTGCGAACGAAAAGATCACAAAGAAGGTTGTTTATGGCCTTGAAACTAGAGGTGTTCCGGCTTATGGCGCTATTTGGGACTCTTGAGCGATTGACTCGTTAGAAGCGCCGGGGGATGATTCCTTTTCTTGTCAATTTCATTATTCCTTGGTTTCTAAATGGAGTTTGGCGCTTTCCGCATGATTTTGATTTGTGGTGCGAATCTGTCGACCAACATCTCACATTTTTCTTTCATGATTGTCATCCAAACTGCTAGCTATTAGATAGTGATTTCAGTCCACTCTTTACTTATGATATAGAAAATGTCGCCCGTAATTTAGGCATATCGCCATTTGCCTAAGTACCTAAACGTAAGGCGGATACAGCAATGCCACCATAGGCACTGTCATTGACTTTCAGACATGTCAGAGCAGCTCCCTTTCATAAGATGATTCATACCTGTAGTTTACTTGAACTGACTTATTCATTCTGAATAATCATGTGGTGACTCTTCATAGGTGGTTTCTCGTCGTCAAAGTAGACAGACCGCTGATCGCATCCCATCATTCCGATGCAGTTCGATCGTCATATAATGTAAGTACACACTGAGATAATGCTTCGTTCCAGTCTGCGTGGAATACGATAATGAAATCAAAATTAGATAGGATGGCTGAGTGAAGCTACTCTGTCATCATCAGCAACGCGTGGGAGGGGAAATGACTGCAGCCATGGATGGTACAAGGCCCACAACTAGATCGGGGAATTAGTCAGTCACCAATCAATAATGAAGGACCACGGAGAGCCTATTGCCAGGTGGCCAAGGCAGACTCGTGCGCTGCGAACAGAATAGAGATGAGCTCTCCAGTCTAGTTTGCCGAGACACCCAGAGGTCTTTGGCCGAGACTCGAGAGGCTGCGATGTCATCGACGCTATCTGTAGATATCTAGGACAACAAAAACAACCTTTACTAGATTAGCTCATTTCCTTGGCAATGGTAATCTATGACTCGCCGAGATTATGCGTGCCTCCAGTCATGTCCGACGACTAACTCCGGACACGAGGTTGCCTTCTCCTGTCCCGTCTTCCCGCCTTGAATCTCATACGCCGGTAGCTTAGAGAGCGGCTGGACTTGCTGGCCCCCTCAGGAATCTTCAAAGCCCCCGAGGTCTGAGCGCTCTGATGACTGGACACACGTGTGCTATTGATTAGATGAATGGCCGATGATTTACACGGAGCTGCACTTGGCGACAACTCCCTGGCCAGTTGGAGTTGAGGTGATTAAGCACAGCAGCGCAGCAGTCGCTGCAACCTCAACGGGTCGGAGACGTGAAAACATACGATATAATAAGATTAATGATGCGGCCTAAAACATTTCAAGATACGCGTGGTGCATGAATTGAGGGGTAGCGTGCTGGCTTCGATGGCATCGTGCCTAGGTCGTCTTGGCACATATGATAGTGCGATTTACGCCAATGATTTACCATTCAGAAAAAGATGCGTCCCTTAAGATTGTATCTTTCTATGACTCCAATACTGCAGAAGCTTTAGTATGTAACCATGGGCCTGAAGCCACACCTCTGCGGAACCCCATTTGGAAAGGGTAGATGCTATGTCCTATGTCGGGAAGGTATTTCTGCTCTTCCATCTACGGTTCGAACCATATGTCTTGTTCAAAACCTGTTTTGAACTCCGATCACTTGATAAAGAAGTGTTTCAAGTGTGGTAACAGTAGCATTGGTATGTCCTGGGTGTCGTTGCTCCATTAAGAACCCTAGGCCGCAAGATGCACAGGCAATTGCATCATGGAGGCGTATGGAGTTAGGAACCATTGCGTTCGATATTCAACACGGCGCAGAACAAGCCCAATTGTTGCAAGATAGACGATCAGCTTCCTAATAAAGAAGCTCAGTAGAGGTTCGGCAGATAATATGCCAAATGCCAAGTAAAATGGTTCCTAAGACAAAGTGACTGGCAAGAGGTTGGCAGATGTGTGTTGCCGAGACTCATGATGCAGAGGCAACATGGATAACCTCGGTGTCTAGTCAAGGGATGTTACTCTCAGCAGCATAGTCGATGTCGTCCTACAGATTCCTGATGCCCTTTGTGCTTGTGTGCAATTCTCGTTCAGATGGTTTGGGGGACAGATGTGCAATATCGCTGCAGCTGGCTGGCCTTGATTTACGTGTTTATCTGTCATTTTAAGAGTGCAACTTCTGCATGAGCGAACGAGAGGCATAAGCTTTGAGCCATGGAAGAGCTTTCATGTTCCTTGCTGTTTCTGGCAACGAGCGAATCGGTGGCTAGATGTCGTCTGTCAGCAGTGCAGATGGCTAGGGCTTCGTGAGGGCTTCGTGAGGGCTTCGTGAGGGCTTCGTGGACGTTTCGCGATGGAGACTAGCAGGTACTCTGGACAAAGCTATGTTAACAGTGAAGATGAAAATATTGACAAGATTGAATGCTTCAGATCCCACGTCGACCTGCTCTATTCGGTTCAACTCCTGCATAGGATTGGTCAAACCAAGAGATAAACACATGCCAAAGATCTGTCACCCGAGGCATCAAGTTGAATCTTGCTGCATCAACGGGAGGAACAAATCTTGGCAGAAACGTGTCAAACGATTATGAGGGGTTGAAAGGTCGTTCGAGCCGCTGTGACCTCGAGACGGTAACTCGGAGGGTAACATAATGTCCCAGAAAGGGGAGGTAAGAGTCATTTCAGTTTTCGATGAACATGTGGGAGAGCTCTTGGGTGAACGATCGATGATATCGACTCCCCAACTTCCAAGTTTGTTGCGGTAGTCGTATTTGATGCCGGAACTTGGCTGCGTCTGCATGCAACCTAGGGCGGCTGCACCATGCGGCATATCGCCTACACCAAGGGCTAAGTCTGCTTCCTCAGGACCCAAAACAACCTCTTAAAACTAGCTCAATGTGACGTAGACGACGGCTAGCTAGTCGATCAAGGACGTTCGTCATTAATACCAAGGGCTGGGCAGCGCAGGGGTGTCTTGAAGCGCTCTAGAAAGTTCAGGTGGCTGAACTTGCACAATCTGCCATCCAAACCAGACTTGCTTCTTTCGGCCCTGATCTGTTCTTCGGCATTCGACAGTCAAACATTGCCCACCTCGGCGTTGCATTGTAGCTTGCAGACTTGAGTTGTATTTCGACACTGAATCGGTAGCACAAGCCCGGGTACGACTAAGACAAGCAACTTTGAGAGTTTATGATACTGATTCGGGCGATTTCGTGCACAATGGAACAGTTGCTGACTGCAATATCCTGACGCAAAAAGTCCTGTTTCTCGGAGTCGAATTGCAAGGCGCTCTCGAAAATCTCGCGATCATCGTGCATGCTGCAATTCGGTTTCGCAGAGCTCAGCGTTGTCGAAAGAGCCCTAGGATGGAGACGCGTTGGGGTTTCAAATGACATTCATCTCAACTCAGCCCGGATTGATTGTCGAGAAGATCGGATAAACGGCCCAAAGAGTTTTTTATAGTATTTGTCAATACAGCCACTCAGAGCAGAGTTGTTGAATTCGTAGTGGTGTTGATGTCGTATTGTGGTTTTCTGTGGTCCCCCCAGCGTGGCAGCGCAAGCTGCATCCTGGTTCCCCACAAAGCACCGCGAAAGCGAGGTGAAAGGCAAGTTAGGCCAGACGTGCCTCAAGTTCAGCTGTCTTAAGTAGTTCAGTCGTCAAACACGGGACGATTGGCCTGTGCTTACTCAAGCATCGACAGTCCGGGCGGCGAGAGCGAGTCTCACAAACCCTGGAATGTTAGGTGGCCTCGTTAGAAAACATCTGGACAGCTTAATTATAGTTGCTTCTGTGTGTAAGCGTACGATGGCATCCTAGTTGCTCGATTGCTCATACAATAAGTCCGAGTAGTTACAGGACGAACGCCATCGATGGCAAGAATGCGAGAAATAAAGCTGAGACGGAAAAGAAGTGCCGATGGAGAATTCCAGATCCAGAATCAATCAAATATCAATATGTCCGGAAAGACGTGACGGGAGAAAAGAGGGTCACGGACAATCGAGGCATTCTTTTTCCTCCGCAGCTATGGTTAGTTGCGCCGCATCTGATGGGGAAGCGAAGCATTGGTAGGAGCTTGGGACCAATTGACCATGTCCAAGGTCACGCTGGTTCTCGAAACCGAGCTTCCAATCTGTTTTGAGGTAAAGTTTGCCAGATTTTCCATGCTATCAAGGGCCCCTTGATTGGTCTTTGTCGGTATTTACAACCCTAGTGCCGATCTGATGCCCAGTTGTCCCCCACTCTCTGTCGGAATGGGTGACATCGACTGGACGGACAGGTTCACGTAGATTGGATGGGTGGCTTGGCTTCAGATAAAATTCTCCGCTAGTTCACCATAGGGCAGATCTTTGCAAGGCTTGGGGGCGAGGCAGACAGGTGCGAGCAGACAACTGGCAGTGAAACGCCTTGTTGCACTCAGTCACCATCTTTTGCATTCACAAGATAGCGGATCCTTGGGCTGTTCTAGGTTCATCCTGGCCTTGAGGGCCGGATAGAGCCTGCCGGCAGTCGTTCATTGGATCCCCGCCTGTGTCAAAGGCCAAATGCTCCACTCGGGGTTACCCGCGCTGCGTAACGGCGCAGGGGCGTTAATTTGGGTTTGAATCGGTCTCGGTCTCGGTATCGCAGTACAGAGTGGGAGAGTTCCATCGACCGGCTGTGCAACAGTGCAATACACCAAACACGAATGATTTGGCTGTCAATCGTTGCAGTGATCTGCCAGTGTTGTGCAGTCTGATCTTGTTTTAGACTAAAACGTCGTCATGACAAATGACTCGGCCTCAACATAGGGGTTTACTTTAATAGTCCATCAACGACGCAAGATCATGATCAAATCAGCCGACAATTCAACATCATCTCGAGCCAAGTTGACAAAAACAGCATCTTCATCGAACTAGATACTCAAGAGCGCAACTTGCTAATCTTGAAATCACATCATTGCGTATACGCAAAGTCAATCCTCAATTCCCCAATTTGGATTCGATACCGAACGCACCAATCAAGACCCGCCAACTTACCGTTAACGGAAATCCTACAACATGGCCGAAGCAGCAGCACACAACTTTCCCCCCGTCTCTAGCGAGGTCGTCAACTTGGCGATTGCGGAGCTAGTTCTCTATGGCCTCATGTTCCCTCCCGCAGTATGGATCACCTGGAAGCACGGAAAGAAGGGCATGGTATGCTGGCCTATCTTTGTCTCTCACTTCGGAATGAGATTCATTGCCGATATCTACCAAGTCATCAAACGAGACGAGCCATTGCTTCCAAACCAGTTCAACATCATGACTAGCGCCGGTAGTTTGGCTTGCTTGTCACTGACCTTGATTGGTATTGTTTACGAGGCGTAAGGGAATCCGTCAATACCTGGGGTCGATAAGAAAGACTGACTCACGTGTGTTCTATAGCAACATCATCCTGCCCGGATCACCGAAGCGATGGACCGAAAAGATTATCTTGGGCGTCACCCATCTCATGAACACTGCGGGTATCGGCATGGCAACCTACGGAGGATCCCCCAGTCACGAAGGCGGCCTTATCAACAACAGCTTGAACCAAATCGGTAACTGCTTGGAGCTCTTCGTCATGTTCGCCGTCTGCGCCTGGCTGTGGCCCACCTACAAGAAAATCCGATCTTCGTCCAGCCCCAACTGCCGCCCCGCGATGCTCATGATCCGCGCTGCTGTCGTCGGCTTGCCGTTCCAGCTGATCCACCTGGCTTACACCACGACCTACGCCTTCAACCAGATCTCCAGCCTCGACCCCATCATGGGATCTTTCGCGACGAAGCTTGTTCTGATTTTCGGCACATACCTTGGTGTCACAATCGCCATGCTCGCAGGAGGCTGGCTCAGCATGAGCGCCGATATGCCCAAGGCGGTGCAGGTAGAACTCACCCCTACCGATGTCGAAGGCAACAACAATCTTGTGCGTGACGACATTCCTTTGACCCGGGACTGGAGCAGGGACGACATTGCCAGAGCGAAGCAGGGCTTCGTCTAAAGCATCAAAAGCTTGGCGTTCGTCGTTTCCTTTGGACTTTTCTGAGAGATTATTTCCATTGCATTGCGTAGCGAAAGAAAACGAACCAACGGGTCAGGAGACTGACGACTTTTCGGGCCTTAGGAAGAAGAATATTCAGCTCAGACCGGAAGATTCCGACTTGGAGGACGAACCCGATCGAGGAAGGGAGCTAGGGCCTGGGAGACTTCTATCAACGACAACAGGGATTAGTGCTTTGAGGCAGGACGTGCAGGACACGGGAAACTGCACTCGAGTGCCGGATAGGTCTGGTTTTGGGTTTGGTATTTGGATTGGATGGGGGAATTTCCAGACAATTTCTTTCCCGGTTGATTTTACGTTTGATGGTCTTCAGTGTCGTTTTCCTCTTCCGCATATAGAGTGTATCATAAATCCTTTTCTTGGCGCCTTGACTGCTCAAATCGGTTTCAACGGTATGATTTCATTGAAACCTTGATCTGTGACTTGGGGACAACAGATATGGAACAATCCCCTGGACAGAGGGGCACGTCAGTCTTTCGACATTGGGTAACAAGAAAACGCACCTGTGTCAAGGATTGTCAAAGTAGTCTCCTTTGGCATGGTTGCAATCGAAGATGATGCACCTAAGATAGCTGATATTCGGAGGCACTTACAGAACAGGTCTTACGATTCCACAGCGCATCAGCCAAAGGCAAGACGCCTTGACTTCGTTCTCTTTGCGCACTATGGACACTAAGATTAAGCTCAAATTCAATCAGGATTTCTTCTTCTAGATAAGGTACTTCATGTAAGTTGTTCTAATGCGACTGCTTAGTGCTCGGCTAACTTGAGCAAGAGACTCAATCGGCCTAACCAGAACTGTAGGAAGGCTCAACTCCAATTTCGTTTTCTTGAATAACGTGGTAGAAGAGCGTGGATTCTTGTTATTCTGTCCTTGATTCAGTATTCTTGCGAAGATTGTACTCTGAATTCATAGTTGCACGTAATTCTTGTTAGTAGTTCGGTACTGGTATGTTTGCAATGTCTCTCGCGAGTCGTTCACTGTGGACAGTATCCAGGAACCCCGTCTCTGATCCCCACTCAAACCCTTCACCTTGTTGTCCAAGTCAACTTGCTATCAAACATACAGAACTCTGTGTATGTGTACCATTTAGTCTTGTCTTATTCGCACAGGCTCTTCTTGGAGTATCTTCTTCCCTGCCACCTTATATGATATGAGCCACAGAAGAAGAATGACAGCAAATTGTGAAAGAAGCATGTAAGGAAACACATGGAGCCCCGCCACCTGGGTGATAGCGCCGAGCATATATGGAAGTATGGCGCCGCCGACTTGGCCGAGGGAAGCAACAAACGATACCGCACCAACATGAAGCTCTTTTGGTAGGTAATGAACAAATTCGACGATGCAAGAGGGGAATAGCGGGCCCATAACGAAGCCGAGCAGTGCCATCGAAAGTACCGAGACCCACAGAACCTGCACTATCATGAAAAGCACCACAATTGCGGGAGCAAGTGCCAAGTAAATGATGACTGCCCGTCTTGGGGTCAACTTCTCTGTGACTGCACCCAAAGCTAGTCGTCCAATCGCCATGCCTGCCCAGAAGCCAGAAGAGCAAATACTGGATGCATAAGTGCTGGTATGGCGGACGCGGAGCATGAATGTGACAACCCAGCCGGAAACAGTGCACTCAGTGCCCACGTATGCCAGAAGGTAAGCGGCGTATATCCAGGTCGCGCTGTATCGGAAGATGGCTCGTTGATCTACTCCATCTTCAGGGTTTCCCTGCTTCTTCTTGTTCTCATGGTACTTCGCTGCAGTCTCGTGTCTGAACGCCAGGGGCAGAAAGACAACTTCTACAGCAGATGCAATAGCCTGAAAGCGTGTTAGTAGCCGACCAGGAAAGATTCCAAGCCTTGTCTAGGTTCCTTCGATAAAAACTTACCAGCACATAGAACCACTGATACCACTGTCCATTATTCGTAGACAACATAATCCCTGCTAGGTAGGGGCAAGTCGCAGCTCCAATCGAGAATGAGCCATGCAAAAGACCCGATAGGGTATTTGCGTTATTCAGTGCAGCAACCCAAGCACACCAAGATCCATCGACTATGCCAACTCCGAAGGAACCTACAGTGACTCCCAGAAGGAATACTGGAAAACGTGGATGGAAGGAGCCTACTGCGGCGTAGACCAGATGGCATGCGGGACCTATGAAAGCAATTCCGCGTTGCCCGAGTTTCTCATGGATGCGACTGTTGAGAAGAGATGCCAAGCAGTAGCCGACTGGTCCAACGAGAAATATGGCAGATACTTGAATTTCGTTGAGCTGGTAATATGTTTGCTGGTGCGGTAGTGTAACTCCAATTGTAGCCACGAAAAGGCCCGCGACTACGAAAGAGTAAGCTGCCGCGGCAAGCTTCAATGCGATGGCTTCTCGGTCTTGTCCGTTGATGGATGATGTTGGCTCGATATTCGAATCTGCACTTCTAGTGCCAAGCAACCGTTCTGATTCTGTTGCACCGTTAAAATCAGGTGATGAAATGGGAGGTGCCATGATTCGTGCTGTTGGGGTCGCTGTGAACGAAGAGCAAAAGTAAGTAGCTCCCTTGACTATGACATTAGGGTAAGTTGACGGCTTGAAATGGAGGGTGTCAGTGATTATTAACGGTTTCAGGGCTCGAGAACTGAGTCGGCAAAGCTTCGGATGATCATCCAGATGTTGCCTTTTTAGGAACATGTTCCAGCTCGGATGGGCCCTTGCGCTTCGTAACAAGGTTTAACAGTAAAGTGTTGGCGCTTGATGTCTTTCGCTCAGACCAAACTTCAAGGCTTCAACTTCACCCGACGATTAGCTTCAATGTTCTACCGCAGACATCTTCTGAATGTAGGATGTAGAACAAGCGTCATGTAGCTATGGTAACCGACTTCAGATACCGTACCCTCGATCTTGATCAACTCAAATTTGCTAGCTGGGGTAAGGCATGTAGTATTTCGAATAAGCCAGTCCACTCAACATAAAATAGCCAGGTAATAGCGCTTAGAATCCCGATTGAAAGTATGTACAATCACTTTTATTTCACCTCATGGAGAGGGACAAAATTGAGGGAGAGAGGGAGAACATCATGTTCGGGTCTCAGAATTGCATCAATTCGGCGCCAATATTTCTACTCCCGACGGGTCCAACGGATGCGCCCAGGTTGAACTGGACGCGCAAACATGGACGTGTGATCCGTCCGCGGCACGATGCCTGTTCTTCCATCTATAGTGCCCAGTTTGAAGTTGCGCACGATAGTGCCGACAATAACACCTAGATTCAAGTATGCAAATTTCTCGCCAATGCAGCGGTGTCGCCCCGCCCCGAACGGGATGTAAGGACTCCTAGTACCCTTGGAAACTGCGCCATAGCCGTAGTCTACAGCATCATTGGCATCAACGATGCTCTCGCTAGGCTGTAGCTCATCCCACCGATGAGGATTCCAGGACTTTGCGTCCGGGAAGTATTCGTCGCTTATGGCAGTCACCATTGGCGAGGCCAGCAGCACTTTGTCAGTGCCGACCACGTAAGGACTTCCGGGAATGGCCAGAGGGTTCATAACCTTGCGGAGAATGGAGTGGATGGAACCATGTAGGCGAAGCGTCTCCTTCACGACATTGTGTAGAAGTGGCAGCTTGTCTAGATCGGAATATTGCATTGGCGAGAGTCGACTTTTGTCTCCATGGCCAAGATTCAATATCTGCTCTTGATAAAGCTCTTCTGCAACGTCGGGATGTGCGGCTAAACGATGCATGATCCATGCACTGGCTGAAGATGACGAGTGTTGACCTCCCATGAGGAGCGTGATCATCATGCACGCAACCTCTTTATCTGGCACCGGTGTTCCATCCTTGTAGTTCGAGTTCATGAGGTTCCAGAGCATGTCGTACTCGTCGTTGGACTCGAGACCATTCTTACGACGTTGGATGATAATATCCTCGTATACGTCTCGCATCTTGTTGTGGGCAGCATCGCGACGTCGGTTTCGGGGTAGAGGTAGCCAAGGAAAGAGGAAGTTGACTGGGGTGAAGCCCTAGGCGGCCAGGCTGTTAGTATCATACTTGCATCTAGAGAAGCCAAATATCAACGGGGGGATATGGGGCACCTACCATGTCAAGATCATGGTACAAGCCCGCGAACTCAGCCGTCAGCTTTTGCCTGACCTCTTCTCCCTGCAACGAGCGCGCTGCTGTGAATAATGTGATCTCAGACATGGCGGCAGAGATATCAACAACACCCGATGACCCCTTCCATGCAGGGCTCATCTTGATATAATCCACCACTTCCTTCTCAATCAACGGAACATGAGATTCTAGAGCCTTTTGTGTAAGTCCAAACTTAACAAACTTCTTCTGTTCCATGAGCTTGGAATTAGGGCAGTCGTAAATGACATCTTTTCCGAACACGGGAATCGTGAGCGGTCCGTAAATCTCCTCGGCGTTGATGTCCTGAAGCTTCCCATTGAGAATAAAGTCGTTACCCTCGATTCCCAGATAGCAGGTCATTTTCCTGCCAAAAAGGGTGAAAGTGAAGACATCACCGTACTGACCAAAGGTTAGCGAAATGAAAGCTTATAGCTCATGTTGCTCCTGCGCGGGTCTTTGGTAGGCTATACCTTCGCACGGTACTTGACGAAGAACCCTACAGGGTCCATGCCATAGGAAACAGCATTGCCAATGTAAGGAATCCAATGGAAAACAGCTGGCGGTTCGCTCTTGGCGTGGAAAAGCGTCTGACGGCAGGCATTGATTAGAATCGATGCCAATAATCCGATGAGGCCACAAAAGACAATGTGTGCCAAACTCGACAGGCCCAAGACCTTAATAGAGTCTGGCATTTCAGCGGCTGGGTTTTGTCAATATTCTGTAGAATGATAAACAAAATCTCCAAGTAAGAAGAGGATAAGGACTGCGTCTGGGCCAACACAACATAAGTCGAGTAGACTTCTCAATAGCTCGGTCAGGAAAGACGACGATAATTCTTTTTAATTCATACATGTGTAGTAGGCAATGGCAAACATCCAAAACTCCTTCGGTGATTTGGAGCCAAATCTAGCAACCTGAGTGACAGCAACTAAGAAGCCTTTCGAATTCGTATTCGGCTGGGCCTACAAGCCTTCGAGATGTTAGTAATTGCGATGTCCACATCGAGCTCCCTGCTTTCCTTGATGGCTCTGGAGCGCAAAGGCGGTTCGTATTCGTATTAGGTACGTACCCACCCCTATTAAGCTGCAGGCGCTGCTGATTTCAGTTGAGACCAGTGGGCCTAGGAAATACATAAGCACTAGAAAATCACTGCGATTTCCTAAAACATCTTTATTGATGAATGCACAATTACCGCGTTTCATAAAGTCTGTCCGACTATGGTGGGATGCAGTCGCTAGTGTGCAGATTATGCTCTTCGAGTTAAGGTATCAGCTTGGAGCAGGTTGGATCTCATACGTAGTATAAGTCGGATTTTGGTCTACCCAAATCTACCTCTCATTACTTAAGAATACATACGAGTAAGGATTTGAATGCAAGTCTCTTTCGGAGCATCAGAATTGCTGCTCTCAAATTTTCTACTCTTTCTGGCAGTACTTCCAATACCGGGTGACACTCGCTGCACGAATCTGTCGACCCCATTTGATCATGGCAAAGTACGACGAGATCTGCGCCAAAGCAGCAAACGCAGCAACTAAAAACGCGTTTTGGTACCCCATATTTTCGACCCAAGGAGTTATGCTGATACCGGTTAGCCAAATACACCTCTTTCCAACATTGAACGAATGACGGCGACCCACCCATAGGAAACGGCAAAAGACATGGTGTTGCGGATCAAGATGACGGTGACAATGGCATCTTCGCCCAACTCCTTGTAGCAGTCGATGCAATAGCTGATCGAAAGCTGGCTGCCGGCAGTGATAGCTGCACCGAAGACACCCATTGCAAAAACCAAGCCAAACCAGTGGACTTCGTGCGCGGCCCCGACGCCCCAGAGGAGAAGAGCACCTGGGATGCAGATCAATAGTGCTGTGAAGAGCCACAAACGGAACTCAGGTTCCATTATTCCGTTGTTACGACGTGCCTTCCAGATGACGAACTTGTCGCCAAAAAGCCCCGAGTACACTGTTCTATAGTAACCCATTAGAACTTATACTAAAGCGAGAGAGAGCACGAGAGAGAGAGACAGATAGGCGTTGCTTACCCAATGCCGACGCCGATCAAGCAGGATATGTAAGACAATCCGACAATGCTTGATCTGAAGTTGTAAGGCGAGCTCGATAAGATCAACGATGCAGTGCCATTCAGAACATTGAAATAACAAACAACAGCTCCATACATGAAGCCTGCGAATACGATTGATGGAAATTGGAAGTAGAGGAATGGTCTGATCACCATCTCTACAAGTGAAGCGTGATGATTGATGTCCTGTTTTCTGAACATTTTGAGCTTGTCGAGGTATGACTTCTTTGTCATAGTCGGCACGAGGCTGGGAGGCGTCTGAACAGGCGCTACTCGATCTGAGTCGGATGGATCTTTGGACCCCTTCTCAAGTGCTGATGGTGTGTAGTCCACTTGATAGGGTTCGGCCGTCAAAACGTCCATGCGTTGATAATTGGTCTCTTCCATGAAGAAGAAACAGATGGCGAAGCCAGCCCCGCAGAAGATAGCACACCAGTACTGCATCCCGAAGTCAGTCACGGGAGCGAATGCGTGCAACTTCCAAATTCAGAGTCTCACCAAGACCCATTCCCAACCTTGGCCGTCATTGACGAATCCGGCAATGACTGGTGCAAGGAAGTTACTTCCCACCAAGAACAAGGCATAGAAGCCCATGTAAGTGCCTCTCTCGTGTGTGAACCACTGTTCGTATGGTTAGTTGAGATACAGAAGGTAGAGATGCTACTGATATAGTTATCTGGAGGATACATGCACGCTCGACATACCACATCGGCAATGGATATCTCGCACAGAGATTCTATGGGCGCACCGATAGCTCCCTGCAATACTTTATTCGCAATCCAATTACTGCCCGTGGTGGCATATGGTGCCCACAACATGATGGCCTGGGTTGCCTATTGTCAGGTCGAGGACTAGCATCAGCTGATATTGTGTGAAAACTGACCATGCTTCCTAGTAGAGTAAACAAGTATACTGGACGTTTGCCAAACTTCTGGGCAAGCGGTTGCCATATCAGACAGCCCCAACCAAATGCAAGAAACATGTAGCCGGTTCCGGAGTTCAAATCTGCGAGGGTCAGACCGGTCGCGGTGGATATCGGCACAAGGACTGAGTAGATCGCGGCTGATGCGATGCCAACGGCGAGGCAGTAACTGCATAATAATGTCACCTGATTAGCTTTAAAGAGGGCAAATCAGTTGCCAGATGGAGTCGACTTACACGCATATGCATGCTAGGAGCTGATACTTTCTTCGAGGGCTCCAATTCAAAGGGTCGTCCGGGTCATTTGATGGCGTCGGAATCAGAACGATGTCTTTTCCACTACCCTCAGCGTGCCGTGGGGCCATCGTACCCTCAAGATCTACCAAGTGGACCGTTCCAGGGATGAAGCCCGACGGCGGGGCCATTCCGACCGTGTCAGAGCCCATGGTCGATGTTCAAAGAGAAATTTGTGGAAAAGCCTGGGTGGTCCGTGGGGCATAGAATGAGTGTACCAAAGAGTTGCGAGAAGGGAGTAATGGTGGACAATATGTAGGAGAGACAAGGGATTCTATCTATCTTCTGCCCACATAGAGATTGATAGCAATGACGAAAATGAAGCCGAGAAGTAATTCCGGAACGGTGATATCAGACCTTGACTACATGTTCCAAGTTTCAATGTGACAAGATAGGCATTCTCTTGATAAAGCACATGGGAGGCATGGTGGTGAGTAAAGGGGCCATGGTGGACTCGGCGGCCGTAACTTTCTTGAATGGGGCCAATCATATGTAATTACGAACTTATCTCATATGGGTCGGCCCTTGAGTCTGGGGTAATCTCCACCATACCAAGTATGGGTGACTTGACGATGGGGTAAATGGACTTGATCTCTGCGCGCCCAGCAATCATGCTGCGCCCGGCACTGTCGAAGTGACACTGCTACAGGGTTACAGGTGCACCAAATGATGACTGTGAGGATAAATTCTGCCTTTCTTGTCTGCTACCTCAACAACGACCAGCAGATTATGACATGCATCAAGCTGGTGTGGATAAGCCAATAGCCAATGATTGAGAATTACGAGAGTTCGGCACCGGCTGATTGCTGTTAAATGCCATGAACCAGCCAATCACTTGTATTTGCGAGGGATCGAGAGGAGCCAACTCTGATAAGGCACGGATCACACCCGTCCTCTTGTTGGGATGATAATCTGATCCTTGAGGAGACACCAACGACAACAAAGAATTGTTGCGACAACAATAGAATGGCACCAGATCGGCAGAGCATGCCGAGGGATTACTCCAACTACGGTATCTCAACAGAGGTTCCGGCGTCAAGTCCTGCCTACTAGTACCTGTTTTAGCCATGTATTTACCTTGGGTCGAGAAAAACGAAGCTGCATTAATGAGGGGAACTCATTACAGGACTCCAACAGATTATGTACGCTGTCGTCACAATCGGCGGCGATAAGTCATTGACCGATACGCATGCGAAGTTGAATAATTTCCAATCTTCAGTCAACGGGGGATGGCCGGGTTCTTGATTATCCCGTCCCCCAGTCCTTGGAGTAGAAATATCGATAAAAACATTATCCCAATTATATCTAACGTCTGATGGTTGTCTCCTCCGGCGCACCCTCTTTTACCATCAACTTCCATCATTTTATCCCAGTCTCTTCTCCAGTGTATCAATAATCATGGGTTCACTTGCACCAGCTTCGTGGGAACTCAAGGCCGATAAGTTGAAGAAGATCCTCGAAGACTCTCTCAATCCAAAATGGCTCTTGGCTCCGGAAGACCTGCCTTCCCCAAGCCAGCTGAATATCTCCAAGTTCATCGACACATGCAAGCTGTTGACCCCACAGGAGCAGGAGATTACAGCCTGTAGCGGCACTGAGCTAGTACGCCGGATGGCTGCTGGCAAGCTTACCGCCGTTGAGACAGTTACAGCGTTTCTGAAGCGCGCTCATGTGGCTCATCAGCTGACCAACTTCGCGACCGAGTTCTTGGTCGATGAAGCGTTAGCTGCTGCTGCAAAGCTCGATGCGAAATTCCAGGAGACTGGAAAGATTGTTGGACCGCTGCATGGTCTGCCGATTTCTATTAAAGAGCATATTGGACTCAAAGGGAAGATTGTGCATTCGGCCTACGTGGCTTGGGCGGACAACATTGCCCAAGAAGACGCTCTAGTTCTTCGGCTGGCTGCGAAAGCGGGTGCTGTCTTCCATGTCCGCACCAATGTCCCACAAAGTTGCATGGTAAGCCATATCGTTCATGATTTCCGAGACAACCGGACTGACTGGTCGTACTACAGCACCTCGACTGCAGCAATCCCATTTACGGCACGACAGTCAACCCTTACAACCGCAATCTCACATCGGGCGGCTCCAGTGGTGGCGAAGGAGCATGCCTCGGACTCCGTGGCTCTGTCTTGGGACTCGGGACTGATATCGGGGGCTCAGTTCGTGGGCCGGCGGCCTTTTGCGGCTGCTATGGTCTTCGAACAACGGCTCTGCGCAATCCATACAAAGGCATTTGTCTGCCGGGCCTAGGCCAAGAGAGCATCAAGTGTATCTTGGGCCCCTTGGCAAACAGCATCTCGGATATTCAGCTCTTTGAAGATGTTGTACTTAACCAAGAGCCTTGGGACGAAGAGACCTCTCTGGTTCCCCTGCCCTGGAAGAAGATGGAGCCATATCAACCAGGCCAATTTACTGTTGGTGTTATTTGGGACGATGGGTAAGTGATTTTGGAATTTGGATGCATGCTTTCGAAGTTTCCACTAACGGTAGCTGTACAGAATGGTTCATCCTCATCCGCCAGTTACCCGTGGCCTCAAGTACGCTGTTGACAAACTTAAGGCAGCTGGGGTGAAGGTCGTAGACTTTGAGCCGTATAAACATAGCGAAGGAGCCGAGATAATCGAGCTTCTCTACTTCCCAGACGCAGCCGAGACACAGAAGGAAGTCCTTGCAGAAGGGGGCGAGCCGGTAGCACCATTAACGGAGTGGGCGTTCCACTACTCAAAGCCGGAGCCGCTCACCATCAGAGAGAATTGGGAACTGAACTTACGGAGAGAAGCTTTCCGTGAAGAGTAAGGGAAATCAAATCCATCTGCTTGGCTCATAGCTGACATCGTTGGCACTCAGGTATCATAAGGTGATGAAAGATCGCGGCGTCGATTTCATTCTTTGCCCTGCCTATGTCGGCGTGGCTGCAAAGTGCGGCACTCCTCAATACTGGCATTACACGACTATCTGGAATATTCTGGACCAACCAAGCATCACTTTCCCGACTGGTCTTCATGTCGACCCCAAGGTTGACGTAGTTGATGCCAATTACAAGCCTCGATCAGCAACAGATGAGAGAGAGTACAAGAAATGTAAGTTTACACCACGTCCCGTGGCTATGGTTTCTCGATTGAGCATATGATATTTAACAAAAAAACTCAGATATTCCCGAAGCGTTTGTCGATGCCCCGATCGCTCTCCAGCTCGCTGGCAAGCACTTCCGGGACGAGGAGACGGTGGCTGCAGCAGATTTGGTGACGAAGATCATACAAAATTGAGGTGAACTTGGCCCTAATTTTGTAATATCTCAATATTTTCAAGCCTTGAAAGCCCCGTTGAATAATTGAATAATCTTGATTCATTACTGGCCGCATGGTTTCTCTCATCAATGGAACATAGGCCCCCACGTAGGCACCTAGATTTGGACCATTGCGGTATAGCTCGCGGGCAGATTTCTGTGCCACACTTCGCGAGGTCGCGATTAAAAATTTGTACTCCACACGGCGGCCGGCTAGCACTCAAAGTCATCATCTAGATTGTTGAACCATTCGCATTGGTGCGAAAGAAGGTGATTTCACCAGAGCAACTGCCTAGAATACTTGCCATACATGCCGCAGACGAACTCAAATGGTGTGCAAGGTTCTAGGTTGTAGATATGTGCAATCAACCCCGCAACGGTATGGTATGTACTCTAAGTAATACGATAAGCCGGCCCACCATAGATGTTAGGACGATGTTCGTGCGGGGCTGTGCACCATTTTTCCTATGATAAGACATGCCGATCCTGCGTATCCCCTTTGATTGGGTCTTTGAAGTAGGCAGCCTTGCTTCGCAGCTGGCATATCTGCTTCGTCACTACCGATTGCTGATTTCAGCGCCTCATTACATGTTTGTTACACGTGCATCAACATGCCCAAAGCCAAATTGCGAACGAAGACCGGGTGCTCGACCTGTGAGTCAATTCGATTCGCCTATTCGACATCAGGAACGTTGCTGATACATAGCAGGCAGGAAGAGAAGAGTGAAATGCGGCGAGGAGAAACCAGTATGCCGCGCCTGCGTTGCTTCAGGACGTGGTTGCACGTGGCCGTCCTCCGACGACATGTACGATAGACGTCACCGATCTCGTCGATCCTTCTCTGATGACAGGACCTTGCCTTCACCGTCTTCCTGCAGCAAAGATTCCATCATCTCTCTGGAATTAAGAGAGCTGCCGGATCTCGAACAGGAGCTGACCCACCACTACTTCAACATATTCCTCTCCGTACTCTTACTCCCCACAGTGAGAGAAAGAGACCTGGAGGGCTATGGATCGCAGGTGATGAGCATGATGCTTCGCTCTGAAAGCGTAAAGTGCGCTGTCCTAGCTGCGTGTGCGTCTAATAAGTACATGCTTCTGAGGTCAAGGAGGTATCATGATGCGGCACTGGGGTACTACTTCCGTGCCGTGGAACTGGTCAATCGTGCTCTTCATGACTTGGGTGCATCCGCCAAGGGGCCTGACGATCCGCTGCTGACCACCGTTGTGTATCTTTACTTATACGATGTAAGTATCCCGTTGTTACTGAGTCTCAAATCCCAACCCGATCTCATTAATTTGAAAGATGTGGGGGCCGCCCGATGAGACTTTAGACGCGAGGAAGCATGTCGACGGCGCTATGAACCTACTCAAGCTTAGATACGAAGACACCTGCTCACCCATGTCAATGTCGAGACCTCTACATCGAATTAATACGGAGAGCGTGCTTTATCAAGCATTCCTGCTTGCTATGCGAAAGCCATTCGCTCCCAACTTTCATGTGGATGAACAATTCCTCGATCGATCCGAACATGTTCTCAACGCAAGGAAACTCATCGACATATTATCCGAAGGTGATAGCCCCGTACTGGGCTTACCACTGCCGCTATATCGTCTCATAACGGACCTCATTGACGTCCTCAACTCACCCAAGCATCCGACTGAAGAGTTTCTGATTCGGATGAGAGAGGAGATGGAAACATGGGAAGGCCTCGTACTGGTAGAAGATGGAGGAGCCAGCTGCCCTTTGTCCATGACGAGCTTTCACAAAGACGCTGTTACTCTTTTCGTTTTGGGCGCTTCGCTGCTCCTAGATTACATCGCAGAGTTTTCACTCGCCAACCACACTTTATGGCCACAGGTCCCAAGAACTACGCAGAACAGCTGGAACCCTTTACATCCAACACGAAGTGCACCAAGATGGCAAGTGCAGCGTGCCTTTGAGATTCTTCGTCGACCAGCCGCCTATGAAACGTGGACGCGGTGCTTCTTGGGGGCTTGGCCGATGTTGATACTTGGTTACTCTGTTACCTCGTCTGAGGATATCTCGTTGATCCGGCGTGTTCTGACGCAAATGGTAGAGCGTATGGGGTATGGAGAAATTCAAAGGATTCTCGATGATCTAGAAGGAGTCTGGACTAAGCGCACCGAGGACATACCTAGAGAGTCTGTGGTGATGAGTGCTATCGAGAGGACTTGTGCGGTGTAATCAAGGGTTGTGGGCAAAAGTCTTTGTGTTCAATTGCCAACATGCAGTGAAAGTGAAAGATGATTAGGAGACAGCAACTAAAGTATATAATGCTGCAGATCTGTTTCCATCCTATGGTACTAATTCAACGAAAATGGACGGCAGGCATCGTATTTGCACCGCATGTCAGTGACTGAGGCCTTTAGCATGCGCTTTGGCAACATGACGCCAGTATCTGTTCGCACTATTCTCTCTGATAGTCCTACCATACTTGGTCATGACGAAGATACTGGCATTCCAGACGAATCCGATCGCGGCAACGATGATGTAGGTATCGCGATATCCCATATGGTTTAGCCAAGGAGTGATTCCATAGTTGATTGCAAACGACATGGTGTTGCGGATGATGACGCATGTGGTGATCATGTCACCGCTAAGCTGCGGATACGACGCGATGGCATATCCGAGTGATCCCGCCACAGCAAGGGCGTTGTTGATGGCGAGGGTGAACTGGGAGACGACGAGACCCATCCAGTGAATGTGGTAGGTCACACCCAGGCCGTATAGGAGCATGCTGAATGGTACCAGAAACATTGATGCGGAGAAGAGCCAGAGGGAGTGTTCCGACTCGGAGATTCCATTGTTGCGTCGGGCGAGGCGGATCGTGAGCAGCCGACCGACCTTGCCGCAGTAATAGCCTCTGCCAGGATGCGTAAGTCAACGATCTCTTCCCTTCCCTTTTGAGGAGTATCTAGGAAACACTTACCCAACCATAGTACCGAGTAAGCCTCCGGCATAAGCCGCTGCTACACCGGCAGTAGAGAAGCCGTACATCGTGGTGTATACAGTACCAGCCGTAGCGTTCTGCACACCCGACCATACCAAATTGTTGGCACCGTACATCAGACTAAGCACAAGTTAGGTATTAGATTCATCTCATGATAGGAAGAAGATTCCCACCCTGCGTAAACGACTGAGGGGTATGTGAAGCCTCTAAGTCCACCAAGTGCAATATCCAACATGCGGTTGGGCCTAGCCTTGTCCTTGATACCGAGCTTCTGGATATAAGTCTTGCGAGGATAGATCATCTGCCCAGTTTCGGTATCAACAGGTTTGGCATTTGTCATGTTTTTCTCGTCCACCTTATCAGACGACTTCTCGTCCGCATCGCTCCCGTTGTGCTGCTCTCGAACTCCGGTTGCATGACCTGTGGATGTGCTGTCTTCGACAGGCCGCGCGGGACGATCATAGTTGGTCTCCTCCATGAAAAGGAAGCAGTAGACGAGAGCAATGCCGTTGAATATAGAACACCACCACTTTAGTAGGCAAGAATTAGCTAGATACGGCAGGGAGGGATAGGGGCTAAAGGCCGTAAGAGAACATGACTTACGAGAGTCCATTTCCAACCCATGCCCACGTTGATGAAGCCCGAAAGCATTGGAGCAAGCTTGCCCGTCATTGAAAGACCCCACCCGTAGAGTGCAAGGTATTTAGGGCGCTGGTGCGCGAACCACTGTTCGATGGTTAGTCAAGCGCATTCTTTGGGGCCTGCTTGGGTTCCTACGATATCTGTGATAGAAATTTCGCACAAAGATTCAACCGGGGCCCCAAAAAGCCCAAGCAGGATGCGATTAGCCAGATATGTGTGTTTCGTGGTGCACATCGGGGCGGTAGCAAGGATGATCTAGAAGCCGACACATTAGGAATGATTCCATCATTGACGCTGGGTTCGCTTGAAGGACTAACAATGTTGGCGATAAGAGACGCCAGATACGCTGGTCGCTTGCCGTACTGCAGCGCAAACGGTTGCCAAATCAGACAACCCCAGCCATAGAACAGGAACTAGAGCAGGAACTACACGTCAGCATGGCTTTAAGATTGCGATATGGACTCTCCTCACCATGATTCCCGTGCCATTGTTGATATCTGAAAGCGACAATCCAGTTGCTTTTCTGATGGGGGTGACGACAGAATAGACAGCACTACTCGGAATCGCTATCATGACGGTGTAAACCAAGACGCAAGATGTCGCAAGCCATTTTCGCTTCTTGGTCCAGTTCAACGGATCCTCGGGATCTTCCGACGGGCGGGGAATTAGAATGATGTCCGCCTCATCGGATCCGGAAGCATGTTTGCTGATGACGGAGCCATCTACGTCGATAAGTCTGGTGGTACCAGGAGGCAGGCCATCGCCATCCGTCTGAGCGGGGGTGTCGTGAGCCATTTGGTTGCTGTCGGGTCAGTCGACCCCAAAGAAACTCGAAAGCTGCGGCTGTGTCGATCTTTCAGAGTTCCCGCACAGAAAAAGCTGGCACAGGAGGTATTTGAACAGAAAATAGCGCTCTTTGCGTATCTGGGAGTGATGTGCGGCTTCAGCTACTTATCAGCGTAACTCGTAGAAACGTTGATGTGGTATGGCGATCCCAAGGAACGGTTCAACCAGACTGGGTGCACACACCCGCCACCCGGGTACGGCTATCAGCTATCTCGGTATGAAGCGAGTTACGGATGGGACTTGTTAGCTAGGCCAGCGTTGGCCAAGGCGTCACTTGGCGGGGAATTTTGATAAGACAACCAGGTTCTCAGTCTCGGACATTGACCTGGGCGTTCCTTAGGAGATGGCTGACAGTCAAGCTACCCAGCATGGTAGATAACGACGCCAGAGAGGGACGCGAACGTAAAGCGCCATGTTTGTAGAGAGCCCTGGATAACGATAGCAGAACATCAACCATAATCCGCCTAAAGATATGTGCTTACATCTCCTCGTTCCTGGGTCGTCAACCGCCCGCATAGAGCGGAGCCCCGAAAAACAAGGGTGCCGGATGTTGCACTGGGATGAAGGATTTAGGCCCACCACTGGACCAAGTTGGCAGTTGACAGCGATAGGCCGAGAGAGCTCAATTTGGCGCTATCTAGGGATGGCAGATAGGGAAGACATTATCGCTTCAGATAGGGTGCATCTTACAACGCGTACACTAGTAGAAGTAGGCAGACGATATTAGTGAAGCCAGCCAGCTATTTTGTGGTATTTTCTTTTTCTGTTTTTGGGGTGTTGCTTTGAAGTGCCGTGCAACGTGACGCAACTTACACAGCATCCCCGACCCCTAACATTCCCAAGCTCGCCCAAAATGGCAATCACCACAATTCCAAAAGGCTGGCGGGAACTCGCACAAGTCTGTATCGACATCCAGACGAAGTCAATTCCCAAGGAGTATGAGTTGGCAAGCGACCAAATACCTCCGAAAGATCGTCAAAATGTGCTTGATATCCCAAATGAGTCTGGAATTTTGACTACGGAGGAAATTCGGATGACTGAGCAGGATGCCTCGAGCTTGTTAGGAAAGTACAAGAGCGGCCAATGGACTGTAAAACAAGTTGTCACCGCTTTTCTGAAGAAAACAACCATGATTCATCAATTGGTATGAAGATATCACATTGTGTAGGGATATTTCTAGCTAACGCATTATTTTCACGTGCTAGACCAACTTTGCTACCGAGATTTTAGCAGAAGATGCCCTTCAGAAGGCCAACGAACTTGATGCGTACTTCCAAAAAACAGGCCAGCTGGTCGGCCCTCTTCATGGCATCCCGATATCAGTCAAGGTAGATTTTGTCCCTCTAGTCCCGCGTCGAGGGGTGTGATTACTGACTCGCTACTGATAGGAACACATCGGCATGGGTGGCCATATCACGCACGCAGGGTTCGTATCAAAGATCAGAAACATCCCGCTCGAAGACGCCCTTTCCATCAAGATTTTGAAGAAGGCAGGAGCAGTCATTCATGTCAGAACGAATCAACCGCAGAGTCTCATGGTAGGTATACTAGTCTTTCCTGTGACAACAAACTTGAGAGGTTGGAAATAAGTTGACATTCTTTGCTTCACAGCATCTGGACTGCAATAATAATATCACCGGGCTAACTAGGAACCCACACAACCTTCTTTGCTCGCCCGGAGGATCATCCGGTGGTGAAGGAGTATCAGTCGGCGCGAAATGCTCAGTGATTGGCGTGGGCACAGATATTGGCGGGAGTATACGCATCCCTGCCGCCTTCAATGGTTGTTATGGACTTCGACCGACGGCTCTGCGTGTGCCAAACCTTGGAAACTTTGGTATCACATCTGGACAAGAGAGTATCCGGGGTGTTGTAGGACCCTTGGGCCAGAGCGTTGATGATCTGGAACTGTTCATGAGTGCTGTTCTTGCAGCTGAACCGTGGGATACTGAGACTATGTTGGTTCCAGTGCCATGGAGACCTGTCAATCCCAGGAAAGAGATCACGGTGGGAATCATGTTGGACGATGGGTATGTCCATTTCCCTGTCTTCTATTGTCTTTGTAACTGACTTGAATGGGTCGAAGTTTCGTCAAACCACATCCGCCGGTCCTACGGGCTCTTCGTTCAGCCGCGGAAAAATTGAAACAGTCAGGTGTGAAAGTGGTAGACTGGGAACCCTTTGACCACCAGCGCGGCTGGGAAATAGTAGTAAGTCGCCATTTCATTTTTCCTTTCCTTTCTCTTTCTTCTTTCTTCTTTACCTGCCTAGACCCTCTTTCTCAGGTATTTGTAGAATAGGTTCTGCAAGGTTCATCTCGACTAACCAGAATCAGTCCTCGTTGTATTTTCCCCAAGGGCCAAAGCCGTACCTCGACACATTTGCCGAAAGTGGCGAGCCGGTCCTCCCACTTACCGAGCATGCTTTCAGATTCTCAAAAGCCGAGCCACTTACAGTCGCAGAGAACTGGAACCTCAACTATAGAAGAGAGGCATATCGACGAGACTATCATGCTCTGATGAAGCACAGAGGCGTCGATGTCATACTTTGTCCTGCATACGTTGGTGCGGGTGTGTTGCAAGGCGGCGCCGAGTACTGGAATTACACGGCCATTTGGAACGTGCTAGACCAACCAGCAGCCATCTTGCCGAGCGGACTGAAGGTTGACAAAGCCATTGACAAGCCCGAAGAAGATTACACGCCTCGGAATGACTATGATGCTAAAGAATGGAAGGCCTGTAAGTCACCGCCCCTAGCTCACTCAAACTCCTTCAGTTGTCGCGTCCCATGTGCTGACGGTGTGACGTTATTTAGATGATGCCGACCTTTTCCACGACATGCCAATTTGTTTACAGCTTGTCGGAAAACACTTCCAAGATGAAGAAGTGCTACAGGCAACTAAGCTGGTTGATCGCATCTTGAAGGAATAGATTTTCGCTCTTATCTAGACTAGACGCAAGGAGTTGTCGAGGCATCGGCGCATAAATGAGTAGACTTAGATGCTAAACTTTCCACTTGATCAAGGGGCTTGGATAGATAGACTTCAATATTCCACAATCAACACATGCCCTCTTAGTTTCTTGGTACTTGTGTGTACATAAAAGGCGGTTACGTTGTATGTTTCGAGGTAGCGGGCGACTGAGGTAAAGAACTTCAATCAAAGCCGTCTAGGGGAGCGCGAGAATTGTGTTGAGTTGCGTCGCTCATGGCATCAGAATTTTTGGGCCACATCCGTCGGCCTTACAAACCGTTCTGTTTCCATGAACGTTGACACTGAAAGGCCAATGGCAACACTCCCACCTCACTGTAGCCGACATATCAACCACATGGCTTGGACTCTAGGAGGTAAGAACCGGCCAAGATAGACTAGAGTTCGGTGACTTAGTATCGTTAGAGTGCCTCTTGATTGTCTAACTCTCTTGAATGCCGGGCTGTTTCGGTGCCGCACTCCGTAAATATGTAAGGGCAAGGTATTACGCAGTACCTAGATAACGACGCCCGCGGGCAACCGGCTATGATATCCGATCAGGAGAAATTTCCCCGCCGGAATAGAGACACCGTAGCACCCGTAACCTTGCTCATGTCCCCTTGTGGGGTTTGGCTGAACTGGTGGACGTATTATTGGGGGAGGGGCCGAGGGTCGCCGTGTTGATAGGGCAGTCCTAGGCTGCAACAGATCATTGTGATCAAGCCCTGGCCAACTGAGCGATCGCAACTGAGCGGGGTCTGCGATCGCTGTCGGATGCCTAATCCAGACGCCAACGGAATGGGACAGCCCATGAGTTGAATCAACGCCCGGTATCGCGACCATCATATCACTTTCGCATCTTCTTCTGAAAGGTTGATACTAGTCTCTTGTCTTAGAACACTTTCCTGTTGAAAACGATAATTTTGAAGCCACCAAAAGACGACATAGACCATCGCCAGCGCCTTTCGGGACGGTGATCAATCTTTGTAGAGCAAGTCCAACTCACCCTAGCTGGACCATACGCAAGCAACGTGTCTCTTCCTAGGCAATCAATATGACCAAACTCATCGAAACCATCGAACTCTCGAACACGTCTGCGGCGTACTACGCCCCTGCCACAATCACTCGTGCTGGTTCCCTGGTGCACGTATCAGGCTTGCCCGGCAACACCAAAGATGGCAAGGTGCCGTCAGACTACGACTCCCAAATTCACCTCGCGCTGCTCAACCTACGCAAAGTCATCATAGCTGCCGGATCGACGGTATCCAACATTGCGAGTTTGACCCTCTACATTGTGGACTACGATGCCTCTAACCGCCAACATGCTCGCTACGTCCAGCGGTTCCTGGGAACGCACCGCCCCGCAATGACACTCGTTCCCGTACAAAAATTGGCGGTGCCGGGCTGGCTGATCGAGATCAACGCCGTGGTCGTCCGACCAGAAACACCCTCAGTTCCTCGAAGCCTTCCATCGGTGCAGGAGAGTGTCGATGTTGTCATTATCGGTGCGGGATTGGCGGGTCTTTCTGCTGCTCATGAGGTCCGACGGGCTGGGCTAAGCTGCGTTGTGTTGGAGGCCCGAGATCGTGTGGGCGGCAAGACGTGGAGTCAACCGATGGAGGATGGCAGAGACAACGGCGTGTTCGACCTCGGCGCGGCGTGGATCAATGATACGAATCAAAGCAGGATGCATGAACTTGCGAAGAAATATGGCGCTGAGTTGATCGAGCAGAACACCAACGGTAACTGCGTTCTTCAAGATTTCGATGGCAAATGCAGCCCTTTCCCGTACGGGGAGCTGCCCAAGGTCGGTTTCGAAAACACCCCGTCAGATATGAGCATTTCTCACATGTTGGTCATGGATATAGTTCAGTGAATCGACGCGCGATCATCTAGCTCAGATCAGGGACATGGCAGAAGCAGACTGCCAAGCCCTCGACGTTTTCAGACCACGGGACACATCTCTCGACTCTCTCACATTCGAGGCTTATCTCAAATCTCGAGGTGCCGATAATGTTGCTTTAGCCACAGCCACAGTCTGGACACGGGCCATGTTGGGCCAAGAGCCAAAGGACATCTCCGCACTGTACTTCCTGAACTATTGCAAGTCGGGCGGTGGACTGCTGCAGATGCGATCGGATAGAAAAGATGGAGGACAGTATCTCCGGGTCCGCCAAGGCACGCAGCTCTTCTCTAAAGGGCTGGCTTCGTCATTGCCTGAAGGAATCGTCTGTCTCTCTAGCCCCGTTCAGGCTGTTGTACAGAACGAGAATCGCTCAGTTGAAGTCGAGGCCGGCGGTAAGGTCTACTCAGCGCAAAAGGTCATTACGACTGTACCTGGTCCCGTCCTCAAGTCGATTTCATTTCAGCCAGCGCTACCCCATACGAAGCTGGCCTGGATCGAGTCACAAACATACGGATACTACACGAAAGCTATGATGGAGTTCAGCACCCCGTTCTGGGTCGAGAAGGGATATTGCGGCTTGGCTCAATCTTTCGTCGGCCCTGCTTCTGTAATTCGTGACACGAGCAGTCCGGCAGACAAGAAGTTCGTACTGACGTGCTTCATGGCCGGCGAGCCTGGCAAGGCATGGGCGGCAACGACAACTACCGAGCGAGAGAGCAGCCTACTAGAGCAACTGAGCCAATTATATGGCGTTGAGAATATTTGTCAGCTCTTCAAGCAGATGGTATTCTACGAATGGGTCACCGATGAGTTTTCGGGATTGGGATGCCCTTGCACGTCACTCACTCCTGGAGTTCTTGACACGCTCGGTGGAGATGGGCTTCGGGAGCCGTATCGTGATATCCATTTCGCGGGAACAGAAACCGCAGGTGAATGGAAGGGATACATGGAGGGCGCTGTAAGAAGTGGAGAGCGGGCGGCTGTGGAGGTTGTGAAAAGCCTTCAAGGCGGTCTGATATCACGCCTCTAGTTTCCTCACGTTTCTCTTGGTTAATAAGCTCGATGATATTACACGAACCTGAAGATGTCTTTGAGCGCTGTGCCCATACAAAACATCTGACTTGGCTACTGAAATAGAAGTGAACATTATCTCCATTGAAGTTATAATCCGAGATAGCGTGTTCTACTACCAGTCCATATTACCATTGCTGCACGCTGACTTATAAGAAGCGTGGTATCAGCCCCGAATGCTGGGATCTGGCACAAAAGACCACCACCAACAGCTCATGGCGTTCAATGTAGCGGCGTCGGGCCTCTGCATTGTCGCCGTTCTAGAAGACCATGCCGCTCAGACAAGGGACGAGAGCGCTGTCGCGCGGTGCCGGCCTCTGTGCATCAGCCTGGTGTTTCGCCCACCGGCATGGCATACAAGCTTCATCCATTCACCATTGGCCGATCTTTTCACTGGTCCAGTGAATTAAAGTTTCCCCTTCCGAAGCATTGGTACGGTGGTGTTTGTCGCAATAGCCAAGCAGCTACAGATAATGCCTGGCTTTTGTTGATGGGTGCTCGGTAACCTCGGTTTGTGGGGGAACTACAGGGTATTAATTGGAAAAGCTGCTACTGTAAATCAATCCAGTGCGATGGACTCGGGATTCTGGGTAGGCTAGATTTGACACGTTAGATGTATCATGCCTCTTTTGACTTCGACCAACGGCCTTGGAGGTTGCGAGTTTGACATTGGATGTTGCGCTTATCGATGGGATTTTCTTTCACATAAATGTGGTCAGCAGTTCAAATACTCAGCTTGTACGACGCATCTCAGGTCATCGATGAGAGCGGCCTTGTTCACTCCCAGTCCTTAGCTAAACTTGATTTGTAGACTTCTCTTTCGAGGCAACTTGATTTATTGCAGGGAGACACTGGCATCGGCAGCGACCTACTCAATCAAAATGCTTACCACCTCATTCCAGTTGACTCATGTCACACCGATTCCCGACTACATGACCAGCGAGGAGGTCCTCTCTCACCTTCACAATGCGGAAGTCCATATCAAGAGCGACCCCAATTTGACACACTGGACGCCCCGCACGCCCAAGGTGCCCCCCACTGTTCCCGACGATGTTGATTCCATAGCGGTCACTGAGTGCTACACCATCACGGATACGGTGCCTACCAACCTCCCAAAGGCCCTGCCCAAAGGCATGCTCGAGAAGAAGAGTGTCAGCGAGTACGAGTTTACCTTCACCCCGGATGGAAGTTTCGTCAAAATTCACTGCCCCATGAGCGTCCTTTTGGAAACGCGGTGGCGTGTTCGCAAGGGGAGCGACGGAAGTCTGGAGTTAGAAGAGGTTGTGGACGCTCACTGCTCCCGTTTCCTCGTGGGCGTTGTAAAAGGCGAATTAGAGAAGAACTGGGTGGAGGTCCACCGGAAGATATTGACAGGGAAAGCATGAGTAGTAGGATCCGGACAGGGAGCTTCAGGATGTCAAAAAACAAAGAAGTCATTCGCTTTTACCAGGAGAAAATACGGCATCCAATGCAAGCCTGCGTATCACCTGGAGATGAACTTTGCTTTATATTCTTCGGAAAACACAATGTCAATAGTCATACGCCGTCTCAAATCAAAATAGGTGCACCACCAATCAAAAGTTTCCAAGGCTGGCTGGAAACAGTTTAATTGAGCACACGCGAAACTCGAGAGGCACTAAAGACTCGGACATGACCTTTACTCTCCTTTACAAAGCTCTCCACGCGACCTCCAGATTTCATACTCGAAGTCGGGTTGAAACTCCGTGTATAATGTCTCCTATGCGTTTAATCGGAGTTAGCCTTCAGCCATTCTCGTCGAGTTTGAGCACCACATAAGCTTCTTTGACGTACTGGATCAGCATTAACTTTGGCTGTGAACTCGGCCTCCTTTTCCCCAATGATATTCTTGGGGAGACCTGTGCTTTCCACCATAATCTGAACCTCGCATGACTTTTCCATCAACGTGAAAAGATACGCTGCCTCATCAACCGTGCCTCCAGTCGTCAACAGGCCATGATTCTGAAGGACAATGACGCGGCCCTTTTCACCCAGAGACTCCGCGATCTTTTGGCTTTCGTCTGCTTCCAAAACAACACCACCAAAAGACCTGTACACCGCCTGAATTCCCCAAAAGTTGCAAGTGTCTTGACTGATAATGTCAAGTGGTTTTCCGAACGTTGACCAGGCTTTCCCGGCTGGCGAATGTGTATGACAGGCCGCATGGATGTCAGGGCGAGCTTTGTGAATGGCGCTGTGGATCATGAAGCCTGCTGCGTTAACAGCTGCCCTGTTGCCGCCGATGACTTGGCCTTCATCGTCAATCTGAACCATATCACTAGCTTTGAGCATACCAAAGTGTTTCCCAAGCCTGAATCGGTGTTAGAAGCAAAGATTTCGAGAAATTGACGATTTCTTAGGGACATGGACTCTCACGGGTTGATCCAGAAAGTATTCGGGTCTACCGGGTCGCGAACGCTGATATGCCCACTAGTTCCTTCGGTAAATCCTTTACGCGCAAATACTCTGAAAGCGCCAGCCATGTGCTCAAGCTGCCAGTGTCTCTTCTTGTACGGGTCTGCGATTTTCGGGATGCCAGGAAACTCGTAGCCGCCTGTCGATAGGGCCGTCACTCCCGATTTTTCCACAGGCTTTTCGACCACTAGCGGTGTTGCTAGAGTTTCTGATGATTTTGTGATAATTTGGCTAGGTGCAGCTGTCATGGTGGTAGTTGTCGACATGGTCGTGGTGAAGCCTGTGCTTGGAACACAGAATACTCGTTCTCGCACTTGACTGCAGCGGTGAACTAGACGCGATTTCGCGTATCTTACAATGGAATACGGTCAGCTCATTTACGACGCTTCTTATCCAGCAGATGATGTCTTGATCGGAGCTATCTTTACGAAAATGAACATTGCCCTAATTCCAAGCACAACCTGACGTCCTTGACGATCGACCTGATCATGTTGCATTGGGTAATCAACTGCGACTAACTGCTAGCTTCGCTGTGGCCTTCCATCGCGGGATCTACTCCTACCTGCCTTATCATTGTCTCCACTCCAATCGGCGCCCGCTTGACGAAGAGTGATAAGCTTATCCGTATCTCTTCCGGGATTATCTCCGGGGCCCCGTGTTTATCTCCAAAACCAGGGCCTTCCGGGAAAGCAACAGATCACAAGGTCGGTCGGATGGGGTCCAGTCACCCGCTGCTCTCGCTCCCAGCTTCCTGTTTCACACATGCGTAGGAGAAACCAGCAACTCGATCTCTGTCTGGCAACCTCGACTTGACCGATGTCTTCTCCGAGGTCTGCGACGTATCTTGCCCGAAGACGGACCAAGACTTTCACTGGTTGCTGGACATGCCGCTCAAGAAAAGTCAAGTGCGACGAGGGCAAACCACACTGTTCTCCGTGCAAAGTACGGGGACTTGACTGCCAAGGTTATGGTGTTCGGCTTCAATGGCTGCACCCTGAGACTACGGTCCCATCAGATTCGAACTTGTCTGATAGCGAACTGGCCAACGATGCATCAGCCTCCAGATCTCGAAGGCGACAAGTTCCAGTTTGTAGGCTTTCCGATCACCATAAACACTCTTCTACGTAGTACTGAGAATTATGTAGCATCCACTCAACAAGTTCTGACATGGAGTCAAGTCGAGGGGATCCTTAAACTCATTGACTCTGTGGAACCATCGTCAGCAACCAGCTTAAGCGATGACGTGGGTATTCACGTAGAGAATTTCGGAGTGTTTGATGCAGGAAAACCATCGACTATCGATTCTCGGAACCCTGCCGGCACTTTCCTTCTGCAAGATATTTTCACGACAACCGAGACTTGCGATGAAGATTCTGAACGAATGTTGGGTACTGACTTGGCTCTTTACACTTCCTCTCCAAGTGTGCCAAGTCCTGAGAGACAGCAGTTATTGCCATCGCCTTCATACTCCGAAGCTGAAGTAGCTTGGGAGTTGTGCAATCTGCATGTGCAAGGGCCTTCGGAGACGGAGGTAGATAGTCTATGCCCAGGCTTTGCCGAAGACCATTCAGACAACCTTCAAGACGAGGGAGCCGCTGACAGAGTCTCGTCTTCTTCATCAAGACATCAGCGTTGGCCCGGGATAAGCGTCTCCACGGAACTTCCAAGGCCACCGATGGCAGTCATCTCTGAGAGGGAGCGATTTCTCATGCATCACTACATGCATAGAGTCGTCAACATATTTTGTGTCATCGACAATACAAAGAGTCCTTGGAAGACGATACATCTGCCTCGAGCTATTCAGGGTGCCGGTGAGCTGAGTGTGATGGGCGCAACATCTAGGATCCGCAATGCCCTGCGAAACGCGCTGCTCTCTATAAGTGCCTACTACCTCTCAAACGTTCAGGTATCAGAAAATAGCCTGGAAGTGAAGTTGAAGTGGGTGGAGGCAGCCACTCTCTATTGTTATAACGCCATTGGATTACTCAAACAAGCGGTAGAAGTTGACCTCCACGCGCCAGAAAGACCGAAGTATAAGGAGTTTCTAGCAACAATGTTGTCAATGATAACAATAAACGTAAGCTATAATTTCGTTCCGTTGTCTCGGGGCAAGCATACAAGAGCATCGCACCACCTCTGCATGGGGATTGAAGCTTATGATCACCTATCGGTACACGTCATATCCCCTGTATTCTCTTTAGACCTTGCTCAAAATCGATCAAGTCTCTCTGTATCTCACTGACACCTAGGCTAGGTCATGTCAGGAGACACAAGCACTTGTGGTGTTCATCTAGACGGCGCTCAACAGTTGATCATCCACATGGGGAAGGGAAAGCCTAGGCTGTCTTCAAAGTCTCGAGCTCTGCATAGGATCTACTATTACCTTCGAGTTATTTACGAAAGTACCGCTCCCCTACGAAGTCCCACATGTCGCTTTTCGCCATCTTCCGGAGAAGGTGTTCTTCATATGCTCCATTCTCCAGGCCAACAAGTCTCCACCAGTACTTTCCCTTTCCCAGACGAGGATGCAATATCTTCGTGCTCTGAGCCTGTACAGGCAGCAAGCAAGATGGCATCATATGAATGTATCTATGGAATCCCACAGAGCTTACTCGTTTTGCTTCAAAGAACCATTGATCTGATTGATAGGGTCGATGCGGCGAGGAAGAATCATAGCATCACATCGATGCCAAAAGATTTGGACAGAACGTGCGATGATATTGAAAGAGATATCTTCGACTGGCCACTCGACTTGGAACTCACTCGGTATCGAGATGCCGACATTGACACGAGCTTTGAGATCATCTATCACCAAACACATTCATTTCATAACGCTCTCATTATTTACTTCTCCCAGAATGTCAGACTACTCAGCCATAGGTATCTCCGCCAGTATGTGACGGAGGTTCTCCATGACATTGAAACAATCGAGGACATCAAGGCCGAGAGCAAGCTACTTGCTGCACCCCTCTTCTGGCCGGCTTTCATGGCGGCAACGGAAGCTCATGATCAGCGTCTCCAAGACCGCTTCCGCCAATGGTATACTAAAGTTTCGGTTTACGGCATCAAGGCGGTGAGAACAGGAACTCAAGTTGTGTATGAAGCGTGGAAACGGGGGCCCTCGTCTGATGGTCGTGTGACGAGCCAATGGCGTACCGTAGTGGAGGAAACAGGGATGACTTTGATGCTGACATGATCCCTGGAACATCGAAGGACAACTTCTGACTCCCAGAGGCTGATATGACCTAGTGCTTGAAGCGAATATCCTTACGGTTACTGCCCTCATCTTTCGTCGTCTCGAGGTAGTGAATCCTCTCCTGGAGGCCACCGTTAGCAATGGACCTTACAGGGGACTGTTAGGAAGCTTACCTCTTCCGTCATTGCATTCCATTCTTTTTCTCTTTTATTGTTACACCACATATAGAATGCCTTAGCGATTAGATAAACGCAGATGTTCATGCAGCATATTCCGATCAAAACCCGGTTGCCACGTCGGTCTTCATTATTGCAGATCTTGTCAGCCTTCCACGACAGGTATGAAGCTATGCCACGGCACTCACATTCTGGTCTGTCGTCTTCCCGGTAAATATTCGAGTAGATGACGCGAGCAAGCTGAACCATCATGCTGGCAACGTAGACCCATTAGCTAAACATTCGTAACTAGCAGAATTTGGTGCTGACTTACTTATACAAAGCCGCGGAAACGGCTCTGGTACGAACAGAGTGAGAATTTCGAGACGCCCAAGAGACGTGCATGGCATGGGCTAGTAACGTCAGATCAAGTCACTTCTTGGTTCTCAACAGAACCGAGACTTACGCGATGGATAGGACAGGAGAACAGTGACAACAGCGTACTGGGCCCAGGGACTAGCATCTGTCGGGAGGACGGCCATAGCTATGAGATTAGGAAGGTACCACAGCTGCGTGAAGGCACCAAACAATGCTCTCGTGTCCCATATCTCGGATAGATATGTCATGATCAACATGAAAATAGCTCCCAAGAACTGAGGCGGGATACTCAGCAAATTAGTATCGTTTGTGTTGAATCCAAGGTTGCGGAGAGTCAGTGTGAGATATTGGTCGGGAGGGCCGGCTGGAATTTCCCAGAGAAGCCCAAAGATGTAGATGGGCCAAAGCTCCCAGTCAGCAAGAGATTTGAGAAGCAGCTTGGGGGTGATTGCCTGCCGATTGTGCATATCGCATTTCGAGGGGTCGTCACGAAGGATTCGATTGACCAGGATCTTCTCTTCCTGTTCGTTGAACCATCCATTGGGTCGCCACCAAGCCTTTGTCTGCGTTGGTGAAGCCGCCATTGCGAACCAGGACCAGACACTGATTGACAGTGTAATGATCCCTTCAATCAGGAAGAGCCATCTCCAGCCCTCGTAGCCGTTGATCCCATCCATGCGAAGGACACCAAGCGCTAATAGGGGTGCGACGATATCTGTGATTCGACGAACTGTCCAGAACATGGCAAGTCGAAAGGGGAGCTCGGTCGACTTGAAGAAGTACGTCAAGTACAAGACCACGTCGGGAATGAACCCGCCCTGAAGGACGCCCAGGAGTGCACGACACACAAGGAAGGAGGTTCGACCACTAAGCCAGAATTGACATCCCGACACCAGACTCCAGGAACACATGATGAATGGAATCCAGCGGTCCGGGCCGAGCTTTTTGCTGACCATCTGGGACGGCAACTCTGCGCAGAGGAAAGATATTTGGAAGACTGTATTGCCGAGGTTGTAGTCGTTGGTGTTCATGCCAAGGTTCTCGAGGAAAGAGGCCGAGTTTGCTTGACTTAGATTGCCTCGAGGCAGGTCGAGAGCGAAGAAGGCTGTGGTAACGTTAGATCTAAGCATTGGAGTTCATACACCATGTAAACACGTACCGAGACACGCCCATAGTGTGACGCGCCAATCCATCTTTGTTATCAGGGGCAGCTCCTCGCCCCAGCTCCATCGGAATGCCGGATCAAAACGATGCAGATTCTCATACTTTGGATGTGGCTGGAAGAACTTCGCAGTGGAAGGGTGGTCGTAGACAGATGGCTGTGTCGCTATCGCACTGGGATCATACCCATTCTTCTTCTTGAAGAAGGACAGAATGGGAATGATGGGAGCATCCTGCTGGCGAAGGTCTGCTTGCTCGCGGAGGATGCGATTCTTCGTTTGCTCGATCTCCTCGTCTGTCGCCTCCAGATTGATCGTGTCGTTGTCTTTCTTACTCTCGGGCTCTGAGGCCGAGGCCGAGGCCGAGGATTGCTCGACGATTTGCTTCTCGGACATTCTTAGGTGCACACATAGGCTTCTCGAAAGAGGTGATATCTCGTGCAATCTCAGCTCGTGCGAAGAATCCTCTTTTCGAAATCGGAATCAAGGGGGCTGAGGACAAGGATATTTGAGGATAGACATGTCCAGATTGACGATAGTGAACACGACTATGTAGTCATTGGCGTGACACTGTTGGCGTAATATTCGTGCCTCACGCGCCTGGATATTCCATCCGTAGTTGACAGATACTTTGCGCGATATTCGATCCCTTCTACCCGGTCATTTGGCAACAATGACGAAAAACGGGGGCAAGACATTGCCAAGTATGCTCAACACTGATAGCTCGACACTTCATGGCGAGACGCCGATGATGTTTCCGTAGACATCACTGCAATTCCCAGCCAAATCCATTTCACAGCTGATTCCCTCAAAATTGTGTTCTTGGTAGTGCTTGGCCGTGGCAGTGTTCGCTCCTTGTCGACAGCGAATGAACTATTCGAACCCCGAGGATGGCTACGAGAAGAAGCGACAAAAGAGCAATTGGGAGGGATACTAGGATGATGATGCGATTTACCAAGAGAAAGACGTGCTTTTTTCTGCGATAAGTCTGCAATGACAAGACTACAGGCAGTATTTAGCGGTTGCTTGGTAGTCTTGGTACTGCGCCTTGGCAACTTTGTTCGGGAGGCGAGCGCTGCTTTTATATTGAGCGGTGCCGATTTCGCAATTTGGTTGAAGCATGGTGAAATTCGTTCGAGGTTTATTCAACGCTGAAAATCTTGTTACCAGGAAAAGTACCTCATGAGATTTCTTCCCTCTAAACTTCACAAACTACAGAGTAATCCCGTCTGGTCACAAAGCTGAAGTTCAGTTTTACCCCTAGCATGTTGGGAGAGCCGGGGCCAGTAGAGACATGGCTAGCCTCTACCCACAAGCAATGAAGGCTATTTGTATACTTGTGCGGTGAAGATGGTTTACCTATGCGACTATAGCCTCGGTTTCTCACCATCGAGAAGTCCGCCCGGAAGTCTTAGTTATTTGTCTATTGTCGTGATCTATCTACGTGTACCATAACCCATGCGCTGCATGCGTGGTAATTATTATGCTTCCAAGGATCTGCTCCCGTCTATAACTTCTAATCATCAGCACTCCAACACGAATTTCAACCCGACTCCTCACTCTTGACGACTGTTTTCGGACCAGAAGGGAAGACCGGACTGGGACCTGAGAGTTCCATACAGAGCCGCACCATCTAGGTTCTCGCCACCGTACGCCCTTGCGCTGAGCATGTTGTTTGTCGCAATGTCCAACGCCGGCATCCTGACGCCAAGGTCGTTGGCGACTCGTAGCGCATGTTTCGCGTCCTTGATGGTGTTGGACACAAGGAATCCAGCCGTTCCCTCCTTGGGAGCCCATGATCCGCTGGTCATCCTGCGCGAATAGCTCCCCAATACCGGTCCAAAGTTCTCAAAGATGAGATCTTCCATCACGTTGCTGCCAATACCGTTCTGTTCCGCCAACACCTGCGTCTCGGCAATAGCCTCGAGGAAGACAACGAGAAGCACGTTCCTGCAAAATGCCCTGTTAGCAATCACCGTAGAGTCATGCATGCTTTCTTATGCCACATACCCTGTCACCTTTAGCATGGGGGCTTTCTTGACATCCTCGCCCATGTTGATGACTTTCCTGCCCATCACATCGACAATCAGGGGCTCAAGGCGTTCGATAGCTGCCATGGGGCCGGCCATGGCGAAGATGAGTCTTCCAGCCTGAGCGACCGGGTTGGCGCCAAAGACGGGCGCAGCGATAAAGGTGGCGCCGGCCTTTTGCAGGGTTTCCGATACGGATCCCGCCGTGTCGGGGTGTATTGTGGAGCAGTCGATGAACGTCTTGCCGTTGAGGTCGATGCCGCTTGCGAGGAGTTCCTTAACTAGCGATTGAAGAACCGCGTCTGCCGAGACCTGTTTGGTTAGTCAGAAGGCATTCCCCAAGGCAGAACTTTTAGACAATGGAAGGTGATGTATCATGTCGAGACTGACCATGGTGAAAATATCGTCGCATATTTGCGCGACCTCTACGATGTTATTCTTCGCAACAGCTCCTGCTTCTACCAGAGCGGCTCCCTTTGATACAGTGCGGTTTGAGAATGTCAGGTTGGCGCCGTGAGATTGAAGCTTCTTTTGCAGGTTGATGGCCATGGGCAAACCCATGGATCCAAGGCCGAACTGCTTCTTAGTTAGTGTATTACTCCAGCAAACCAGAGATTTTGCTCTTCATTCCACTTACCCAGCCGACAGGCTTGATTTTCTGCATATTGTGTGAGTTATTGTGTGAGTAAGGTCTACGTAGGTAGGTGATAGAGTGGCTTTGATGATGATTCAAACAAAGGTTGATATTCTCATCAGTATTCATTCATCTCATTTTCTTCCATCGTTTACCGGCCTTTATGTCTGGCTTCTCAAAGTCGTGAAACGCATTTTTGCCTCCTTCGTCGGCTTGCGACCCGACGTCATGCGGCGATGCCGTGAGGCCAACATCGCCGGCGGAGGATAATGGCTCATCGCCTATCAACGATGCGGACAAAAGATAAGCTTCAATCTAAGCTCGAATCGACGGAACCATACCTTTTACTTACAACCTCAATCCTCTTTCTGCTCGAACGCTGATGCGGTGCAGCGATGCCGGCCCGCAATCCGAGAATGGCTGATAAGCATCTCTCGGATGATCCGCCCGGGGCCCACTTCGCACTCTAACAGATCTAAGAAGCCCGCTTTCGGAGTCCAGGTCCGAGCATTCGACCCAAGTGTCTTTGGTTTGTTTTAGCACTACCTTCATCGAATTTCTTGGCCGATCTTGCTTGCTGTCGGATTACAGACCGAGGAATGGTGTCTTTCGGTAAAGATCCGATCTTATCTTTCCATTTACATGAAGGCGGATGATGTTAGTCAGTTTCGAGGCCAGTCGCTTGAGCTCTTATAGGATGTATGCGCCTATCAGGCCGTCGATACCCGTCAAATATCATCTCCTTCCAACGACAATGGAAAGATTCATACTTCCATATAGATATACATACTGCTTAATTTCAAAGAAGGGCTTAAGAAGAAGCCACGACGTGACTCGCGCACTTGTCCTGGAAGGGCATTGCTTTGCCTCAGGTGAGTTTGGGTCAACTCGTTCTCTCCACACATCCCATGTGTCCACATTACCAATTATCGTCTTGGAGTATTTAATCACATAAGGCGAATTGCTGACCTCTGAATCCAACAAGACCAACTAATGCTCACACACGATTAAACACGGCATGATCTATCCCAAGCCTCGAGCGAACGTTTTCCCATTCTTAGAAGGATAACTAGTGCTTATTCACACATCATTTCAGACCAAGGCGAGCTTGGGGGACGTTATCCCCTGTTGTGGTATTTGGAGAAACCTGCTGGTTGAGACCGGACAAATAATCTTACCTTCCATGAGAAAAAAAGGTCCCGAAGGTGACGGAAGGGTGTGAAGTCTACTCGATTTCTTTCTGTCAGGATCAAAGCTTGGGCAGTTTCCACAATCGTGAGCCTTATCTACTCTCATGATATCTTGGAGCTGTTCGCGTAAGACCTATGGTTGCGAGACGAACTTCCAAAGTTGCATTCTATCCCGGTCGTCAAACGGACACCTTCCGCTTCAAGCACTTGGCATTATGTTCCCCCACTCACAGAACCTGGCACCATTACCCTCTGCGCGGCATGGCTTCCACGAAGAGCAGCTCGACGACCGTGTATATGAGAACAGCTCGTATTAGAGCTTGCTAAGCTTTGAATTGCCTGACGCGAAAATCGAGGGATATGGCAGGATGCGACAAACATCACAGAAGAAGAGGAGCATTAAATGACCAAAACCCCCGATCCTGCACCACTGTATAGTTGTCGATGCTCCGTGTTTTGAGCTTTTGTTCTGGATATCGATCCAAGTTCTGCTATCAACAATCTTCAAGAGCTTCAAGATGAAAGGAGCTTGTATTTTTGGCATCGCCATCGCCTCTCTTGTTGCGCAAGGAGCTGCCGCGCCGCGTTCGCAGCAACAACAAAGCACGGCGGCAATTCCTGGCAGATGGATCGTCACTCTTAAGTCAGGCATCGACAAACGCGACGTGGAGCAGCACCTCGATTGGATTCACGATACTCACAGGCGGAGTTTGTCTCGCCGTCAGACCAGTTGAGTCGAAAGGACATTCGGAATCGGGGATTTTCATGCCTACACTGGCGAGTTTGACGAGGAGCTGTTGGCCGAGATTCAAGCCAAAGACGAGGTACGTTTACCAGACGTGACGAGATAATAATGCTTGACGATGTCCCCATAACTAACCAGAAGACAGGTCATCGCAATCGAGCCTGACCATGAAGCTTCATTGACAGCTCTCACCGAGGTCAGCGACTAGCCTTGAGGTCTAGCCAGCCTCTCCTCTCGAGCAAAACTCGCCAGCGCCGACGAGGATCATCAAGCCTACGTCTACGACTCGAGTGCGGGAACAGGCACACTCGCCTACGTTCTCGACTCCGGGATTCGCATTTCCCATCCTGATTTCCAGGGACGCGCGATGAAGGGCACCAACGTTTTCCCCGAAGTTGCTCGCGACGATGATTTTGGGCACGGCACGCACGTGGCTGGCACCATTGGATCCGTAAGGTTCGGTGTCGCAAAGAATGCGACCCTTGTCGACGTGAAGACGACCAGGGTTGCTTACCTATGGTACGACGGCCAAGATTATCGAGGCTTTGGAGTGGTCTGTACAGAATATCACCAACACTCCTGCGAGGGCTGGCAAGTCTGTCGTCAGTATGAGTCTAGGCAAGTCGTGTACTCCTTCATTAGAACGCTCGCATCTGACCCAATCCAAGCCACTGCTACATCCACAGCATTGAATGATGCCGTCGACGCAGCCACAGCCTTGGGTGTCTTCGTCGTCGTCGGTGCTGGGAACGATGGAAAGGATGCTTCCACGAGATCACCAGCTAGCGCGCCGACTGCCTTCACCGTTGGTGCGATTGACATTAACAGCACTAGAGCTACGTGGTCCAACTTTGGGCCTTCTGTGGATGTCTTTGCTGCTGGGGTGGATGTGAGATCGACTTCTCTGTACCAGGATGGAACTGAGCTTTTATCGGGAACATCAATGTCAACACCACACATTTCCGGGTTGGCGTTGTATCTCGAGGGACAGGAGGGCTCTGTCGTGGACGCACCGGCGGCGATCGGTGCACGCATCAAGGAGCTTGCTACCAAGGACATAGTTGCCGATCCTGGAGTTGGCAGTCCTAATCTTGTTGCATATAATGGGAATGGTCGACGATGAGGGGTTGAACGGTGCTAGCTGGAATATGTTGACCACAGACCGGAGTTGCCTCCGATCAAGGTGAGGGCACAGACCTCGAGTCGTCACCGAAGCTCACCACGGTATGAGTAGTCAGCAAAAGCTCTAGTGTCTTTTCTTCCACCGCCCATTAAACTCAGAAAAGTTCCAGGCAGGATGGTCTAGACCTTTTCAAACACAAAGCAATTGAACGCAAGCGCCGGGCTCCTGCGGGCTTATCTGGGACGCCAGCTGCAGCATGACGTCAAACTTCCCTGTCAAGTTGGAAAATCCAAGGCAGAAGACGCCTGGAATTCCGCTGCGATTCGACGCCAGTCCCAACAGAATCGACGGGCCAGCCGTCCATGGATTCATGGATTGATGGCATCCTGCTAGCGTCGCGCCATTTTCCAGGTTAGGGGGCCCTTTGTTGTCGCAGAAAGCGCATGTCGTTCTGTGTCTGGCCATGCGTTCAAGCTACTGTGTGGAATGTTGCGATCCGACGGTTTGATTTGCTCGCAGTCGCCGCGTCAACCTGCGTTTTGTGTTGCATGAGGAGCAGCGCAGCAGCTACGATGCGTCGTAAGATCCTGTTGGTGAACCAACCGACAGGAGAAGTCGGTGCGTACATTCTGTAGCTCGGCGGTCGGCAATTCAGAACGTATTACTACTTATATGGTATAGAGGTTACCTCTTCTTCTACAGCCTGACGCCTTGTCCCGATCTCTTCTCTCTTCTCTTTTCTCAATCTTTCCTCTTCCCTAAATTCCTGGTCGCCAATTCACCCTTGTCCTACCCCTCCTCGACCCCTCCAAACCCCTTCATTCACTCCTCCGCCAGCCGTCAACCGCAACGGCACAATCGCCCATCATGGGAGACCAAGAACCGACCCCCGAGAACCACACGATGATGCAGGGCTTCGAGTGGTATGTGCCTGCGGATCAGAAGCACTGGGTCCGCCTCGAGAAGCATGTTCCCCAGCTCAAGCGATTCGGTGTGGATAACATCTGGATCCCGCCAGCGTAAGACGAAGCTCAATTGAATCGCGAAGATCAAGGCCAGCCCAATTGACTCCCGAATATAGGTGCAAGGGATCATCAAAGACTGGAAACGGCTACGACATCTACGATCTGTACGTATTGCGACTCATTTCCTCCCGAGCCGGTGCATCTTGCTAATCACCCTAAAAGCTACGACTTGGGCGAGTTTGACCAGAAGGGATCCGTAGCAACAAAATGGGGCACAAAGGAGGAGCTTTTGAAGCTGGCGCATACCGCCAAGGACAATGGCGTCGGCATCTACTGGGACGCCGTCCTCAACCACAAGTTCGCGGCCGACCGCAAGGAGAAGTGTCTGGCTGCCGAGGTCGACCCCGACGACCGCACAAAGTTCGTCAGCGACAAATACGAGATCGACGCCTGGGTCGGCTACGACTTTCCCGGTCGCAAGGGCAAGTACAGCGAACAGAAGTACCACTGGTACCACTTCAGTGGTGTAGACTACAATGCCAGGAACGAGAAGACTGCAATCTACAAGATCTTGGGCGACAAGGGCGACCAGCAATGGGCGGAGAGCGTCGATGACGAGAAGGGAAACTAGTAAGATCAGGCATCCCGTTGGCTGGATCATAGACCATGCTAATGATGTGTAGCGACTTCCTGATGGGTTCTGATCTCGACTACGACCACCCCGAGGTTGTCAAGGATGTCCTCAACTGGGGCAAGTGGCTGGCCCAGGAGGTGCCGCTCCAGGGCATCCGTTTCGACGCCATCAAGCACTATAGTGAGGACTTTTTGCGTCAATTCATCACCGAGCTGGATAAGGAGTACGGCAAGGGCTGGTTCTTTGTCGGCGAGTTCTGGAAGGACAGTCTCGACGACATGTCCGAGTACCTGCAGCGCATGGGCAGGCAGTTCACCCTCTTCGATGCGCCTCTGGTGTACAACTTTAGCGAGATCAGCAAGGGCAACGGCGCCGACATGAGAAAGGTCTTTGACGGCACTCTGGTGCAGAAGGAGCCCATCAACGCAGTGGTACGCATCACCAGCATCCTCCCTTTACTCCTATTACATTGACCTAATCTAATGGCACGCAGACCTTGGTCATGAACCACGACACGCAACCCTACCAGGCCCTGGAGGCCCCGATCGAGGGGTGGTTCAAGCCCATCGCATACGCCCTCATCCTCCTTCGCACCGACGGATACCCCTGCGTCTGGTACGGCGACATTTACGGCATCAAGGGCGAGCACCCCTTCCCGCCCTCGTGCGGCGGGGCCGTGCCCAAGATGACGCTGGCTAGAAAGCTCTACGCCTATGGCAAGCAGGCGGACTACTTTGACTACGCGACGTGCCTGGGCTGGGTCAAGTACGGTACCTGGGACCGCCCCTACGGCTGCGCCGTGGTGGCCAGCAACGCCGGACCGGGATCCAAGCGTATGCATGTTGGTGAGATGCACGCCGGCGAGGTCTGGACCGATGTTTTGGGCTGGAACGACAGGGAGGTTACCATTGGCGACGACGGCTTTGGCGAGTTCGTGTGCTCTGGTACCTCGGTGAGCATCTTTGTCAACAAGAATGCTGACGGCAGGGACAAGTTCAACGAAGAATTGTGAGTATTAATAACCCTATGCAAGAAACGAATGTGTGCTAACCTTGACAGTGACTCCAACATTTACGAAGAATAGAGTAGATATCATGGAATCAGGCGGGCGGAAGAATTGGACTTTCTAGAATAGCTACCAAGTAGCCGTAGATTTTACGCTTCACAAGTATGTGCTTGATGGAAATACAATAAGTTTAATTACATGGTCGCAAGCAGGAACAATTGTGCCCTTCAGATTTGCGCCTCCGGGCTCTTCAAGTGCTCTTGCGTTCATGACAGGTATGCCTGCCAACCCTTAAGTCTCTTCCGCGCCACAGCACTTGAGATACACACACCAGCAGATCGTAGCCACAGATATCTCTGCAGACAATGCACATGCTCCCCATAGGTGACGGGATGGAGGCTCGCGAGAAGACTGCGGGGAAGCAGGCGGCCGATAGGTGGGCCCGTAGCCCGGACCCGAAGACAAACCTGCTCGTCTCCTCAATATCAGTACCTCATATCTAGTAAGTGCGGGGGCATAGTACGTCAGGCCGGCGGCGCAGGACGTCCAAGTATCGCTCTGACCCTCATTCGGTATGGGGTTTGTGTTTGTCATTGTGGTTTCTATTCTATCCGTGATTATTCTTCTGAGTCCTGACCGGGCCGGACGGAGCTAATCCCCTGGGTACGGCGGGGCGGGGCCGGCCCGGTTAGACGGGACCCACCCATCTCTCCAAGCACGCAAAGTCGAGCTTGTGCGTTTACGGTAAAAATTTGGCATCTTTTGCATGCGATTGTCGAGCGAGTTCTGGGTGATTACATAACGGGTGTATTCCATGACAAAACATTGAAGGTTGTATGTATCCTCGGGCGAATCACTAACAGATCATTGAGACTTGTTCTTCAGCCATGACCGCTGTTGCTGCTGACCTGTCGGCGAGAAGGCCAAAATCACTGTGAAGAGTCTTGAACATCGCACTTATCGGACAGAGGGAATTGGGCTCGTTGGTAAAAGCCGAAAGCCGCAACGTGCCCCCTAGACCCTGTGCCTCTTCAGCCTTATTCCAGTGTTGAGGATCCGTAGATTGAATCCCTTTTGTCCGGCACATGATGTCCAAGAAAGCTTAAAAGCCGGGGTATCTGAGGCTTCGGCGACAAGAGGTATGACTTGGATAGAGGTCTTGGTTGATATACTTGTGCATCCCCGAAAAGTCCACGACTCAATCCCCGCGTTGTGCGCCATTCAGTGGTTCTTTACTCCGTAGCACTCCACAGATGTCTTATCGCCGATGGGAAAAACACGGCAGAGCGGTTCCGCACGTCAGGCATCCCCGCCGTGGGGGCTTCAATTTCATGCTCGAGGCTCCAGCCTCTTCCTCCAAAGCTCCAAGTTCCAACACCATCCGAGATGCCAGGCTCCATCCGTGGATGCCCCCATTCCAAACATCCCCCCACCCCCCCCTTGGGCCGAATGCAGTAAGTGAATGCGGAGTAGCTACACTGAGCTTCGATTGGACTGGAAGCTCGCTCCGATCTGCTGTGCTACGCTGACTGCCCACATCCACACAATCCACCCATCAACGACCCCTCCAATTCGAAAGCTCCTATCGTCGGCCTTACAATGGCCGCCGGCGCATTCGCACACCAGAAGCTGGAGCAAATAGAAAAAGATGCTCTCCTCTCCTCCCCTTCGCCTGCGCATCGCTCGCGATTCCTCTTCACTTGCCAAACCACTTCTCTCAACTTGTTCATTTCCTTGTCGGTCTCGATTCTGTGATACCCCCCTGATCCGACAACGCCACCTCAACCTCGGCCCTCACGCGACAAGAACACGCCAGAGACACCCAGCGGCGCGTCGCTTCTTCTCATCGACCCCTCACCATCGCCAGTCAAACATTGTCAACAACATCGCCGCAATGTCCGATCTCTCTGTTGAGCTGACGGCCCCCAACGGCGTCAAGTACACCCAGCCCACCGGCCTTTTCATCAACAATGAGTTTGTCAAATCTGCCAAGGGCGAGCTCATTGACTCGATAGACCCTGCGTGAGTTGTTACTCAGTCCCTCATCCCTCATTCTCCCTGTGCATCACATGCGATTCCCTGCTGCTCTGGATGAAGACACTGACAACCTCACCTCCCAGCACCGAAGAAAAGATTGCATCCGTCCAGGCTGCAGAGGTCCAAGACATTGACAAGGCCGTCAAGGCCGCACACGCAGCGCTGAGACACGAGTCCTGGAAGGGCATCTCGGCCACGGATCGTGGCGCCCTCATGTACAAGCTCGCCGATCTGATTGAGCAGCACAAGGAGACTCTTGCTACCATCGATGCATGGGACAATGGTATGCTCGCAATCTTGACATTCTCGCTCCCGCTCTACCCCTGGGCCAGACGGAGAACTAACGCAACCTACAGGCAAGACGTACGCCGATGCCCTCGAGATTGACCTCTCCGAGTGCGTCACCGTCATCCGCTACTACGCCGGCTGGGCCGACAAGACCTACGGCCAGACCATCACCAGCATCCCCCAAAAGTTCGCCTACACCCTTCGTCAGCCCATTGGCGTCGTCGCCCAAGTGTAAGCCAACCCCCGCTTCAGACAGCCATGCCCATCCGCGGAAACGAACCAAGACTAATAACAGTCCAGTATCCCCTGGAACTACCCCCTCAGCATGGCCACCTGGAAACTCGGCCCAGCCCTCGCCTGCGGCAACACAGTCGTCCTCAAAGCCGCAGAGCAGACCCCGCTGAGCATCCTCTACCTCGGCACCCTCATCAAGGAAGCCGGCTTCCCCCCGGGCGTCGTCAACTTTGTAAACGGCCTCGGCCGCGTCGCCGGCGGCGCCCTCGTCAGCCACCCTCTCGTCGATAAGGTCGCCTTCACAGGCAGCACGGCCACGGCTCGCGCCATCATGGGCGAGGCCGCCAAGACGCTCAAGAACATCACCCTCGAGACCGGCGGCAAGTCCCCGCTCCTCGTCTTTGGCGACGCCGACCTCGAGCAGGCCGTCAAGTGGTCCCACATGGGCATCATGTCCAACCAGGGCCAGATCTGCACCGCCACCTCCCGCATCCTCGTCCAGGAGGATATCTACGACGACTTCATCCCAAAGTTCCTCGACACCCTCAAGGCGACCAGCAAAGTCGGCAGCCAGTGGGACAAGGACACCTACCAGGGACCCCAGGTCTCCAAGGTCCAGTTCGAGCGCGTGCTCGAGTATATCGACATTGGCAAGAACGAGGGCGCCACCCTCGCCGCAGGCGGAGAACCCCTCAACATTGGCGGCAAGGGCAAGGGCTTCTTCGTCGCGCCCACCGTCTTCACCAACGTCACGACGTCGATGCGCGTATGGGGCGAGGAGATTTTCGGGCCCGTCGTGGTGATTGCGCGCTTCAAGACCGAGGAGGAGGCGATCGCGTTGGCGAATAACAGCCAGTACGGGCTCGGCGCCGCGGTTTTCACGCAGAATGTCGAGCGGGCGCACCGTGTTGCGTCGGAGATTGAGGCGGGCATGGTGTGGGTTAACAGCACCCAGGACAGCGACCCGCGCGTGCCGTTTGGAGGTGTCAAGCAGAGTGGTATTGGAAGGGAGTTGGGCGAGGCTGGGTTGGAGGCGTATAGTCAGATCAAGGCTGTCCACGTCAACATGGGCACGAGGCTGTGAAGTGTTTCGAGTAGGTTTTATCAGGAAGATGAAAATGACGCAATCAACAACTTTATGATCATGCTTTTTGTATCCATCGATGCCTCGCACATTCTATGGGTGCAGAACCAAATCATACCGACCTGGCAGCAGCGTCACCCTCTTCCCAGACGCACCCTTCACACCCGCGCCCCCCTCCCTTCTAATCTCAACCGCGCTCTCATCCCTCGGTAACACCAATGTCCCCTTCGTACTCGTCGGCACAACAACCCTCATCTTCACTTCCCCGCCCTCGCGCTTGAACGTAACCTCAATCAACCCATACGGACACTCAAACGTCCCCTCCACAAAATCAAACTCGGCCCTCAACGGCGGCTTGACACTCCACGTCTTATATCCATCCTCCTCGACCCGCACCCCCAACACAGCCTCGTAAAACCACTCGTAAATCGTGCCCAGCATGTCGTGGCACTTACTCCGGCACGCATCCTGCCAAAACTCATTCAGAGTCGTCTCCCCGCGGCGGAGGAAGCGCATGTACGACGGGTGCTCTTCCTGCCGCGCCATCGCCATCACGATATCCGGGCGGTCGACGTCGGTAAAAGTGTTCCAGAGCCACTTGAGCCCGATCTCGCCAGCGCGGATCCGACAGTCTGCCACGTCGTCCAGGAAGGCTTGCTGGACGTCCGCTACGTGCTCTTCCGGGACGAGGCCGAACTGCAGCGCCATAGCCTGCGCGATCATCGTCCGGTCGTGGGTTCCGGGTTCGTCGAGGGAGGTGTAGAAGGCATAAGGGTGTTCCGTCTTGTCGGTGACGAGGAGGTGGCGGTTGTACGTCTCGTAGATGCGGTCAGCCCACGCGCGCCACTTTTTCTCGTCGTTCGCGCAGCCGAGTTCCTTGGCCATTAACTCGACGTTGCGGAGACACTTGTAGTAGATGGCCGTCTCGATGTTGGCCTGGTGGTTCCCAAACGCGATGTCGCGGCCCCAATCACCCAGTCCGTGCTCGATCAAACCCCCCCGACGCTCCTTCGTCCGGAGATACTCCATATACCGCACACAAGGCCGATACAGCTTCGCAAACGTATGCGTCGAGCCATAGTACTTCTTCAGAATCTCGGGGATCAAGGCAACCGCCCCGCCCCAGGTGATCGTATCGTGCAGCGGACCACACATGTACCGAATCTCTGGCGCCATCGTCGGCACGAGCCCGTCGGACTCCTGCGCGTCTGCGATGTCGTCCAGGATCTTGGAGTGCAGGGCCTCGATGTCGCGGATGTACTGCGTCGCCGGCGCGAGGAGGTGCGTGACTTCCAGCCAGCCGAACTTTTCGATTTGCGGGCAGTCGGTGTGGTAGCTGAACAAGTTGCTGACAAAGGACCAGTAGCACATGTCTATGAGGGCGTTCGCGTCCGGCTTGTCTGTCTTGAGGGTGCCCAGCCTCCGGGAGGCGGAGGAGATGTGCCTGCCGACGACGGAGTGGACGACGGGGAGGTCTTCGCCCGTCTGTAGAGAGACGCCTTCGATTTGGATGTAGCGCGCGCTGGTGAAGCTAAAGTCTGGCTCCCACGTCTCGATGCCGCCTGTGCCCGCGAGCGTGATCTTGGAAAAGACCTTTGTTTCAAAGTCTTTGAAAAGGGGGTCCGGCATCAGCACGCGGCCCGTCTCGTCTACGCTCTCGGAGAACTTGACGATGACTTGTGCGCCGGCCGGGCCGCTGACCTGGATGCGAATCATGGTGGACATGTTTTGCCCTAGGTCAAACGTCACGACACCCCTCTCCAACGTCTTCTTCGAAACCGGCTCGACCGTCTCGTGAAGCATGACCGGCGGCTGGCTCTGGTACCTCAGTTTTCCCCTCGGCCCGGTCACAGGCGTCGAAGCAATCCACTCCCCGTCATCGAAGCCGGACGTGTCCCACCCGTTAGGATACGCCCGCAAATCCTTATCCTCGGACGCGTAGATATTCGCCAACGTGGTAGCGCTCTTCCTCGTCTTCCAATCCGGTCCCGAAATCACCGTCTCCCGACTCCCATCCTCGTAAAACAAATGCAGCTCCGCAAAGAAGCATAACTCGTTACCGTACCGCACGTACGTGTTATCCTCGTACATGGGCCAAAAGAAGCGATCATCACCGCCCTTATCACCGGCGTAGAACCCGTTGCCCACGTGCGCGCCGACGACGTTGTCTCCCTGCGTCAGCGCATCGCTGAGGTCGTAGGCGACGAACTGTACCGTGCGGTGGTAATTTGTCCAGCCTGGGTCGAGGACATGCGTCGACGCGGGAGCGCCGTTGCAGGAGAGGTTAAAGTGGCCCAGACCGGAGGCGAAGGCGATGGCGCGGGAGGGTTTGCGGGGGAGGTGGAGGTGTTTGCGGAGGTAGAAGGGTTTGTCGCTGCTGTCGCCGATCCAGACTCCTTTCCAGCGGTTTGCTTCGTCTTCGAACCAGGTGCGGAAGATGAGGCTGGTATGGGGCATCTGTTTTCGTTCGCGTTAGAAGTCAGGAAGGTGCTGTCATCATGTTCTGGGACGATAACATGTGCTGGACGGACATACGTAGGTTTGGTTCATGCTGTACGGCGGCAAAAGTCTGCTCGATCTTGGATACGCCGTAAAGAACTCGTTGACGCCGCTTGACGAAGCCTGTCCGTCCTGGTCCCAGACGGACACTTTCCAGAAGTGGAACGACGCGGACTTGAAGCCGCCATCCGGCTTGCAGAGAATGTTTCTCTGGGCATTGCTTTCGATTTTGCCCGAGTCCCAGACGACTTGAGAGCTTGAACCATCATCGAGTGCTGTCGCGTTTAAAGCAACGACGATACGATAGGCACTTTGGGAAGCATGTTCGAGCTCAGAGTGAAGCACCCAGTAGAACCGAATCTCATCAACGTCGATGCCCAGGGTTTCGTGAAAGGCATGAATGCCACAGCGTGTCACTTCCATTACGCTAGCGCGACGATTGTCAAGGGAGTAAGGCTCCAGGGTGTCCTCCGCAGCTTCGGTCGAAAAGAAGGTGAAAGCAGCTTTCTACGGATAGTAACCTAGAAAAGTACTCGGTTCCCGGCAAGTCTTTAGAGAAGCGAGCTTCATAGGTACATGTAACTTCTGTAATCTCTATTCTGTTTCGGGCATGTTCCGCATGCTGTGGCCCCCCATTTGAAAAGGTTGTGGTCAGATAACTCGGGGTAGTTAAGTCAACAATGAACCGAAATGACCGAAGTTCGGTGCGTTGTTCTCTCGAAAAGAGTGGCAACTCTGGAGCTTTTGAAACAGACCTCCTCTTGGATCCAGTATAGTCTATAGAGCACCCGGCGGGCTGGTACCATGAACCTCGAATCTTTACGCCGAGTCTTTTTGGCCAAGGGATCAGGGCCATGTGCCGGTGGAGACCCGGCCTTCGGTACTTGGATAGCGAGTATTGGCACCGAGATGTCGCCGGGGTGGGGTAAAGGCATTGTCGCCGAATCACAAGTCCTGATACGTTTGTGTTGGTGTCGATCTGATGCCTTCTGGCTCGGAATTACCGACTGTGAAACGGCTTTTTAGACCGGGTTTCCCGAGTGAGCCACACATTTATTTGGGGTTAGTCCAGCAGAGATCTCTACACAGAGTCCTAGACGTGTCGCCGTGTCGCTGTCGTCTGTATTCGTCTCCGACAGTAATTTTCATCGCCAGTGGTTCGTACTTTGAGCAACTTCACCGGCTTCAGTGGTCAACCTAGAAAGTTGACACGAGAATTCTCTATGGGGAACCCCCACCGTGCCGGCTCCGGACTAGGGTCGCCACTTACCGGGCCGCTTTGAGCCTCGAACATTAACGGCCTCATCAAGTGCGGTACGCGCATCCGTAGTAGTTATCAGCGACCGTAGTGCACAGCTTGCCAAGTGGCTACCCAAAAGAATCGATACTGAACACGCCACCAACCACCCTCGGTGATGTCGGGTTAAAGATGCAGCTTTGTCTGGGGTTTGCTGGGTTCGTGCGGAGGCCCCAGATTCTAAAGACCGCACATTCAGGGGGGGATCGGCCAGGTTCAGTACCGTTCAGATGCTGCCAAGACCCACTGGATGACACCTCGATCTCGTCGATTGGATGAACTGGGACACTCGCCGGTGGGAGTTGAAAGCTGACAAGTCCGTTACTGGATGTTGGTCATGTTTGTTGACCTCCAGTTGTATTTTAGCCTTGATATTTCTCCCGGGTTTCTGCCCCCAAGGACGGCATTCATTCTTGATTCTTTATTTGTCTCTTATTGACAGCTGTGACTGTTCACAACATACGACAACCATGGGTCGCCTCACGACGGTGCTCTCCGCCGTCTTCCTGGCCATCGGAGGTTTCCTCTTCGGCTATGACTCCGGTATCATCACCTCGACGATCGCTCTAGATTCGTTTGAAAAGTATTTCCGCCACCCATCAGATACCGTCGCCGGCGGCATCGTGTCAGCCTTTCAAGGCGGTGCCATCTTCGGCACAATCATCAACATGCTCTTCGCCAACAAGATCGGTCGGCGTAACACCATCTTTGTCGGATCCGTGATTTCGTGCCTCGGCTCGGCTCTGCAGGCCGGCGCCGTCAACATGGTCATGCTGATTATTGGCCGCTTCATCGGTGGTGCTGCCGTCGGCATGGTCACTTCGACAATTCCTATGTACGCCTCTGAGCTGTCGGAAGCCAAGTACCGTGGTATCTTGTCCGGTTTGCTGCAGTGGATGTTGAGTTGGGGATTCTTGATCGCCCAGTGGCTTGGATATGGATGCTCCTTTGTCAAGAGCGACTTTTCTTGTAAGCCTTTTTTTTTCATTGTCCCAATATATGTGTACCCACTCAGAGTCAGTGTAATACGAATTGTTTTGCAAACTAACAACGGGATAGGGCGTTTCCCTCTCGCCTTCCAGGCTGTCCCCGGTGTCATCCTCGTCACCGGCATCTACTTCCTCCAAGAATCCCCTCGTTGGCTGATGGAGCGAGACCGACACGAAGATGCCCGCCGATCACTCGGTAAACTCCGAAGTGGCCTGGACGAGGAAACCATCGATCTCGAGTTCCGCGAGATTCGCGACGTCATCTTGGCTGACCGCGCCCTCGGCAACATTTCATGGAAGTCCATCATCACAAAGCCTTCGTGGCGCAAGCGTCTTTTGTTGGGCTGTGGTGTACAGGCCTTTGGACCTCTCTCAGGTAAGCCTGTCATTTACGCAAAGAAGAAGCAAGTCAAAGCATATTGCTAACGCCGTATTCCAACAGGTATCAATGTGATCAACTACTATGGACCTCGCATCTACAAGATTCTCGGCATCGATACCCAAACCTCTCTAATGATTATCGGCATCAGCGGTGCTCTTTCGATCGTCTACTGCAGCATTGGCCTGTGGCTCCTCGACCGCGTCGGCAGAGTGAAGCCCCTGATCGTCTCTGCAGCTGGTCTCGCCGCCGCCCTCCTCGTCAACGCAGTGCAGGCCCAATATCTCAACGAGAATAACGCCAATCAGTTGCGCAGTATGGTAGCCATGAACTTCGTCTTCAGCATGTTCTATACCCCGCTGGGCATTATTAGTTGGGTGTACCCTGCCGAAATCTTCCCTGTCGAAGTCAGAGCGCTCGGAAACGCTATCACCACCTTCACCAACTGGACCGTCAATCTTATCTTTGCCCAGATCTCCCCGGAGGCCCTGACTAATATTGGTTTCCGCTACTTCTACGTCTTCTTCGTTTTCAACCTCATCGCCATGATTTGCTACATCTTCTTCTTCCCGGAGACCAAGGGCAGAACGCTTGAGCAGATGGATGAGCTCTTTGGGGACCAGCTGGTGCCTCATGCTATGCAGGATTCTGTTGGAGCTGCTGCTGCTGTCGCCAAGGACGAGAAGCTTGTAGAGCAGCTTGATCAGGTCTAATCATGCCATCGAAGACTGTGCGATCTTTGCGGTATTGGTACTTTCAGGGTTGCAATTCCATTACATGGGTGCTAATAGGGGTGGGGTTGGCCCATGAGAAACATACAGACCGTCGGGTGCGTAGCTAGGGCATGAAGTTTCTCGTATTAATAAGGCAATTCTCAGTGGCACACACTGTTGACCGCATAGCTATATGGACACATTGCAGACTGTGTTCGCGTGACACAAGTAATTACCAAAGTGACAGAGTATGGCATCAAACCCAGACGAAAACATTCGCGTCCGTCTGGACCGAGTCATCCCAAGTAATTACATATACCTAGCTTTGTCATACGTAGGCCAAAGCCTTAGTAGCCTAGACCACATTGTTCGCCAATCTAGGCCTAGTGACTTGTTGTGTCGATCTGGCTGACAGGATTCAAAAGTCCGTTTCCAGACCATGCCCGACTAGGCAAACAAACTGGTCCGGACATAAGTCAGCAGATAGAAACGTGAATTATCAGAAACAATAACCATTTCTTCAAAGGGAGCAGTAACATGGCTATAAAAGTTTTGTGGTCGCCGAGCAGTCTTCATGGTTCTATCTCTTCCATTGGCACCTCAATTACTGAATTTCACGTATCAGCCAATCCAGGCAACCTCAGCTTCGCAATCCCTCGGCACTAATATCACGATGGTCGGCTCTAAAGACCTCCCTCCATCAACTCTCTCCTTTGGGCGCGTCTTCTACAACAATCAATTCTGTGCGAAGCCGCAATGGCCGGCCCCGGGCACCAGTCTTTCCGGCAAAACCGCGATTATCACGGGCGGGAACACAGGTCTAGGCTTTGAAGCCGCCCTTCAACTGTTAGATCTCGAGTTGTCCCGCTTGATCCTAGCTGTGCGCTCACTCCAGCGAGGCGAAGAAGCCGCCACGAAGCTTCGTCGCCGATATCCCACTGCAACTATCAGCGTGCAACTTCTCGATATGACGTCTTACGAGTCTGTCCAAGATTTCGTACGTCGCATTGACAACGAGGTGGATCGCATCGACATCGCCCTTCTCAATGCCGGAGCGATACGGATGGGCTTTACCAAAGTCCCTAGCACTGGTCACGAGGAGACAATTCAAGTCAACTACCTGTCAACTATGCTCCTCGCCCTACTTCTTCTCCCTGTTCTGAAGGCCAAACGTCAGAATAATGGCGGCCCCGCGCGTCTTACAATCGCCAGCGCAGCTTTAACGTTGGCAGCCGCGTTTCCCAATAGAGCTGCCGACCCCCTCCTCCCATCCTTTGATGATCCCGAAGTCTTCGCCATCCACGGCCGGGAAGCCTATAATACTTCGAAGCTGCTCGCCCACATGTTTCTCTGGAAACTGGTAGATTATGTTTCGGCTGACGATGTAATTGTCAACCTCGCAGATCCGGCGTGGTGCAAAGGCACAAACCTAGCCCGAGATGCACAGGGCATCATGAAATTGGGAGTCGCGGTATTTGGGGCAACGACTGGACGAACGCCACGAGTAGGTGCCTCTTGCTTTGTTGATGCCATTGTCAACAAAGGCAAAGAGTCTCATGGGTGTTTCCTTATGAGCTGGAAAATTCATCCGTACGTTTGTCCTAAATGCGAGTTCCCTCATTGTACCAGACCACTAACAACTTCTAGGTTTGCTGCGTTTCTCTACACCTCCGAGGGCATCACTGTTACAGATCGTCTTTGGGAAGAGACACTACAAGAGCTTGACTTTGCAGGCGTTCGATCCATCTTGAAAGCGTTATAGATCGAACTCGGGCTCCCCAACCTTCTTCCGGAAGCTATGTTATCCCGTGTTGTCGTGGCCGAGAGTGCGCGAGTGCGCAACTTACTCTAGTGTAAGACGATGCCAGCCAGCCAGCCTGCACGTACGATACCGTCCTACGGTATAGACCCGGGCTGCTTTTTGCCGATCTTTACCATTTCTGCCTCATTTCTTCGTAGCAGACTTCTTTTACTCTTAGTCGCGCACGCATCAGAATTGAACTTAGATTCCTAACCGAAATCGACAAATGTAGTCGAATCTGACTCGATTGCTGTACATAATGGTGGATTCTCTATCTTATGAGTTGAGCTTATCTATATCATAGAAAAGATAACGGGATCTGAAGGTTATCGCAGTCGCCGGTCGTCTCTGTAGCCGGGACAGAGAGCTAAGAGTGAAGTTATTGATTGCACTGCTCATCATGCCCACTTAAATGTTTCGGAATGTATATTCCGCCCGGTGGGGGTGGATTGCCGTGCCTGAGTGACTTTTGCGGGGTGAGATAAGCCTGTTCAATGAGACAACAAGAAATGTTTCCGACAGTTGGGCCATAAAGCCGATATTCGGACGTTGTTGAGCAATCGGCAAATCATGGAGGACGTCGATCTTCTCTCCATGCCACGCAGTAGGACAGATGCTCCCATTCCGAGGCGCGGGGTCTTAGCGAGGTAAGCGGGGAGAGACCGGCCTGATAACATGCATGCCTTATCAGTGGAAATACTTTCACACCATCACTTATTAACGAAGTAGCTTCATGCAAGCTTGACGTCTCCTCAATATCGTCTTACCTTAGGTATCTTCGCGGAGGGTAGTGAGATACATCAGTAATGGAGCATTTATATCCAGAGAGTGTCGCATTCCTATCGCCATGGATACTACCAAGCTTCCTGGGTAACTCGTCGCAGAGCATCTCAGAATTCTACATGCTTGACATCCTTCCGATGGCAGTTCAAGCTCTCTCCTTTGTCTGCCTCGCGGGCATTGCCGCTGCTCTCGTTGAAAGGAGTCCCCTGGTTTTGACTCACACCATCAATGGCTTAGATCAAGTCTTCCAACTCGGCAACAAGAGCTACTTGGCAACGCCCGCCTCATCACTCGCTTTCGCAGCTGCAAATCTCAAAGCAACCACCGCTCCGGCAACTCATATCGTCGCAAATAGCCCCGTCATCACTGGTCGGTACCTCCAAGATACGATTGCGCGCTACCTGGCCGAAGATGACGTATTCTCAGAGGACTTCCTCGAGACCATCATCCTGAGCTCCAATTGCTCTTCAAGGCTTGATGATGCTGCCACAGCATTCGTGGTATCTATTGGGTCGCAAGTTCTCATGCTACCAGTCTCTTCCCAATTTGAGTCGCCCATGCCGCCTCCCGGTCCGTTCTTCTTGGAGTCCGATGGCAAGACGGTTACGCTCTCAAAAGTCTTCCGTCTCTACACGGACACTTACAGTGACTTTGTCCATGGAATTTACGAATCCAACGGAAGCTACAAGATCCTTAGCCTAACCGACGCTGATTGGGGCTACCCCTTGATCCCCGTCCCATCCCGCCTCTACACCGCAGCCGACTCTGGGCCTCTCTCTGGGACAAGAATTGGCGTCAAGGATATCTACGACGTCAAGGGACTCAAGTCCACGCTAGGAAGCAAGGCATGGACGCAAATGACCACCAAAGCGGACGCAACCGCTCCTTCTATCCAGCGTATTATTGACCTCGGCGGAACGGTCGTGGGGAAGCAGAAGACGTCCCAATTCGCATCTGCGGCTCACGCGTGGGAGTGGACCGACGTTTACTACCCCCAGAACCCCCGCGGTGACGGATATCTCAGTTGCTCGGCGTCGTCTGCTGGTGGTGGTTGCTCCATAGCCGCGTACGACTGGCTCGACTTCGCCATCGGGTCCGACACTGGCCAGTCTATGCGCCAACCGGCGGCGTTCTCGGGTACCTTTGGAAACCGCCCATCGCAAGGTCTCATGGTTTTAGACGGAGTCATGCCTATTTCCTATGGTGCCGACACGGGCGGTGTATTTGCACGTGATCCTCAGGACTGGGTGAAGTTCGCTAAGCTCTGGTACGACCCTTCACTTCACCAAGATAGCAGCCTCAATGGGCTACCCGATCTTGTGGTTCCGGATTCTCGTGCTTTTCCGAGGCGAATTCTGTATCCCACCGACTATCTTCCGCTGAAGAACCCCGCTGCCGAAGCCGTTCTTCAGAGCTTCCTGGCCCGGGTCAGCAAGGTCATGGACTTGATGGTGTCGAAAGTCAACATCACGGAAAGGGTCGGGACCGTAACTGGTCGGGATCTTGACGGGATTCTGGCTGACCTGGGTACAATCTGGACCTACACACAGCTCAAAGTTGTGGCAACACCTCTGATTGCACACTACAGCCCTGGTTTCCCTTCTCTTGATAGACCGTACCGAACTTCTTTCTGGAATTTCACCCTAGACGCCGAAGGTCATACCGAAGCGCTTGACCGCAGACGCCAGGACTCCGAGGCCTGGCATCGTGAGGTCTTGTTCAATACGACCGAAAGCTGCTCTGAGTCCATCATGATCTACGACATCGGCACGGCCGGGCTTCCCTCCTTCAGAGAGGCTGAGTTGAATGAGTCCCCGGGCGCTGCCTTACCTGATGGTCCTGGAACTCGAGGAGCTGCTTCTTCCCTTGCGTCCTACTTTGGAAGCGTAGACTTCACCATTCCAATTGGTCAGGTGCCTTACTACAGCAACATCACCCACCGAGAAGAGATGATGCCTGTGACTATCAATATGGTGGCCAGGAGGGGGTGCGATTTTGTCTTGTTTAATCTTGTCGAAGAGTTAACGAAGCTGGGAGTCTTGGGGCCTGTCACTACTGGTTCGCGAACTTTTGTATGATACAATCGTTGTTTCCACTATGGAACTAATCTGAGATCCGTCCTGCCAATGCCTCATCTTCCATTTCATTCCCAAAAGACAACGCCAACGAAACACAAAGAGTCATCTCGAACCATTCATCATCTTCTGCTTCAATGGTCTCAAGGGTCCAGCCCAGTTCAATGCCAATCATAGTCATCTGGGTAAGCACCAGGCAGATTCTGGTGCGAACCCTCGGCGTAGGAATAGCCAATCATGGGCTGAAGATCAGAGCCAGGCACTTCTACAAGTCCAAGAACAATCGAGGCCTGTCTCTTCTCCCAGCACGCCACCAAAGTCTTCTTCTCCTGCGTCTTCATCCACTCACACTTTTCGCGGCCTTCTTTGAACTTTTGCTTCTCGTGGTTGAGAAGCCAGGCCTCGGCATTCTTGGTCAAGGGAGTCTTAAGCGTCTTGACGCTCACAATGTCGTAGAGTTCGCTTGTGTGATCTTGAGTTGGGGGAAGTCCAGCCTCCATGCCAGTCTCTTGCGGGAGAACTAAGCTCGGCGACGCCATTTGCTTCGACGACTGAAATCCACAGAATGCCATATCAGCTTCAATGTCGACGCCCTGTGAATGATACGTTAGCATGTGGACTTGGGCGAATTGGAGGAGGTATGGTGAGATACCTGTTCTGGTTCCTGGGCTGCTGGCCAGTCGAAGAAGGGGGAAAAAGTTGGAGACGTCAAGTCGATTGGATCATGTTGGGTTGTGATCAGTGCGTTGGGAGCGAATGTCTGGCATGATTCTATTAGCCAACCTTGGGGAAAAACTTGTCAATTATGGGACTTGCCTTTCTCATGAGCTCTGTAGTAGAATTGAAGCCAAGCATTGTGTTCGCCGTGGCGACGCCATGCATAGGGCTGGATTCAGTTGCCTGCTCAAGACCGACCACTCCTGTCAATGGATGAGAAGAGCGAGTCGGCTGGTGCTCGCTTAAGCCATGATAAGGACACTGCGCCATGCCACCTTGTGGAAGTTGCTGCTGCTGAAGCTGCTCTTGGTTGTCCTCAGCCTGAGTCTCAGCCTTTTCTTTGCGAAGCTTGTATCGAGCCGATGACTCCCTTCTCTTCCTGCGACACGGCTCGCATTGGCTTCGCTCCCTTATCAGACCCATATTGGTCATGGAAGAGAATTCCGATTGTGGCTTAGACTTGTGGCACTTGGTACACAACTTCTGGCTTGAAGATGCTTCACCAACACCTAAGGCCAAGGGTGCGCCATTCCCGTTCAGAACGGGCGGTGAAGGTGACAGAAGGAGCGATGCCGGCAAAGGGGGCAAGGTACTGTGACCCGGTGCAATTGGCGGAGCTAACAGAGGAGTCTCTGCTGTGGGAGCTGAGGAGCCTGGCAATGTCGGAATCAGTCGAACGGGAACGCCGGGGTTAATCGCGGAGATGGGAGCTTTCTGAGATGAAGAGCTTCTTCGAGAGGAAGAGGGCTTTGAGGTTTTTCGTGAAAGCCGTCTCTGTGCGGGTGTCTGTGGTCTGGAAGGAACGTCCAGGGAGTTGTTCTCGATGCCAAGTACTTGATGAGGCATGTGAGGGACTTGTGAACTCGAGGTTGCGCTCTGCGCCTGCGCAGGAGCACCGTTGGCATTCGGTAGTTGAGTTGCGCCCATTCTGGGCAAGCAGAGAGGGATCGGATCTCTGACAGCGAAGTAAGACCCCAACGCCGCTGAAGTTGGAGGAGAAGATCCGAAGAGCGACTCGTCGTCGTCGAAGTCCATGGCTTTGTGATCGGAGGAGGAAAGATTGGGGACCGAGATTCAGGGACTCACGGTCGCTTGTGTGAAGTGAAAGGATTAGTGGGAAGGGAAAGGTTGCAATATAAGGGCAGGAAGTAAGAAGAATGGGTTGAAGGAGAAGGTTGAGAATATTTCCACAAGAAGAAAGGAGCGACCGTGAACTATCTAGAAAGGAAGTGAGGCAGAAGCCCTAGACGAAGGTGAAGTGAAGAACCGCGATTTCATCTAGAGTTGCTCGCTTAATCCAAGACTTCAATCACGTTCACCTCGCTCCTTCCTCTAATTTTGAGGAATACTCGGGCGTTCCAGCCACTTAGCGAATACACGAGTATTCAGGTGCAAATAGCTTACAGAACAAAGGCCTTGGTATCAAACCCCTGCTTGATACAATTAAATCGACTTCATCAAAGACACTTGTCGATTCTCATTGGTGAATTGTGAGCTCCTTGTCTCAAGTCACAGTTGGAATGAAGCCTTTGCTTGCTTCCATTTGGCAACAACTGGAAACATTACAGCTGTAAAGTAACTGGATCTAGAAGCTATGTGAAACTATGAATTGCATGCCTCGAAGAGTCCGAGTATAGGATCGATGAAACTCGTATTCACCTTGGTCAAGTAGAGACATTCAAATTGTTTTGAGAATTCAATTTCCAGTCCTAGCGAACAGACGAGAGTATGACTTAACCTCTTGTCTCTCAGTTCAACTTGTCCTTCCCGACTTCCACATGCACAAGTCCTCGTCAGGAGATGGGCAAGTGTGACTCGAAGATCAGATACTAACTGACTATACAAGGTGTTGTACCAGAGCCTTTAGTAACGGCGTCTTGTCTCCTGTCGTAGATAATCTTCTCTCAATACTAGATATCTTATTCAACACGTTCCTGATTAAGAAGTAGTGGCTTGCTGGTAGCCCAATCTCGTAATTTTCTAGGAGCAATAAGACTACCAGGCATACGGTCATAGCCATGTCAACCTTGCCGATGCGCTTATTTCTCCCAATTTGAACGGCAGACAAAACAGTAGAGCTTATGGTGAGTGGTTATTATACATACATAGGTATTTATATATATACGTTCATTTAGGAGTCTGGATTTTCAAGAACCCAAGCCCTTTCTTCAGGTGTATGTCTTCCACTTGTTTCTCGCTTTGCGACAAGATGCGTTTCCGACATGATCACATGTTCGAGTTCAGTTTACTCAACGAGGTATCGGCTAAGGAAAGGATAGAGAATCTTTCCTGCTCTAAGAATCATTCTCAAGCATTGATTGGTGTGTATTTGGCAGGATAGGTACTTCCATCTCCATCAAACTTCACATGGCATTCAGAGTTGGCCAAATGCATAATTTCAGTACGCTGCAGCCCTCAATCACGACCAAATCCAAGTCAAGTAGAAACTCGCAGTTCCAGCATTGAGTTAGCACCTAGAAATAACCAGAATTCAAGTCAGTCCAGTAAGTTGTTTCAGTATCGTCATATTCAGGTTTCTATTGTATGTTCACATGCTGATAGGGGTTCCTCTTAATACCTCTAGGAGCAAAGGTGCATGTGGCACTGGTAGACACTGACAGGCCAACCCGCAGGAATGCTGATGTTTGCGGAAAATCGTTGTCTTAAGCCCGCTCGATTGAACGATGATTCATGCCATTTACTATTACTCGGTCCTTTCCGCACACTACCTATCTGAATGTTATGGTCAGCGCTTCATGATGTCACCATTCTTTCACTGGTGCAGAAACGTCATTCTGGCTAACCACATGTTGTGCGCCAAAGATGACGCGCACGACCATTCAAAGTGTATAAGATCTCACCCACCGAACCTTAGAAAAAAGAGCTATTATCTTCATCACCTACTACATCATGAACAGAATCGCCCTTAGACAAACCAAGCTTTTCGCTGCATCAGTACCCAGAGTTAGAGCCATGTCGTCTCAGAACCCCATCCACAACGCTGCCGAGGCCGCCGGCCAAAAGAAGGACACCAGCCCCTCCAAGCCTAGCGTCATCTCCTCGGAGGGCGCCATTGGCAAGCAATTCAACCCTGATGGTAACATCGGCCAGATTGGTAAGTGATGTGTCCAACACCTTTATCACATAACCTTAATTCTGACATTTCATTCATAGGTGAAGCAGTTGGCGGCCCTTTCTCAAAGGACGGTGTCATTGGAAGTCAGTTTGACGCAAGCAAGGGAGGCATTGCAGGCACGGTGGAAAAAGCCGTAGACGGCCCCCGAAACCCGGCGAAGAAATAGCTTTAGATTCAAGCAACTCATTATGATGTTCCTTTCGGCGTGTAGCAGTTCAAATCTCTAACTTCAATTCATCCCAATCCATAGCTCCAATACCTAGTTGAGACAGGCCTTACCAAGTACCCTGCGTGAAGTCGACTGTTATATTGCCGTCCGGGATCTCAATTGAAGAAAGACCCCACCAAGCGCATGATTTCCTTCCATTGTTTGGATACTTCATGGAAAATCTTCGTTTAGTTCACATCACAAGCGCAAGCAGATTATATGGCATAACCTATCTTCCTGACGCTCGTAGCCATGGTTCTGCCTCAACAACATTCAGCTGTAAACTAACTCCCCGAAAAGAAATGATGTGATCCCTCCAGTAGATTAATGTCGTTGCCTTTTGGTTACCTGACACGCACCTCGGCGAATATCACACAGTACCTTAGCTTTGAATCTCTCAATCTTGCGTAGCTGGTTGGCTGCCTGGTTGGCGCGACGACGTTGCGCCGAGGATGACAGAATTCGGGCGCAGCTTCAAGACATGCATGGACACAGGGAAGGCAAGCCTATCTTTTGTCGCAATTTTGGTGGCCGGGTTGGATGATAGGTCTGAGAAATGTCTCAAGCACCACGCCATGTCGAAGCATGAAAACCAGCTATCTGCAAGGAGACTGTTCCCCCGGTCACCGTAATTAAGTCAGTTCAAACCCCCCAAGTGTATAAAATCCCGTGACCGTCCTGGGTACAAATCCTTTCCACATCTTGTCCTCATCTTTCTCACAACTTCTTCCTTCTATTGTACCTTCCTTCACATCTTTCAACTTCGAATCGCTACAGACGATCTGATAGTTCGACAGTGGCCCAAACTACCATCGCGATGCAGGCCTACCAGGACGACCAGTTGAACAGGGCTGAGCACATTCTTGACTATAGATTCAATACTCGCAGCCTGCTCTTGGAGTCCTTACAGACTCCAGGTTCCGGAGTCCGAACTGCCGGTGACCGTTCCATCATTGACGGCAACAAAACCTTGGCTCTCTTGGGGGACAAAGTTCTCGGATTCTTGCTTGTGGAAGCGATGGTGAGGGAAAACCTGGTAACTAGGGGTGAGTTCATATTCGACAACGAGATTTCTGCATATCGTTTCCCATCCAAAAAAACTGACATGGCGATGGTAGGTGACATCGACGCCGAAATTCAGCTTAAGCTCAATAATGCCCGACTTGTGGGAGTTTTTGACATGGTTGGCTTCCTGGAGTGTCTCGGCCTCAACCCATCTCAGGGTTTGTCCATCGGTCCTCGGACCAAGGCCGATACCATCGAGGCCATCATAGGTGCTGCGTACTTAGACGGCGGATTCGAAGCTGCCAGACTTGTGGCAACGAACCTCCATATTCTCTGATATCGGTAATGTCAAAACCTTCTTACCCCTTGAGCTAACGATCAGTAGCCTGCCCAGACCAAGAGGAAGCCTGGAAGCCCCGCATTGGGGCACCGAGGGATCCAAACGGAGATCCCCTCGGAATATGGCGCTTGGCATCTCTTGTCTTCGCGGCAGATCCAGCGAAGAACATCGAAGCAGACTGGGGTCAGCTTGGGTGTTGCATTCTTCTCTCAAGATCTGCTGCCGAGAGAACCGACCACCGTGTTCCTAGGGGATTCCGTATGGGGCCCTTGGTGCCCCGATGCGGGTGTTCCGGGTTTCCTCTTGGCCAGGGGCCTTATTGCGGAGTGAGCGGGTACCCCAGATCGCTCACTCGCGTAGTCTGCGGTTATGGACCGTGATGAGTTCTATCGTATGTGTAGTTGGAGGGACTCTCAGTCTAACTCACTTTTCAGTCGATTTGGTGATGGAGAAGATGGTTGTTCGACGCGGAGAGGGGTCGCACGGAAGAAGGGACACATACATGCAGGGATTGGAAGACGGAAGAGCAATGGGTACAATGAGCTCTGGGTTGGATTACTATTTTGAAGGAGATGTTTCTGTTCGGGGCTATCGGTTCGATACACGTGAACTCCCCATCTTTTGGAATTTGCACTTTACACCATCCCCCTCCCCCTGCTCCTGAGCTTGAGGCAACACTCATTTGACGACATCACGATCTCACCAACACTCAAGCTCTCAATACACGACTTCGATTCTATCTCTCGCTGTTCCAGTTGTGAAATGTCGCCATGATGTTGCCGGTTCAACATTCAGGATGTCTTCAGATCAAATCTGCACCTGACAAGTAACCAAGGCTCGCAACCCTAGAGTGGCGATGCAGCCAAGTCAACCTACAATACTCGTAAACTTGCATCTGATCCTTCAGCAAAATCTGAGTTAAGGATGCAGCCCGTCAAGGTCGCACGTTAAACTGACCTCATCGACCAAAACCTTGGGCATCAAACCTAATTCTGGGACCAGGAAGATCGCGAAACCGAGCTATGAACGATGCTCCTACTGGATTGCGAGGACAGTCTTGATAATACAGAGACAATCAGGCATTCAACGTCCAAGACGCACAGCATCTCCTGACAAGACAACACAACTTCAGTTTCGCCGCGCAGGTTTCCACCATAAAAGAAAAGCAGGATGATGTGAGACAAAAGTACATGTACATCACACTGCCCGAGGCGGAAAGGGCGCCGATCAATAATACGCCTCCCAGGCACGCCCGAGCCTCCCGTTCCCCTACCGAAACCCAGGATTTGATTGGATGCTGAGCAAGATACAGAGTAAAATAAGTTGCACAACGGCAGCTTATCGGAGAAATCAAGGTCAAATAGTGGCCAAAGGCACCTCAAATCTGCCCTCCTTCTCCGATTACAAGACATGTCGAATCGAATAGTAACAAATCTCCATCCTTACCCAGATCTCTCACCCCAGTCATCGCCGGGATGCGGGGCAAAGCGGACACAAGATGGGGCACCACACGGGACTCGGGGCCGGTAGGGCTTGGTGGTTGATGGGTTCTGCATACCCCGCTGGACGTACGTCGGCCGGATCCTTCCAGCCTGCATGCTATTGTCTTGGCCTCGCTCATTGGTGAAGTTTCTCTGTCTACAAATGCCTTGTACAGTACGAAGTAGCATTGCCATGGCCCATCTCACTCGCATGTCATTAGATGCCAATTCCCTATTTAAGACAAAGCAAGTCACTCTCTGGTTCTAAGAACCTAGAGGGCAACATGTTCCCATGAGGTAAGTTAGTAGCCAGGTAAAGTTCGATTCCATGCTGAGCCGAATAGCGGGAGCCAAGGACAGGATGCCAACCCCGCGGCATCAACGGCACATAAAGCTAGTATCCTGTACTAGTCGACTAATTGTCTTGACATACGTCGCTCTCGGATCCTGCGCCATCAACTCGTGGCACCATCACACTGTGCCTAGGTATCTTGCCTGTCCTTCTTGTCTCTCAATTTCGCTTCGCTTCCAAGCTGTGCCACCTCCAATATCTGATCTGCAAGAGCAAGAAGCCTTGCTCAATTCCAAGCAATGGGCCCGTCACCTGCTCACCGTGCCCATTCACCAGCATACCCCAAAACCAAGCTTCCCCCGTCTTCCTTCCCCGCCATCTTCGCCCCAAAGTTCAATGTGCCTTGCCTAGAGAAAAACCCAAAAAGAAGCCTAAAAGAACAAATACCACATCCAATCCATCCGACTCGCTTCCTCGCCAAGAGCATCCACGGCACGCCTCGCCTTCGCCCGGTCTGACACCTCGCGGTGCGATGACGCACCATGATGGCGCAAGGTAAGCTTGTATGCCTGATTCAATGGGAACCAAGATGGGCTGAGCCGGCTTAATTGTGTTCACTTGCAAGCAAGTTTGATCACGAGGTGCACTTCGCTGCGCTGGGCGAGAGTATTTGAGGACGGGGGCATCTCCGATAGTTCGCCGGAGAAAGACGAGGCCCTTGCCTAGGTACCGCTTCAAAGACCTTTAATTGGATTCAATTGATAGAACTTCCCTCTTGGCAACCACTGTTATTGTGAAGTACGCGGTCTCACGATGCAGCTGACCCTCCCTCTCCTGACACTCCTCGCTGGAGTCTCGGCCGCACCAATTAAGGGCCTCGACCGCGCAACGATCCAAGATGAATACGACTTCATCATAGCAGGAGGTAACGCACGCTCAATTTTCCCCAAAGTCACAGTAATTCAGGCGGCTAACTCACTCTTCCCCTTCTCAAAGGCGGCACCGCCGGCATCGTCCTCGCAAACCGCCTCTCCGAGTCCGGCAAACAGCGGGTCCTCGTCCTTGAAGCGGGGCCGAACCCCGAGGTCGTCTCCGCCTACAAGCCGCCCGGCGGCAACCAGTTCCTCGGCGGAACCGCCATCGACTGGTCCTTCTACACCACTCCGCAGGAACACCTCGACGGTCGCATCCTCCGCTACCACCGCGGTCGGTGCCTCGGCGGCAGCAGCGTGACCAATGGCTTCTACTACGGTCGTGGCAGCTCGTCCGTTTACGATGATTGGGTCAAAGTAGGGAACCCGGGTTGGGGATGGGACGACGTGTATCCTCTGTTTGTTAAGGTGAATCACACGCTCACTTGTCCAGTCGTGGATGTCTGTCACGCTTAACTGACATGATAATAGGGTACGCACTTTAACCCCCCAACGGACCACGAAGTCCGAGGCTTCGACGTCTCCTACAAAACCCACGACCCCTCCGCCTACGCCGATGGTCCTCTCCAGCTCGGCTTCCAGGGCTACGTCCCACCTTCGGGCGTAGGCTTTATCGAGGCCGCCTCTGAAGCCCTTCAGATCCCCATCGTCGAGGACCACAACACGGGCAACAGCACCGGCGTGAAGCAGGGTACAGGCCACCTCGACGCCGGGTTCATGCGCAGCTCCAGCTACGATAGTTATCTGAAGCAGGCCGAGGGCCGGAAGAACCTTGATGTTCTGCACTTTGCTCCCGTGTGGAAGATCAACTTTGACCAGGTGGAGGGGAAGAACCCGAGAGCCGTAGGTGTCGCTTTCATGGACCATCCTACGGGTATCGTACATGAGGTTAGAGCGAAGAAGGAAGTTATCGTCAGCGCGGGGGCGTTCAACTCGCCTCAACTCCTAATGGTTTCTGTGAGTTTCTCTTGAGTATCGCGGATGTGGCATGATGAACGGCAGATCATGTACTAACCTCGTCCGCTTCAGGGAGTCGGTCCATCCTCCCAGCTCAACGAATTCGGCATCGAACCCGTCCACATCAACGAGAACATCGGCCAGCAGTACGTACCCCTCCTTCTCACCCCTCTCACATTACGACTAACATCAAATCCCCTAAGCCTGAACGACCACTCCGTCTTCAGCATAATGGCCCTCTCGACCCCCGAATTCTCAACAACAGACATGGCAGCAACCTACCAATCCCTCCGCGCCGCACAAGATGAGTTCTACAAAAACACCACGGGCGAGTACACGGCCCCCTCGGGCATCACAAACGCCTTCCAGAAGCTCTCGGTCGACGAGTTGCAGGCCATCGGCGCGGGCGACGTCGTCACCGCGGGGCTGGCGAACCAGTCGCACATCGAGTACCTCTTCGAGAGCGTCTTTTACCCGAGCGGGCCGACGCCGTACTACACGCCCCGCGGTAACGAGACGTACATTTCCCTCACGGCGTCGAGTATGGTGGCTCTGTCGAGGGGAAATGTTACGCTGAGGTCAAATTCTATGGCTGAGACGCCGAGAATCAATCCTAATGTGAGTCCACGTTTGGTTTCTTCCCAAGCGCCTCCTATTTATCTCGGACGGCTTGCTCACTTTTCTTCCTCGTTCCCCCTCTAACGAACGTTGATAAGAAACGGAGTGGGCTAACCCATTGTAACATAGTACTACGCCCACCCAGCTGACCGCAAAATCGCCCTCGCCTCCTTCAAATACCTCCGCAAGATCCTCGCCCATCCGCGCATGTCAGAATACACCGTCGGCCCATCCCACGGCGAAGTCTCCCCTGGCGCCGGCGTCTCGGAAGACGACGAGGACACCGTGCTGGCCTACGTCCGCGCCAATACCATCCCCAACTGGCACGCTTCCGGCACGAACCAGATGCTCCCCGAAGACAAGGGCGGCGTCGTAGACCCGCGGCTGAGGGTGTACGGCGTGGACGGGCTGCGGGTCGTGGATTGCAGCATCATTCCCATCCTGCCTGATGTTAATATCGTGGGGTCGGTGTATATGATTGGGGAGAAGGGGGCGGAGATGATCCGGGAGGATTGGGGGGATTCGTGATTACGGTTTTGGAGTAGTGATGTCTGACGACGGTATGATTGGTGTCTGTAGGCTCAGCTCGAGATGCGAAGTAGCTTTCGATATTGTCTGATGTGGTAATGAGTACGTCTTAGTTGTAATCGTCGTCCACGGCCATCCCTCTGCATAACCAGATAGACACATTCACACATTGGTAACGGAGCTCCATTACCTTCGGGAGCCGCAGTAATGGCCGTTACCAACCAGCCATCGGTTCTTACACAGGACTCCTGCCTGATAGACTGATCTCACCTCATGAAAAGCAAAGGACCCTGGTATGCTCCATCCTCGCCCAGACTTGCCATCTCAACTTTTCTGAATCCCCTCCAGAGACCAGAGACAAGATGATACACTCATCCGACGACAAGAAAGACACAAGCCGGGGGGTTCGCTTGACAACCACTCGTCAAAGCAACATGAAGTCAAACAGCATAGCAAGGCAAGCTACCAACAACGCCCGTCACATAAAACGTGGCACCCCACCTCCAGTCGGAAAATCCGAGCCAGGAGTCAAACGGCCCCAAAATTTGAGAGAGAGCCTCCAGAGTTCAGACTCCGTAGTCCGCAGAGGCCTCCTACTATCTGCTCTACCAAGACCCCTTACAGGCCAAGGGCACATCAAAGACAAGGGTATCAAGACCAATAGCCCCCAAAAGAACGAACCCGAAGATCCAGACACCAGATGACAGTGATCTCCCAACCATACTATTCGTCCATGTTCTCGGCAGCAGGTGGGGATTCATCGGAAGGTCATCGTCTCGTTGGACGGTTCGGCATCTCCTTTCCAGACTCTAGAGAACATGTCTAGCAAAAGACCTGTACCGAGCCGAAGCCAAGCCGTTTCGAAAGACGAGACGGTGACAGGCAGGCGGTCGGCTGAACAGATTCGGGGACGTGCTCACGGAAAACCCATGGGTGGTGGGAGAGCGAGAACACTGCATAGATGCACGGGGTGAGCAGATTCTTGAGAAACGGACGCGACGTTTCGTGCCTCATCTTGTATGGCAGGTCCATAATCTTACCACCGTCGCCATGGGTCCAGAGGCACGCAGAGCAGACATATCGCGATCTCAATCATGGAGGGAAACAATCATTCACATGGAAGAAACGAACCAGTGCAGATCAAGTTAAAGAATTCTTTTGTATTCTTCAGATCGAGTTGCGGGAGCGCCCAATCTATCTAGTACACGATGGCCATGGCCAGCCGTAAATTCCACCTCTTACTCGCCAATGTTAACAATCATCAATCATGCCGAACCAGCTTGGTTCCTATAGAATTCTTTTCGACCGCCGCAGCATTCTTAAAATAAAAATAAGAAACTAGATGCCGTCCCGGTTCGGGTGTAGTTGATTCCCAATCAATCCCAACGCCATGTCCCAGATATCAAGCTAGTATGCACAGGAAATGTTGTAGCGAACTAAATGCCCAAAATAAGGTGCTAAAAGAAAGTGTAGTAGAGAATGTGGTGTTTAGAGGAAAAGCGACTCCAATCTGGCGAGAACTGGTTGAAGCGCGGCGTCGATGCGTTGCACCTTGGCCATGGCCACACATGCGTTCTTCTCATCTTCTGATGCATCGACGAGCTCGTAGCGGGCAAGAACCTTCTCGGCTTCGACACCTCCGAAGATCTCGGGTTGTGAGAGGGCTTCGGTGTCAAGTTCGACAGGGGATACGGTAGCAGGGGCAGGAGCAGAGTGGTACAGAGCGAACTCAGGGTCGTTCTCGAACTCGTCATCGAAGACCTCCTCGGTCGCCGGAGCCTGGGACTGAACCTCGGGCGCCAGGACCTTGGGAGCCTCAATAGTGGGGAGCTCGATCTTCTCGTCATCAGACTCGAATTGCTCGCCGACAAAGTTGGAAGACTTTCCGGAGAGAACGTTGGTGTCAATGGTAACGGGAACATCCGGGGTCTCGAGAACAGCGAAGACCTGGGGTTGGAAGTTGTAGGCGTCGTTGTCAATGTTCAGCATGGAGAAGTCCATGTTCTGCTCAGGGAGCATGGCCATGCCGATCTGCTGCTGCTGGGTCTGGTTGGCGTAGGGGTTGATGTCTTTGGGAATCTGGCGCTGCTCGGCTTGTCTCTCAACCTTGACGGCGGGAGCTTGCTGCTGCTGAGGGGCGGGCTGGGGGTTGGTGCTGAGGTGGTCAAGGAAGTTGGAGAATGAGGGAGAAGCGAGGAGCATGCGGGTGAGATCCTGCAGGCGCTTGTTCTCGTCCTGGAGAGCACGGTTGTGCTGGCGAAGCTCGCCATTCTCGGAAACCTTGTTGGCAATCTCGGCCTCGAGCTGAGTGATGTATTCTGTAATGGGTTAGCGAGGTAATGTTTTGGCGTTGTGGTAGCGGAACTTACCCTTTCTGCGGGAACGGAAGGCGCGGGCGGAAACCTTGTTGCGGAGTTGGCGACGCTCCTTGCTGCTGAGCTTCTTGCCCTCCTCGCTAGCGAGAAGTCTCTCATCCTCGTCCATATCCTCCTCGTCCTTCTTGCATCTAGGCAGGTTCATGAGAGGAGTGGGGCTGTCGCCCTCTTGAGCGGGCTTAGCACGCATGGAGTTGAGGAGCTGGGTGATCTTCTGTTCAACAATGGGGTCGGTAGGCTGCTGGCTCTTGGTGCGCTGCTTCTGGCCCATCTGCTGACGCTGCTGCTGCTGCTGGATAATTTGCTGCTGTTGTCTTTGCTGGGCCTGGGCCTTGGCAAGCGCAGCCTGGGAGTGCATGCCGGGCCAGAGGCGGCCCACGTTGCTTTGCTGGGAGGGGACCACGGGAGACTCTTGTCCGCCGATGGCAGTGGGATTGACGGTGGGGTTGGGGAAGAAGTACTGGGAGTCCGGAGGGGAGTCAAACTCCATATCCATATCCAAGCCGGTAGAGTTTTGGGAGGGCGATGTGTTGAAGTCAAACATGTCGTTCTCCGGGCTCAAGCCATTGCCCAAGTAGTCCATTCCATAGCCGCTGTTGTAGCCACTGATATGAGAGTTGGCCTCGTTCACAGCCAGGGTGCTGGCGAGGGCACCGGGAACGATGCCAGTCTGCTGCTTGTAGAGATCATACTGGTGGCTGGGGCCAGTAAGGGGTTGTGATGCGGACGGCATCGTCGGGGTCGCGACGGTGCTGACTGATGGGCGAGTGAAGGTGTTCTTGGCGGTCGCCGCAGGAGAGAGCGAGGGAGACTGATAAGACATATTGTCATACTCGCTGAAGTCGAGGAGGGCGTCGATGTTATCGACGTTCTGATTCGAGGTCGTCATCGCCGTCGAAGGAGAGTTCGATCCCTTGGGTATGATGGGTGTTGGTGGATTAGGGTTCGCACCGGTCTGTGGCGAACCTTTGTTGTGACTGTTGGGTCCCGTACGCGACGACGAGGGAATGATCGATATAGTACTCGGTTCGGTAAGTGAGGCTCGTGACGATAGATGGCAATGCCTGAGGTGAGTGTTTCGTTTGGTGGTTTGGTTGAAGTTGAGAAGAAAGAGGGTTCGAGAGGTGGGAGAGAGAAAGAGGAAAAGAGGACAAGAAGAGTGTTGAGATAGACGACTAGTTTAGGGGGGGTCTGGGCAGTGGATGTATGGGAAGCGTAACAAGAGGGACTGAGCACGGGGACTCCGTTTCTTGAATGATTTGGGTGCCTGGTCCTCGGAGCAGCAGGGGGGAAAGGCGGGCCCCAAGCGGATTCTGGGCGGGCTGAGCAGGGGGGTGGGCTTTGGGGGGGAGTTGAGGAAGGAAGGGACCAGGAGTCCCAGGACGGGCGAGCAAGAGCGAGGGGAAGGTACTTTGGTACTTCGGTACTTTGGGAAGGGAGTGAAAAGACGGGATTGGGGGAGGGAAGGAGGGAAGGAGAGGGAGCACTGAGCAGAACGACCAGAGAGCGCAAGAGGGAAGACGGAGGGAAAGAGAGAGACGACCGGGACGCTGATGGGAGGGAAAGAGGGACGCGTAAGCCGATGGACGACGTGTCCTGATTGGGATTAGCGCGGGTAGATGAGAGAGACTGGGCTGGGCGTCCTTGGCTGACGGGCTGCACCTTCTCGTCGGGTGGGAAGGCAGGCAGTGGTGTTCCTTCCCTCTCGCTCTTTCTCACTCGTCCGTTGCTTCCCTTCCCATTACTGCGTCCAGCGGATATTCGTACCAGCAAATGCAGGCAGGCAAAGGAAGGAGCATTGGATCAGAACTAGGTAGACCAGTCAACGGCAGACAGGTACAATCGTATTCGAAAATGCCCGGGTGGGAAAGCACGAATTCGCAAGATGTCAGGTACCTTCTTGCAGCGATGCACACTTACAATGTACACGTCTGCGGCCTGAGGATGACGACGCCAACTGCCCTTTTCGGCTCAGTCGTCGACGAGTACTCGACCATTCGCTCACACTGATTCGCTCCTGGCGGTCCCCATTTCCTTCATTTTCTGCGCCTTTGGCTTCCAGGTTCTTTTGGTGAACCCCCGGAGCGCTGTGGAATTCAACGTGGATTCGCAAGCTCGTCACTCGCCAGAACAGCGACCGCTTGTTTTGATATTGAACTCGACCACTCGCTCTACCGCCTGTCGCCTGCCGCCCAACCACAAGCAATGGCGCGATGTCGCCGTTTCGAAATGTTGCTGACGACGACTCGACGACGCACGCTTATTGAGAGAACTTTTTTGACTTTTTTTCTCCGGTTACTCGTCTTCGCCTATGCTACCGACAGAGACTAGGCCTGTTTACCCGCCCATTTTATCATCAATTCCCACTCGTTGATGTTGGCTACGGCTCTATGTACAATAAAGTCGTCGATGATGAATCCAACGTCAATCCCCTCCCCCCATTGTCGTAGCCTCTCTAGTTCTTCCGATAAGACGGAGCAGAATCTAGCCGACATACAAGAACGAAGCCGCAAACTCGAGGTTGGTGAGATGACAAGATGACGAGGCCGCGTATTGTTCGGGCGCGAGACCAAATCCGAACCAAGCGAATCGCTGCAAATAATACAAACCAAACCACACCGGCGCCTCGCCTGGCGCTATGCTGCGCTGCGTGTTGCTGAGTGCTGACCCGAGCCGACCAATTCACTGCCCGACGGAGACGGGCGGCGGGAAGTTTTGGTTGTGCGTGGCGGCAGCGCACCCTCCCCTGTTCGCTTTCGCTTGCGAGGTCGAAGACAGGTATCGAGTACTCAATGCCACGCCCAAGATAGCCGCAGTCGCGTGTACCAATACGAATGGTGCCGCCATCCCGGGTGTGGCTGTTCCAGTTGGCGCTCTGCCTCTTTTTTGCTTTCGGCGTAGGTTGATCGTCCGTCAATGTTGCTCTGAGCTCTTACTCTTCCCACCACCAACAAATCAAAGGCCCTCGTTTGGTTCGTTCAAAAAGAAGGTTGTTTACTCGGTATGCTCAGCCTCAATCACTGGACTCATGGTCTTCGATTCGATTCAACTCGCTCCAACGGCCTGACCCAGCTGCTTACGATGGGCTTGGAATCCAGCAGTATGCAAATACCGGCCACCTGTCCGTCTCTAACCATCTGAACCTCCCATGCTTCTCAGCGTCGCCGCCCAGAACAGTACAGGCCCCCATATCGAAGCAATTCAGACACCCCTTGACACAGCATTCTCACTTGCGGCAACCTTTTTCAGCATTCACGCCTCCCCTTGGTTGCCATTCTTTGAAGCAATAGGTGCAGACTGGTCTCGGCGACTAGAAACACGGCGCGGCATAGACTTTCACTTGCAAGTTGCGGCTACGGTACTCGTCCGGGCCACTGCCCACATCACGAAAAGGTCCCTCCGAAAAGGCTCACTGGTCTCCGTCCGAGCTTCATGGAGGTGGTCAAGGAGGTGGTGGAAGGGAGTCTACGGCGTTTGGCCATGCGCTGACATCAAGCCGTCCCATTCTCGCGGCTCCAAATTCTGTTCAGCTCGCCCCCGAAGCGGAAGTTGTGTCCGTTGTTCACGGCATTAACATCTGGAAAAGACTTTTCGTCCAGGGAGCCAGAGCCAGAGCCAGACCCGACGGCAACTTCAGGTGTCTCGTTCGCTCCCGACATTCCGCACTGAACTGGGCCCTCAATTTGGTCGGTGGTTAGATCCCGTTCAGGGGATCGCCCCGTTCGTTCTGGAAATGCCGCCTATGATCATTCAATCCTGTGGGACGCTTTTGTGATTTCCGTTCCCTGACCCTACCGCGATAATTCATGCACTGCCACCACGGCCGTTATTACTATCGAAATCTAAGTACCTTATTATCGAAAAAAGTTAATTCTTTCTAAGTCATAAGTATAAGAATATAGTTTTAATAAAATAGTATAGTACTTACTTAGTACTTAAATTAAGATACTTTTTTAAGCTTACTATAAAAAAAAGATAACTATATTACTAACTACTTATTATTAAGGTTCGTAACGCTATAGCTTTAATTATAATAGTTTTATTTATAATAAATAAAAAGTTTAATTATAAGTCCTTTAAAAGCCTCTCCTTAAGGACTATAAGAGCCTCTAAGTATACTAAGTTAAAATACTTATTAAAATACTAATAACTAAACTAACCCTATAATAACGGCTTTAATAAAAAAACTAAGAAACAAACTAAAAAATAATACTAAAATTCTTATTAATATTAAGTACGATTTATAAAAAGTAATAATATAGTTATAGAGTATTAGTAATATATTTTATATTAAAAAGACTATTATTAATACTAATAAGATAGATAGGGCTATATTAATATAATACCTTAGTTTCTTTTTATAGCTTAAGAATAATTACTTTAAATAGTATTAAAAATCTATTAAAAAGCTCTTTTAAATACTTTAATATATTTATTATTATTTTTATAATAATAAAACTCCTAGTACTTATATATAAAAATAGATTATTTACTTTTAAATAGTAGTATTAGCTTATTAATAAGCTATTAAAACTATAATTCTAGTAATCCCTTAACGAGGGAGAGGGTAGAATAGAAGAAAGGATAGGTAAGAAAAGGGTTAAGGTTAAATAGTGCGGAATTTGAGGGCAGGGTAGCGTCTACATATACTACGGCAATCCTCTAGTAATGCAAAACGATGGAGTTAAACAGTGCACTATCGAAATCACCAAATCATCCACCGCCCATGTTTGATTCGCTCATCTGCTTTTCGTATGGGCTGTGCCGTTGACCACTCCTATGAGCGAGCTTAGTGGAAAACACTCGCGACACGGCGTGGCTTAGATGAGCTTCTATTCGCAGTAGAGCTGCTTATCCGTCTGCAACAGTCACTGCTAACCCGGCCCTGTCGGGCGTTGGACCACGACGATGGCCCTGGAAGCTGGCAATAACAGCAAGCCCTCAGCACCACAACGGGAACAATTCTAGCTCATTGCGGAGCAGACTTCTGGCTTAACGGCGGTCACTGCACCATCGCACATCTTGCATCACAAGTCTTGGTCGACTTCACGCCCCTGGGCCACAACTCAGCAGGCGAACGTCGACCCGCGGGTCCTCCCAATAAGGTCGACAAACGATGGAAATTGGGCTTGTTACGGCCCCCAGACTCAAGGCGAATCTGATGTTCCTCGCCATCTCGCCTACCCTTGATACGCGCAATCTGGATCGCGAACCGTCCGTCCACTTTTTGTCACTTTTGGGCTCTTGCTCAAGAAGGGTTCGCAGACGTCTCAGTCTCCATTTCAACTTTTGACAATCTCCAGAGTCCAGACGACTGTCAGCCCTTTCGCACCGCGAAATTGAGCCGAATATCGAACGCTGGTGCCGTGATGATTGAGAATCCGACCAAGACAGACCTGAAGCCAGTACTTCCAACACTTAGGTACGGCAGAACCCCCCGGCGCCGTTTCGGCATTGCTGTAACAGTGCGCCTAGTTAGTACTATGGGCACCGTCTCGGCTTCTGGCACCTCGCTCTGGCCCCACCGGTCCCGAAGGTCCTCCCACATTCCCGACGTGCCGACTTTCTCGAGTCTCGCCGCCTCGCACACGCCGCAGTGGGCTAATGTCAGTAAAGTCACCAGTAGAAGACTCGACCGCAACCATTCAGCAGCCGTCTATCAACCCATCAATGGGTGTGGGCTTACATAAGGAGCTAAACCTTGCACTAGCTGGGCTACTTAGTGGTTCACAAGTATGTATTCTTATGCCGAGAATCAGGGTGAGCCGCTGCCAGGCCACGCCCCGGCCAAGCGCGAACCATGACGTTGTGTAAACAAAAATAGAAAATATGTACGCCTTGTTTCACCTGCGGCACCTTCACAACCACGACAGCCCACAGAGTCCCGGG